GGGGGATGTGTGTTGGCGCACGATTGCTGTCAGATAAAAAGGGGAAAAAGATTGGCGAAGCGTCGACGTGTTGGGCTGAAGCGAGCGTCGCGGGCTCATCATTCGAGCGCATCGTCCACCATGCCGTTTTCATGTGCGCACACATTGCAGAGGTAGGCAGGCAAGCTGCTATCATTCGTAGTGCTCGATGGTGTTGGCGGCACAGGAGACGCCTTGATCGACGCTTGCTGATCTTCTTCTTCGAAAGCGCCCTCGCTCACGCTGCGCATGGGCGAGTCCACATCTTGCCTCTCAGCAAGCGCAATCGAAGGAGACCTCTTTTCTGGCTTCATCGTTTGACCACTCGACGCGCCAGCCTGGTCCTTGGCTTCTCCGACAGCGTCCGATCGATCGAGCTTCGTCGGACCGGACGGTGGGGCTGGCCACCAGAAAGGCGAAGAATGTGCAGAGCACTTTGCGCATAGCCTTTTGGGCTTCATTCCAAACAGCGAAGGTGGCGCTCCTGACGACGCGGGAGTGGCTTGACGACCCGAGTATCCAATCGGAGCAGGGGCAGTAGTAGCTCTTTTTGCGACGACGTTTTCCGCGCCTCCGGCTGGAATCTTGTGATTCTTGGCAGGAGCGCGTGTCAGTGCTGGCAGAAGCTCTGGATCGGGTCGGTAAGCCTGGACAGCATGCTCTTCATCTATGCGCGCCATCTCGCTCGCGAGTGGCGGGCCATGGACGACACTGGTGGTGTTGGTCTTGCTGAGCATCAAGTCATACCTTCTGGCTCGGCGTAGTAGAGCATACGCTTGATCCGCTGCAGCAACCACTTCGCGAGGTATGCCAGGCGAAGCAGTGTGCTTGTGCGTTTCTGCATAGATTTGTAGCAGTGTCTGAGAAAAAGAATGAAGTGCGAATCGTGATCAGGCGGCATCCTCGCACCTTGCTTGTTGCAGGGGGGCGCGGGCTCACCTTGCCAGTCTCGGGGTCGATGTCGGTAAGTTGATGCGTTGTGGGCTTCTTGCTCTCACCGATGTGCTTGTGCTCCTTGCACCAAAGCATGGCATTGATGTGACCGCTTTCCCCCTTGAAGCTCGCAGTGGGCACAATGTCCTTGCGAGAGACTTTGACAGCAGTGAAATCAAAGAGCATGCAAACTGACGGCTGAGCAGTCCATGCGCAGGAGACATGCATCGTCTTTCGGCAGCTAGGTTCGGCACAGCTGACGCACGCTCCAAAGCGCGTCTTGCAGAGGTCGCATTCCTGATGTGAAAGAAAAAGGGTGCGTTGCTTAGCATTGGGCGGGCTTGCCATGGACGTTAGTAAAGGGTGCAACTCACGCTGTTGTATCGCCACCATTGTAAATTGCCAACGCCTTCGACGAGACGTAAGCGTGCCGGGTCGGTAAAGACGATTTCGGGTATGAAGGCAGCGCAAATGAGGTGAACCCAGTTGTTCCCTTCCGTCGGCTTGACAGCATCGAGAACGGTGGGTGTACGCGTCGCGCTCTCGTCTGTGCCATTCGCGTCCACTCCACCTTTGCGTGCTCTCGAGAGCGCCTTGTCACCTTGACCTGCCGCATCAGTCGCCCCAAACGACTTGGCGCGAGGCAACGACGGACAAAGTACACAGCCAGGTGTGAGCGCAGCGTCGAGAGCCTTCTCGTTAGAGCAAGCTTCGCATTGCCACCATTCGGCAGCCACTTCCTCATCGGTGAGACCAAAGCAGCCTTTGTGGACGCTCAGAGTACACTGCCTGCATTGCTGCAGCGTCTTTTTGGGCTCCATCTTCTCGCACATGACGCATTTGATGGGATCCGGTTTCGGAGGAGGTGGCGGCGGAGCTACTGGAGCAGCGCGCGTCGGCGGGGTCGTCCTTGCAGCGGCGGCACGAGCAGAAGCGGTCTTGCTCATCTTTGCAGACTTGGCAGGCGGCTGCACGCCAAGCTCTTCCTCACCCGCTGCATTCAGCGCTGCTGCCTTTTGCCGGGTGTTGATGGCGACGAGCTCCTGGGTAGAAGTGCTCTCGGCAGCGTACTTGCGCCAATAGAGACCGCAGTGGGTGCACAAGTACCGATTCGGCCAGCTGTACGGGCCCTTGTACCATACTTGCGATTGATGAGTGGAGCACATGTAGCACGTCGGGTTGGAAATGGACGCGTCCCCAAACACTGAAAGGGACGGCGATACAGCGCGCGTGGAAGGCGGCGTGGGCGCAGGCGCCAAGGACTGAGCACCGCTCTTCCTCACCACCTTGCCAGTCTTGCTTGCCAGCTCTGCTTCTTCTTGCGCCTCCTTGTCCAGCACTTCTCGCAGTCGCTTGCACTTCCAGCTATAGAACTGTCGCACAATCTCTCCGTACGTCTTGGTAGGTACAGCCTTCTTGAGTTGTCGCATGTCAGCGTTGTAGTCTTTCATGACCTGGTCAAATTGGCGAGTCTCCTTCTGCGACCAATGCACTTGTCGAAAATCTTCGGGCGTACTGGCAGACAGGGCTTGCAAGCCCAGAGCAGGGTTGCCCGCCCGAGACGCAAGCACTTGCAGCGCTCTGTCCATGAAGTCGACGTCGTGGGCAGGAATGTGAGCAAAGAGCTGTCTCGCACCTATGAAGAACGCATCCACTAGAGAAGACGAACAAGGCGTCAGCAACAGGCTTCACGATGGTGTGCGAAATGGACGCGCACCTATTCTGCCAGGCTTGAGCTGAGGCTGCCATATCACCTCCACACTCTCGTCTGTGCCTCTCTCAAAGTCCCTCGCGGGAGTGTCTGCGGGTAGCTTGACCATGCTCAAGGTCGGAGTGAGTTGTGCCTGTGGTGTATCTGAGCGTTCCGCTTCAGGCCTCTTGCGTTTCGGCGGTCTACCACCCTTCTTCTTGGGAGGAGGGACACCGTCTTCGATTGATAGACCGTTACCTGCCCCGCCTCCCTCGGCGTCGTCCGATGTGCGCCCTTGAACACCGAGTCCGAGCTCCAGTTGCTCTTTCCAGCTAGGAGGCGCAGCCTGATACTTGGGTCCCAGTCGTGTCGCTGCTCGAGGATAGATTGAGTCATGAGGATCCAGCACATCTTTTGCTTCCGTGTGCTGACCAAAATATCGATAAGGCCATCGGTTGAAGCATCGCGTTCCGCGAATGTCGTCAATGGTGCGCGCGACAGGCGCGGGACTCGAGTCCGGAGATGGGTCCGTCGGAGTGCCTGAGCGGTCGGGCACACCGTCGAGGACAGTGTAATTCATTAGCACGGGCCGAATCATCATTCCACCACCGCCAAGGGACTGCTCGCTCACCAATGCCGCTAGCTCGGCCTCGACCGGGTCCACGAGCTTTAACTCCGTTGCCCGCTGGAACGCCGCGTATGGCGCCTTGCGTGCCTGGGAGACGAGACAGGCTGGACGTTCCCGCTGCTAGGGCGGAAGCGGAGAGACCGCCGCTGATGGTAGACTCCACATCCTGCTCGTGCCTCTTTGAGCATGGTGCACATGTCCAGCTGTAGCCTTTTGCAGGTTTGCTTGCTAGTGGTGGTGTCAAACAGCGCATGTGAAAGAACTTCTTGCAAGTGTCACAGCGAACGCTCTCGGGGCTGTTTGAGAAGGAGGAGTCACTCGTCAGGCACGGGCAGCGAAGCTGCAGCGTTCGGGCATGCACGCACCTAGAAGCCCACCGGTGGCAGACGGCGCATCCTCGGAGGGCGTCGCAAAGGTCTGGTGTCATTCCGACCTCGGCAACAATGAACGAGTACCGTGACCGTAGCAGGTTGAGCACAGCTGGAGGAGCATTTTTTATCTTCTCGGTGGGTATGACGTCGTAGAAGCGGTGGATGTAGCCGTCGTAGATTTGGTGAAAGTAGAAGTGATCGTCCTTCTTCTTCCAAGCGCTGACTTCAGGCGCGTCGCCGAGCAGATCGCGATGTCGAACCTCGCAAAGACCACGCACGTTCTCCAGCGCATAAACATCAGACTTCATGGTGCCTACCAAAAGTCTGGGATCATTGCTGACACGGTGCGAAATGTCGCGTGTCCTGAGAAAGACGTTCGCTCGGAGTTGCAGAGTGCCGGAAGACGATAGCAGCGCTGCTGCACCACTCCGGGAGGAGGATGCCAGCACGAACTCCATGACACGCGCCTGGTGAAAAAGACCATCGTGAAAGCATGGTCGAGAGAGGAGCAGATCAGTAGCAAGAGTGATGGTGGGAAGGGAATCCAACGGTGAAGACAGCGTGCGGGTTGCCGGACAATGTCGATGTCAGCCAAGACCCAGACGGTGTTGTTTAGCGGTTGCGGACCCGTCGGCGCGTCGAGGTTTGATGCGCAATAATTAGCGCCGGGGCGCGTGTAAGATCCACGCGCGCGAAATTTAGTGGCGCAGGCGATCGGATTCGTCGGCGAGGCAGTGCGGCGCAGGTGTGAAGGCGGGGAGAGGCGGCAGTCGGACCGGTGACAAAGTCCGGAGCAGCACGCGGAGGCGCAGGCGAGGGCGCAGGTGCAGGCACAGGAGTGCACCCAGCCACGCGGGTCGCCGCGCGTCACGGCGGGTGATGGAATCATGGAAGCAGCAGCGACGCGGCGTGGCGCAGCAAAGGAGGCCGGCCGGAAGGGATGAGAGGAGGCGAGGCGAGGCGAGGCGAAGCGCAGGCAGGGCCCAGACCCACGAAGCGCAAGGATGAGAAATCCGTTCAGCAGCGGTATCCGTGCATTTGAAGTGACCGTTGGTTTGTTTGGCGCCGACGGGGCGAAATGGGTGATGAGGTGGGTGATGAGGGTCGAGAGAGGGAGGAAGCGAGCGGTCCGAGGATGGACCAAGTCGATCGATGGTGCGTACCGAGCACAGCAGTGTCCGACATCGCAAAAAGCGTACGTCACGTATGCGACAGCAGCCCAGTGCGGAGGGATGGGTGCATTGCACGCCGATCCGAAATCATTGGAGAAGGGACGTCGCCGACGATGACGAGCAGAGTCGTTGCCACAAGTGCGTGTCGCGAGGGCAGTGGTGGGATGTGTTTTCGCGACCAGGATGTTGTCAGGGCCCAATGGGTGTACGCGAGGAGGAGAACGGGTGTAGTCGCAGGCCGAGGCCAGGATATGATGATCGAGCCCGTGAATCGTGAATGATGTGTTGGATTGATGACGAAGCAGAGCGCGTCGACCGATCGAACAGATGACAGTGCGAAACGAGTGGCGCGCGCAGAAGGGTGGTGTTGCAGATCCATCCGCGGAAAAATGACGATGTGAGGAAGCGAGACGGATCGTTCAGTGGAGCAGATGGGCAAGAGGAGAGTTGTTGGGTGAAGGAAGGTATTGAAAGCCATTCTTGAGCTCACTGACAGGTGGAGATGCTACTGGCGAGGGTGGTCACTCACGATGATGAAAGGCTCGCCCGCTCCGGGAGCCCACGGAACTGAGAGGTAGACATAGTCTGAGGGTATGGAAGACGGGAAGGTGACGTGAGCCCTGACCCAGAGGAAAGGCTTAGAGGAGAATGGTGTTGAATGTCCTGCACTGCAGGAGAATGATGACTGGTAGCGACCGCAAAGGCAGTACAGCGTTGGCGTGGACTGGCAAGACAGCTCTTGGTCGCGCCTCTCTCACGATAGGGCGCAGATCCAAAGCCATCCACAGTGAGGTGCTCGCGAAAGGCCAGCGAGACTATACCGTGGCGCGGCGTCAACAACAGCAAAAGTCTTTCAAGCCTGCACTCACCGTTGATGCCTATTGTCAGGCCATTGCGGACGGTGACGCGAGTGACTGGAGCTTGCTGTTTGAATGAACCATTGCTGGTCCTTGAGGTGGCGGCACCTTCACCTGTCGTAGCTGAGGATGATGTAGATGCGACCGGCACGCGCGACGAGGAAGAGCTCGCGAGTGGAGCGGCTGTCATCGTAGACAGCATCGATGGCACGAGAAGAAAGTCCCGCTCCACCACTGCGGTGGTGAAGCAGTGGGGGACACTGCACTTGCAGATGAAGGAAGAAAGGGAAGCGAATGGGGCAAAAAGTGGGCAAGCAGTGATCGAACAACACGTGCAGGGTGGTGGTGCAATATGGAAATGGGAGCCACGCGCTTCAACGCGACGGCCCCATTCGATGGTGGAGCGGGCGTGTCGTGTAACGATGCGTAGAGCGACGAGGGGAGCGAAAGGGGGTGATGGTGCGCGGAGGGCAAGGAGGTCACGCAGAAGCTCTTGCGCACCCGTGACTACGAAATGTCCGCAAAGACGTCTCTACATGCGGGTGTGCTGGAGGCAAGTGGAAGGGGAAAAGGTATGGCTCTGTAGACCGCCAGATTGTAGGAACCAATGAGCAGTGCTTGCAGGCTGGGGTCCACACTGGCGACTCTTGAGCGGGTGTGGCGATGTGTGTGCGTGTGGGCGGTAAAAAAGTGCAGGAAGCACGCCGGTTGTGTGCGTTGCTTGTTGCTAGTAGTACAGTCACAACAGTCACGAGTGTGAGTCGTGAGTGGTGGAAGGGGGGCGCACTAATTTGAGAGCTGCAGGCAGGTTTTTAAATTCCGCCTGTCCATCCGAGTGAGGCAAGGATTTGTTCGCTGGGCTGGGGTCCAAGGTCAAACGCGATCGATCTCCTTCGCTGCCGCCTGACAAGTCGGGTCTGCACCTCAAAGTGATGATACTTCAGCTTTGTGGATGTTTCAGGTCAACGCTATTGCAGCGACGGATAGCGGCAGCGCTAGGCCGAAGCAGATAGGAGCTACGTGTGCGTGTGCGAGGGGTGAGCGACGTCACGCTTCTGACCGAGTAGACGGAGTCGTGAGTGGATGCCAAAGCCACGACAGGGCGGGTGGCGAGTGACAGGTAAGCAGGGGAATGACTTTGCAGATGAGTGGAGCAGCACGATGGTCTGTGTACAGAGTCGCTCAGCTTGTCGGTGTAGAGAGGTTAGATCAAGGGTGGGGTGTGCAGGCCAAGCCAACCCAGTCTGACGCCCTCTTTTTCTCTTGCTCGCTGGCTATGCGCCCGGCGCTGCACCGGCAGAAAAGGAGTTGCGCGCTGCAATTGAGATGAGCAAGATGAGCTACGGCAGAAGCTGTACACGGGGTCCAGGCTAACAATTCGGGACCCATCCGCTTGGTCTTTGACAGCGGCGTCGATGAGGAAGTCGAGGTGGAAACAACATACACTCATATGAGCTGCATCTCCCTTTTGACTCGTTCTCACCGATTGTTGGCTATCCACAGTCTCAGACAGCTGCTTCACAGCGATCACGAGCACCGTTCAAAGCGGTGCGCGAGAGGCGTTCGTGTCATTGCATACTTCTATGAAACACAAACACTCTCGTTCTCTCCGGACACGTCCACCCTAGCTCGTTGCAGCACCTGCTTTCCGAAAGCACTTTCAATACAAGACACAACGTGAATGCTGGTGCTCCTACTTGGCCGCACTGTCCGATTCGTGACTGTGATTCTCGCGACGCCGACCCAGGGGCCCGAGACAGTATGAGGTCATCGCAACGACTCTTCGAATCTTGGCCGGAATCCGTCAGACCAATCGCAGCGCTTCCCTTTCAGCTTTTCAAACGCTTCACTCGTGACGGATCGCAAATCGGACGAGACTCTCGAACACTGTGGTGAGTTGAGGCGGGAGAAGCGAGGATCTAGAATCGCAAAACTTGGGCAGCGCGCATGCGACACACCGAGGAGATCAAACGAGGCTTTTTTGCATCATGTTGATTCGCAAGCACCGTGTATGTCATGGAAGGGGGACAGCTCAATCGTGCAAGACGGCAAAAAAAAAATAAAAGACTCTCCTGCCCGCAAGCTGAAGCGGTCTGCCGCGCAGGCAGGTCGAGAGGTGCTGAAACTTGGGATGAGAGGAGAGATACGAATCGAGGCGAGCTAGTGGCGCATTTACAGGGATGATGGCGAGGAATTGTGGGCGCGAGTCTGTCTTGAGGGGGAGCGCGAGCGAGAGACGAGGCTTTATGCGAGCTTGGAAGATCGATGTGGCCAGCGCAAGCATGGGGTACAATCAGGATTTCCCATCACAACAAAGGTTGCCAAACATGTGTGAAAAGCGCCTGTTCCAATTCATTTGTTGGCGCGCCCCATGTAGCTCGCAGACTGTTGTGACCGACCAGACATGCGCCACTCTTCGGTGCACCCTACATACAATCTCCCACAGTAGAGACTTGATCGCCACAGCAACGACAAGACGGCCGATGAAGGAGATCATGAGAAGTACTTGGTGACTACATCCGGGCGCATCTCCTCGGGCAAAGCGCTGCACGATGTGCGCAAAGGATGATCAGCAACGCACATTCTGGTGTCGGACATCTTTCTCATGATTAGCACTCACTCGATCTTCGGGTAGAATTTGTCCCCCTTCGCCACGAAGAATCTCGGCTGCCACGTCTCTCCCTTCTCTTCACGCTCTTTGACGCGTTGCCTTTGTGCGTCCTCGATCGCGGACTTGGACTCGGTGGCTTTGTCTAGATTCTTTTCCTTGATGCCCTCGGTTACCTTTGACCAAAGCCTTCTCGACTCGAACTCCTCCTGCTCCTCTTCTGGTCGAACAGTTTTCTGAATGATCTTCGCAGTCTTTGCATTGAACAGCTCCTCTGTCTCTCCGCTCTTCAGTAATGAGGCACGCGCTGTGAGCCCTGACCTCGCAGCTCGGTCGTTCCAAATCGTTGATCATCTCACCTTGACATTCTTGTACTCCATCGATTCATTCCACTTCCCGCTGATGTCCCCAATGTGCTTGGAGCCCCGGGTCACCTTGCCAGCAATAGCGTTATAAGTTCCAGTGAAGTACCCCTTCGTCTTGAACTCGACATCCGCAGTCAAATCGTTGGCTTCATTCCTGATCTTACTCTGGTCACCCAATTCCAGCACCATCTTCCCGAACAAGATGCCTCGGGCATACCTGCCAACCTCGGATGGGCGTCAGCCCAAATCTGGACGCGAAAATGCCGCTCGCGCCTTGACTCACATGTTTGGCATGCCAATTTCATACTCTCCGTCCTCCAGCCTGTCGAACAGTACGACTCGATTTTGACCGCCCATGACATTTGCTGCTGAATTGCCAAGGAACTTGCTCTTCGGCTTCAGCTCGCCGTAGATCATCAAGTTGTTTGCAGGCGACACGTAAAAGTACGCGCTGATGGGTGGATGGTGCGAGACTAGAGCACAGGCCGCATTCGTGGGTCAGTCCACGTCCCTCTATCGCAGAGCAAGATGCAGAGCTCTCACCTTGCTCGGCGATGTAGTATCCCTGTGTGTCGTTCGGATACGTGTAAGAGCAGCGGAAGTGCTCGCCGAGCACAGGGTTGTAACTACAGCGTGCAGGCGTTCCCTTGTCAGCTCGTTGCAAAACTGATGCCCAATCGCGTGCAGCAATACGTTGCGAGATGCAGAGGTCTGCAAGAATTTGGTCTCGCTACTCTGGGTGTTCCCGAGCTGAGAGCTCCAAGCTCGACGTCCATCGCTCGCATCTCCTCTGGCTCATTCAACTCACGGCTTCTTTACACCCTTTGGCTTGATGTGCCAGCCGGACAAATAGTACCTCGTGACTTGAATGAAGCGCTTTTCAGGGTCGTCAATGGCACCAGCTCTGGGAAAACGAAGACGGCGGGATGAGCAGGCAGGCCATTTCGCGGGCCAAGTCAGGGCGCCCAAAGCTTACCCAAAGATAAGGTCAGGATGGCTCATGAAGTCCTAACAACAGGCAGAACAGCGGGCTACTCAGTAAGCCCAAGTCTCTCAAGCGTGGAACGCATTGCCCTAGGCGCGCAAGTTTACTCACGGTGATGCGCTCCAGCATGCTTCGAGGTTCCAGGACAAAGGTGGGCAAGGTGACCTTGGAAAGGTCCATACCTATCCGCAGCTGCCCGATAAGGCTCATCAAGATGTTCCCCGCCTCCTCATCTAGCTCCTCGGTATCCTCAGCTGCAGCGCCATCGACTGTTGCGGCTTGTTCTTCCTTGGAGCCGCCGGCTACAGCCTTCGTCTTCTGGGCAGCGCCCGAGACGGCGTCTAGCAGACCCATGGCGCGAGGTTTGAAGGTTATTTGGCTACGAAGGTGTGATCACAAGCCGAGGCTGTGAGTTCAGTGGGCTGCTGGATCGCCTTTGTGTTTGTGTTTGGTAGACAGCAGCAAGTGAGGTCGTGCTGGACGTGTCGGAGATGCACAACGGAGTTCAACTTTCTCACAGCTAAACGGATCTGCGTCGCCTTCTGAGTCTAGCAGCAAAGATAAGCTTCTTTAGTTGTATGGAGGCGAGTCGTGGAAGGCGGATCTGTTGGAGTCAAGTTAAGAGATTGGACGCTATGGATGCTTGATTGAATAGTCACGAGTCACGAGTGTCGTTGCAGGACCCGCAAGAGGAGAAATCACGAGCAGCCGAAAGGCGCGGAGACGCGGCGCCTGGCCAAAGCTGGACCAGCATTGAAGCCCGGCTGCTCTCGCAGCAATCAAATCACGAATGGCGGGCTGGCGCGACCACCGACTTGGCTCGACTGAGAAAGCGAGTTGCACGCGACGAGGGAGGCGCGCAGGGCAAGCGAACGCCTAGCTGTGCTGCTAGCTCCTGCGCGCGTGCGCGTGCGCAAGACGAGCACCTTGACACGGCAAACAGCCGCCGTCGTCATGACGAGCATGAGCACGCGGCCGCGCCGTGACTCACGACGTGACTACATCAGCGCCATGCACAGCGCGATCACGCACAGACGTCGTCTTCGTCGCCCCCTTGCAAGCAGTCACGAGTCACCAGTCAAGAGTCAAGATCGACTGCTGCATGCTGCTGCTGCATGCATGCATGGAGACTGCAGTTACGGACCTAGCATGCGCCCGTCATGAGCGGCTCGTTTGTGCGTGCGGGGACGAGGAACCAGAGCTGCGCTGCGCTGCGCTGCCCTACGCTGGTCCTTCGCCCGCGCAAGCTTGGTGATGCGTTTCCACTCGCTGCACGACGTGCATTCACTCGTGATTACATGTGTTATTCAGCATTGGTGACTCACCTTTCAGATTGTTAATTGGATCCCATTCAGTCCTGCTGGCTCGGTTGTTGCAAGGAAGCTGCACGGGCTCAGCGCAAGCGCGAATCGAGTTTAATTCACGATTGTGGATCACGATAAACACTGAATCGTGTATCAGAATCAAGAATTGGAATCGTGAAACTTGAATGAATCAAGAATGGAGGGCATTGTTCGTGAGTGTCGACGATACGTGAGGCATGATTCAAGATCGAGGTCAGGATGAGCTTGGATCGTGCAGCCATGCCAGAATCAAGTAGTCGTGAGTGTGAGTGTGAGCGTGAGCGTGAGCGTGAGCGTGAGCTTCAAGTGTCTCGGTAGCGTCGACGCACTCGATCGCGGCCGTTGAACATCCCAATTTCAACTCACGACTCGTGCGTGACCTTTGACCCGCCAAAAAGATGAGCAGCCCGAGCATGCAGCGGTCATTTGAGCGCAAAGCCGGGTCCGCGTGTGACTTCGACTCTAAAGCGAGGAACCGCTTATGTATATAGCGGGACGAAAGAGAAAGTCAAGGATGAGCAGCACCCTCTTGCTCTGCACCTGAAGACTATGCTTCGATGAAGGGTTGCATGGCGTCGTCGCAAGCGGGGACCGCCAAGCAGCCTGAGGCTGACGATCGAGCCGTCGTGGCGAGTCGTGGAGTTACGAGTCGTGAGTATATGAAGAGTCGGTCAAGATTCTGATGAGTCTGAGGGCAGATGCCTAGCTGCATGCATATGCTGCTGGAGCTCAACTGTGACTTCTGCCTGCGTCCCCGCATCATCAGCAGCAGCAGCGAGCTTGCTGCTTTGCAGAAGTCACCTCGTAACGATTCACTCATGACTCTGATGCATCGTGACCCCGCAGTCTGATTGCTGGAGAGCGCAGCGTCGGATAATTGGCTGGTCTCGTGCCCTTCGGCTTGGAGTGGAGCAGGCCCGCCTCTGCACCGCATGAGACAGGAGGCGGTAAGCGCTGGTGTACATGCGCGTGCGAATCAGAGCGGGCAGTCGAAGGACTCGGAGCAGCATAGCTGCTGCACGCCGCTTTGGACGAGGCCCTGCCTGCAGTTGCTGTACGCAACCTATAAGCGATGGCCATGCACCGCAACCCACTTGCAGAAGGCGGGCTCGGCGACGCGCAGCATGACCTCGGTCAAGCCGATCGATTCTGTGTCTGCTTCAAGCTCCGATGGCAGCCTGTCCCGGTTACAAAAAGGTACGCTTGATGATGGTGCTTGGGACTTTCGCTTGATCAATGCACTCCCCTCTGAAGGCGCTGCCAGAAATCAAGTGACACCTCTGGAAAAGATCGAGGTTCACTCACGGCTACTACTACCACGCTTTGCACACAACACCTCCACGCTGTGCACGTTGGACCGGAAAAGCCCCGCACAGTCACATCTGTCGGTCGCCGCCTTCCGGCTGAGTGGGTGCCAGGCACACACCACACCCTGCCACGATCTTCAACGTGAACGGTCTTCATCTTCGACTGTAACGCGCGAAGCGCTGCTGCTCTACTTGAAAACCTTACAAGATGCCGCAACCACGCAGGACAGACTCCAATGCGCACGGACGCAAGGCGGTCAAGGAGCTAGACGTGCTCCACGAAGGATGGGTGCTCAAGAAGAAGCGCAAGAAGATGCAAGGTGAGTCGTTCGGCAATCGCGATAGCCCGTTGGTTCGCCTCGAATCCACTCCCGTGGCTGCAAACGTCGCGATGTGGTGCGGTCGTGCTATGGCTTCATGGCCATCGTTGCACACTTGCGTCCGGACGAGCTCTTTCCTGACTGCGAACCGCTCCCGCAGGTTACGCCAAACGCTACCTGATTCTGACCAAACAGGGCACCTTGACATACGCACTCACACCCGAGAAGCTTACTCGAGATGCCATCGAGATTCCCCACGCTAGTGTCACTAGCAGTCAGAGGCAAGGTGAGCTGCTTTGCACGCTGAAGATACACCCGAGGTCACGCTCACGGCCCCGGTTGCCGTCGCGCTGTTAGGCACTCTGCATGTGGATAGTGGCAGCTCGGTCTTCCGTGAGTGCTTCCCGACATTGGCCTTGACGGCGCCTCACTGAACCTCTCTATGCATTCGTGTTGCAGACATCAAGATGCTGAATCCTCAGGACTTCAATGCCTGGCGAGCGCACCTCCGATCATTCATTCCAGAGCGCGAGCCTGGCTCCGCCCAGCGCATATATGTGGCCTCGGATAATGGTTCGGACCTTCAAACAGTCGACCTCAGCCCACTGTTCACTGCCAATGAAAATGTCGCAAAGCTCATTGCGGAAGTGCAAAAGAAGGTCGGAACATTGAAGGAGAAAGGACAGCCACTTCTCAGTTCTCTTCTGCCCGTCTTCGGTGAGTACGCAGCGCTATAGCGACGAGGAGGTGGCACACAATGATGCTCACACCCTGCTGCGTCTTTCTGCAGAGGGTCAAGATGGCAAGATCGTCGCCGAGCTGGACTCGCTGGTGGAATCATTGGCCGCTGAGCACCTCAACCTGCAACATGCACTTGAGACCAAAATCCCGAAGGTCGGTGGGCCCGATGGAACCATGGACACTTTGAAGTCTCGAGTCGCTAGCTCCAGAATGAGCATCAGCAGTTTCCACACCACGCACACTGGTGGAGACGCGACCTTCTTCGACGCAGATGCGGCCGCTGGAGCTGAATTCGGCTTGGATGAGGATGGAGAGAAGCAAGAGAGCGCGGACAACTCACGGATTGAGGAGTCTAGTGGAGCAGAAGACGACGATGATGACGAGAGCGGGGAAGACGAAGGGGACAAGAAGGCTGCCAATACGAAGGGCAAGGCGACCGCGAACGCCTCTACCAACGGTAGCGTGCAGTACAGGAAAAAATTGCCTGCTCCTGTTTCCGGCGATGAAGTCAGCTTGTTCTCCATGCTCAAAAAGAACGTCGGCAAAGATCTCAGCACCGTCTCATTCCCCGTCTCCTTCAACTGTCCACTGAGCTTGCTCCAAGCAGCGGCGGAGGAGTACGAATATGCGCCTGCACTCCTTGAGCGCGCTTCGAAGACTCAGGATTGGGTGGAGCGGATCTGCTTGGTTGGTGCATTCGCTGTCAGCGGGTATGCTGCGTCGAAGCTGAGGGCGAGCCGGAAGCCGTGAGTGCGCAACACGCAGGATCTGTCGTCGACCGTATCGGCTGACCTTCAGCCTGCGACCACCTGCGCCACCTGCAGATGGAACCCACTGCTCGGCGAGACGTTCGAATGCGTTAGAGAAGATCAGCACCTGCGTTTTGTTGCCGAAAAGGTGGTGCATCAGCCGCCAGTGGTCGCTACATACGCGGAGGGCAAGGGCTGGCGCTGCCATGGTTGGAGTGCTGTCAAGAACAAGTAAGTCGGGAAAGCGGCAGTCCAGGCCAGGTGCGTGACAGTCCGGCTGATCGGCTTCCTGATCGATACAGATTCTGGGGCAAATCGCTTGAGCTCATACCAGAGGGCAGCCTGAGACTCGAGCTTGACGATGGCGATGCTTTCAGCTTCAGCAAGCCAAGCAGCTTCATGCGCAACCTGCTAGCCGGCAACAAGTACCTGGAACACGTAGGCGAATTGACCGTCACCAATGAGAACACTGGTCAGCGTTTGGTTCTGGAGTTCAAAGAGGGCAACATGTGGGGCTCAAACTCTAGCCGGAACTTGGTCCACGGCGAAGTGTATGACGAGAAGGGCAAGTCGGTTTCTTCTCTTCGCGGCAAGTGGAGTGACAATCTGGCCATTCAGAAGGATAAGGAGAATTATCAGTTGCTTTGGGAAGCCGCGGAGATGCCGCCAGATGCAGAAAAGTACTATGGGTTCACTTACTTTGCCCTCTCTCTCAACGAGATTACCAAGGACGTGAAGCCTTACTTGGCCCCCACCGATTCTCGTTTCCGACCCGATCAGCGCGCCTTCGAAGAGGGCAAGGTCGACGAGGCCGAGGAGCTGAAACAAAAGGTCGAGCAAGCACAACGAGAGAGGAGAAAGGCTGGCAAGAGCTACGAGCCCAGATGGTTCCACAAAGAAGACGACGATCCGGAGTGGAAGTACGGAAGCAAGGATGGCAAGACTTACTTCAAGAGTCGTGCCAAGGCTGCTGGCGACTCGTCGGCAGACAAGGAAGAAGGCAAGGCCGCGGGCGATGGCAAGAATGTGTGGTCTGATTGTCCAAAGTGAGTCGTCTAGTCGCACTTCAGAGCCCAGAATCTGCGCTGACTCGGCTGCGAATTGGATGCCTCGCCCTACCGATAGCCTCTTCGAACCCTGAGTGCGGATCCGTGCCGAGCCCGCGGCACCTCTGTCAGGTCTCTCTTCGACTTTGTTAGCCTAATCTGCACAATCTTCACAAGCTGTCTCCTTCTCATGCTCAGAAGCTACCGGATTCGTAGCTGAATGAACATTCTATTCTGCTTTCTTCCCGACGCCGCGCACTTTGGTGGGAAAGCTGCGACGTGTGTTCTCACTTGTAGGATTCTTTGTTCCACAGAGCGGTGCGAAATTGGCGCTTTGGGCGGATCAGACGGGACAGATCTCGGTGAGACTGTGGGTTGCACTCCCGTTAGACAAATGGCACACATCTTTAGGAAAGGATTGCCCAATCAGAACAAAGGTATCCATTTCGTCGGCACGACACATTTCGTATTTTCAGTGATACGTGAGATATTGACCAGACGTTCCGGGTTCGCAAGAAGCACTAGCGTGAATCTGATTTGCGGCCCGGGATGAGAGAAGCGCAAGAAGAGAGACGAGCGGTGCCGGTGCCCTTTACAATGCCGTGCGTCCTTGACTCTCCACACGCAGAGTGAGCATGAGGAGACCGCAAAAGATGAACATGGCGCCAGATGTGAAAAGAGGTGCATTGACACCTGGTCCGCTCTCCGAAGCACCGTAGATTCTGATGATGGGAGACATCAATCCGAAGATACGGTTGAGCGAGCTTGCAATGCCGTCTCCGGTTCCGCGAACAGGCGATGGGAAGCTTTCGGGGGTGTAGGCGTAGAGCACACCGTACATGATGTTCTGAGAAGGAGGAGAAAATTCAAGGGCGAGGCTTGAGCTCGGGCGCAATGGTGTAGAGCAGCATGGAAGAATCTTGCAGATCACTTACCTGGAACAGTGCCTCGAGACACAGGAAAGTCAAGAAAGCGCCCTTGTTTGGCGACTGGGTGGAAACGATGACAAAAATACCAGTCAGGAGCGTGCCGAGCGCCATAGCACCGCGACGTCCAGAGCGAGGCATCTCGACCATCCAAGCAGCAATCAGAGATCCGGGCACACCGCAGATCGAGATATAAGCGTACTGAGAGTAGGTCTCGTTGACACTCGCGTTTCCAGTACCGACGCTCCTCGACTCGAGGTACAGAGGCAGGAAAGCGTTGAAGAGCGGGTAGGCGAGACCGATGAAGGACCAGAGCACAAAGATGATCGAAGTGTTGTAGGCAAGTTTAGGCGTGGCGAAGAGAGGCTTCACAAGCTTGAGGTCGGGCTTCAAGTGCGATGGGCTGAAGTTCTTTGCGGCCGCAAAGAGCTGCTTGGGCACCGCAAGAAGACCTGCGAGACCGCGCTTCTCGGGCACAATCTCGTCAGCATCTGACATCTCATGAGCTTCGCCAGCAGCGGAACGCAGAAGCGCTACCGAGAGGATGTCGTCACCAAGCTCCTTGCCGCTGCGGCGGGCGATCTCCTTGACGACCTGGACAGCTTCTGCATCACGGCCCTGAGACAGCAGGTACTTGGGAGATTCCGGCAATTGGAAGACGACAAAGCGTAAGAACCATCCAGCCAGTGTGACAGCTCCGAGAGTGTAGAAAGTGTATCTCCAGCCTTGGTTCTCCGAAGAGATGCACACGCCGGAAGTAGCAATGTCAGAGTTGTCCCCAGAGCAGGTGTAGTTCACGATGAAGACCCATGCAACAAGGGAAGCAATGAGTTGCTGGAGAGAGAAGAATGAGGAGATCCTGTCTTAGATCACGCTGCAGCGTCAAGTAGTATACATTCAGAACCTCAAGCACTCACGCCGATAGACCAGAAGACGGAGAGCAGGGTCAAAAGGTACTGCTTGGATCCGGGGATGAACTAGAGCAGGGGAAGACCGTATCAGTGTATGCCATCACTCCTCAGACCACTTTTCGTGCCACTCACCTCCAGGAAGAGCATGCCGTCCACGGGCAAGTTACCGCCGAGGCCGACACCGAGGGCAGCAAGCAGACCACCCAGAGCGACCTCGTTGCGAGCACCTCCAGCCGCGATACCAAATACACCAGCGAGGAAAAGGGTAATGTTGAAAGCGGGACGACGACCAATGATGTCTGCTGCGACACCCCAGCCTGCAGCACCGAGGATGAGACCAATGTAGAGCGCAAAGGTCATCCACTCGACGTGTTGGGGCGCAAATTCACGGTTGACCTGAGGCAGAATGATGGCGACACCCTCTGCGGACCAGACAAGACTTCGTGTGAGTTGCAGCCACGCCTAAAGCTTACATTGAGCACGTCTGCCGAGACTCACGGAGCCAAAGGTTGTCCACTGCGGCCAGAGATCCGAAAGGGGGCCAAAGGATTCAGTACTGAGCTCATGATGCCTGATGCTTGTTGCTGCAGCCGCGTCCGAGGCCGTCCCTCTTGTTTGGTGGGCCAAGAACACTTAAAGACACTCACCGAGCCAGCCATAACCCGAAAGAAGCATGAGACCCCAGTGCCATCTGGAGAATCCGACGTGCTCATTCATCACGCGGTTGATGATGTACACTTTCTTCAGGTAGCTCTGGGAAAGAGCGGCTCCCTCCACATGCTCGGGATCCTCCGAAGTGACGTCGATGTAAGGAGCCTTCTCGTCGGCCTCCTTGAAGGAGTCTCGCTGTCCCTTCTCCTCCACCTTAGACACCTCCGTAGCCTCAACTTTGGGACTAGTCGACATGATGATATGGGTGGTGATTGCTTCGAGACTGGCAGTGACGTATGTCGACTCTGTTTGTAGCCGGGACAAGTTTGATCGCGTGCGGACCAAAAGTGTTTATATATAAAGCCGCGCGCTTGAGCTTGTATAGCGCGACAGGCCGGTAGTCGCCGGAAAGAGGCGCACAAATGACAAGCGTGCGGAGAGGTTCAGGGTGAAGTGCAGACCTGAATATTGTGAAGCCACACGGCGGTCTGTCGAGTCGATTCACAGGTGCGTTATCAGGAGGGAGGGGGTTATTGGCCGGGTCGGGGAGAGGTATGGCCTGATTATGAATGTTTTCAGGGCGCTGGAAGCAACATGCAGCTGCAGGCCAACTAAAGCCAAGAGGAAGATTGCAGCAACGGCGCAAGGCGAAGCGAGACAGAGCCGAGCACAAGGCCACTCACGACTGACTTTCGACATAGACCGCGACAGAGCGACAAGCATATGTGTCTTCTCGTGCCTATAGTCGTCGCGGTGTGAGTAGTACAGTAGAGGGGTGGGTCCGGTTGCAGATGCAGGACTCTGACTGCATGCATGTACGGTACTGTACCCAACGGTGCGGGAGGAGTTGTACGTCAGCTCGGTGGATGTGACCCAGCGGCGGCGGGGCCAACGGCCACCATGCATGCATGCAGCTATAGCTTACCGACAGATTCGTGTCGCCACGAGCCTCAAGACGAAGCACACGACGTGTCTCTCTGGCGTCACGATCGTCTGCAATAATGCCTGCATGGCAAGAAGACTGACTCGCAGTCGCCACAAGTTTGCACCGCTCTCGCGCCCGCGCATCCAACTCTAGGACATATGCAAGTCAAGAAGTGCAGTGCAGTAAATCGGTAGGTAAAGTGGCTTGTAGACTCTGCACCTGCGCCAACAGCTTTGACTACACGGCAGCATAATTTTCAGCTTCAGCCATGTGCAGCACTTTGTCGCAGTCATTCGCGACCCACCAGCAGTGAGCAAGTGGTGTGTCGATGCTCGCTCGCTCGAACGCTGCTGAATCACGAATCACGAATGTGGATCGATCGATCCTCATCATCGTACCTATGTCCGGCGACCAACGCACGCATGCAACCTTAACGCGCGCACACGACTCGGCCAGGCCTGCCTGCCTTCTTCAACGCGCGCTGATAGGTCCCAGGCCAGGCCTCTCTCTAGGTGGCCTCGACTTGGCTTGTGTGCGTGATTTTCCCTCCGATGAACGAATGTGCTGGCATGTGGACGCCTCTGAGTGTGGTACTGTCCCGAAGTCGCATGCACAGGCTGGTGGTCAGCTCTTCGACGGGGCGTGCAAGCAATCATCATTCACGAATCACGATCAAAGGACGCGGGGCAACGCATGCGACCAAGCGAGGAACGGGTCCAGAAGTGCTTCCACTCGACGCTCAGCAGGGGCACGTCGAGCAGCAAGTGCCGAGCGATCGCTTGGGAAGCAGCGTCATTTAGAGCTTTCTTCTCGTCTTGCGTCTAGACCGCTCCATTCATCGCATCCAGAGTCCTCGAAGTGCACCTTAATTGTCAATGGCCAGAACCTTTTCCACATTGAGTTCGCTTGCACGAGGGCTCATGCTTGGGCCATCTGCTACTGCCCGGCTCCTTGACACACGTCGAGACCCGCCGCAGGATGTTTGCACCTCTCCACATAAGTCCATGGCCAAGTCTCGACGGTCCGCGGTCAAGCTCGCAGTCGACAGCAGCTGATGGAAATGTGAAGAGATGGACCTCCTCAACGCCTTTGAGCCAATCACGGACTTCTAAGAGACCGGCCGAGCCGGCGACCGATCGAGGAGCGATCACGATGTAATCACGAATCACGAATCACGAATGGTGTCGTGCATGGCGGCTGCATGCGCCACCCAATTGAATTGGTCGCGCTCGGCTTCAGGAACTGATGAATACATTATCTTTGCCGCTGTGTGGGAAGGCAAGTTTCCAGCGTTCCTGAGCAAGTAATCTGCCGCTGCTGCTGCGATGAGCGAGCCAAGAGGGAGAGGCGAAACTCGTATGCATGCATGCCACGCCACAGGCTGTGTATCCTGGCGATCAAGACTTGCTCTGCTCTGACGCTGCTCGGCGTGTGACACTCGTGACTTGTTGACTCTGCTCTGGTGCTCCCTTCCTAGCTGTCGCCTTGATCGGCGTATGTGCCGCCAGGCTGCGTGTTCTGCCACAGCTCTCGCCCTCGCCCTCGCCCTCGCGTGGAGCGTGGGGACGATTTGCCTACAGCTGCATGTTGAATCACATGCATGGTTATTCAAGATTCTTGATTATTACGGGCGACACGCAAGTCGAAAAGGTCGTGAGTCTGATGAGTGCACTCAAAACTGGCATCGTCCGCGTCGCCCGCGTCGCCCGTCGCCTAACGAACATTCAAGATTCAGATTGCTTTCTATTCACGTGATCGACCCTCGTGAGCCCAGTCTTGAGTCTTGACAGTCACGAGTAGTGCAGACAGCAGACGAAAATCTTTTTGAGTTGGAGGCAAGTCACCATTCGTTCTTGCTCTATTGTGAGGGTCAGCATCGCGCTCTGAGAAGCTCCACTCTCGACTCGAACAATGAGTTGGCTTTGGCCGGAAAGCCGTCACTGATGTGCAAAAGCTCTGCTCACACGGTTTCCACGTGTGGGAGTGGAGGCGAAGGAGCAGTCATTCAGAGCGACGCGCCCATGCACTGGCCGCAATCAACAAGCTCCGAACCGGCGCCAAGATTGTAGGCGCGGCGGCAGCAGTGTGTTGCCGAAGCGCGTCGCGTGCACGCGTGGGGTCAATCGAGAAGGTATTCAACTGATTGATATGATAGGCAAAACTTCGGCCCATCTCCCAACAGAAGTCGTCTCCGTCTACGGTCAAGAGTGCGCCATCCCGACCTTATCATATCTCTAAGTCTGAATGTCGCTCCACCTGCCAACTCGAGACACAAGTCTTGCTTGCAACAGGCGTCGCAAGTGTTCCGACACGCGCGAGCGAACCAAGTGATAGACACCCAGATGATGCGCACCCAATGTTGGGCCCGCGATGGTCCCATCGCATCGCAATGAGAGTTGTTCATTTGAAGGGGGGCCATGAACAGTGAGAACCGCGAACTCCTGGGGCTCTTGCTGTCCTATTCAAGATTCGTTATCTATGTTACAGAAGTTGAAAATTGCGTCGTGGAAATACGGATATGGCGAAACTTTATACTTTGCCTTTGCCGCTCAATTGTGCCTCCTCCGCCGCTTCTAGCCTCTCCGCCTCTCTCTTTGCTCGCCATCCTGGGCTCTTGATAATGGTCAATGGGACCAAGGGTGCGGAAGCGAGCGTGATCAATCCTAGTAGGGTAAATGTCCAACCCCTTCCGATGCCCTTGAGGATGTATTGGATGATGGCGGTTGATACAGCAGAGGACAAACAGCGGCACAGGCTGCCGTCGTTCAAAAGAGCAGATTTGTGTTAGAACGAGGCATCTAGGATGTTGGCGTCAGGAACCGACGCTGCATTGCGAGACTCACTTGTTGCAAGCAGTCACAGAAGCACCTTGACTAGCGAGATAATCGACCAACAAGACTTGCGTGATAGCCATGATGCCTCCGACCGAGGCAGCATTGAAAAAGAACAAGATGATGGGAACGGAGATGTGCACTTCTGATTGGAGGCACCAGCCGTAGCCGATGAATGTCGCGCTCGCCACAAAGATGTAGATGGGGTACCTCTTGAAGCGCGCAGCTTCGAGCGGGACCGCTTGATTGGCTGGTGGCGTGGGCAAGGCAACCGCCGCCGAGGCATGCGCGGTGGAAGAGGTGCGACGAGAAGCAGTAGGATGCAGAGCCTCTCGTGTAGCCTCGTTGGAGCCGTCATCTGTTCTACCTTTGATCCTGCTCTGCTCGCTATGCGGTGAGAGGTTGGCAGCAGCGTCTGTCTGATCTGCACCCTTCTCACACGAGTTGGCCTCCACGTCACTCTTCGACCGCGCTTCCACCTTTCGCTTAGCAGTCGCATAGTCATGGTCCATGATCCAACCACTCAAAATGCTCGCCAGCACCGTTCCGCTTCCGCTAGAGAGAAAGATCAGACCACTCTGCAAGGTGTTGAGGCCGTACACACCAGCAAACGGGTCGCTGATCGTTGTTGTCCAGCAGTAGAATGCGGCGTACGGAATGGCGTTGATGATTAGTAGCAAGGTGATTTCGTACCTGGCAAATAAGCGCAGAGGCTTGAGAGGTCTGGAGAGGTAAGATAGAATTCTTCTACTGCGGCTCATGCCTGCATGAGAGGGATCTGAGGGCCAACCCTTTCGCCTTTCCCCCTTGAGCTGGGACACCGTCTTGCCTTGAATCAGCGTCCACAGAGCTTCGTGCCACACCGTCGGTGGAGGGGTGCTGCCATTGCCCACAAGAGATCTGAGAGTCTCGGGCAGGAAGAGAACTAGCAAGAGCAGCGCCACCGCGCCCAAAGCAAACAGGAGCCAAAAGATCGCTCTCCAGCCCGCCTCCTCGCCAATGATACCGCCAACGATGGGCCCAATCGAAGGCCCGCCTGACCGCGGCATCCACAAAAAGTCGCGTCAGCGCTTCATGAGCCATTTAAGTACACCACGAGCTGCTCACCAGCTATGCCAGCCTGAAAGATGCCGTAAGCTCTGCCTCGCCTATGCGTAGGGATCACATCCCCAATGGCACCTGCGCCAATGCTAATCAGGCTTGCTGAACCCATGGCTTGAATGAGTCGGAGGACTAGCAAGCCGGGATAGCTGTCAGGCAGGTTGGCCAGCACGACGTTTGCGACTGCGTAGATGATGAGGCAGATGAAGAAGATGGGTCTCCGCCCTGCAAGGTCGGTGTACGATCCAAAGATGAGCGGGAAGATGCCTTGACCTGTCCGGGAATGGCGTCATCGGTTCCGAAATTCGCTGCTGCTCAGTCTGACTGCTGGGAAGATACACAAAAGAGGGCTTCGGATGCTCAGCCCACTTACCGACGGCAAAGATGGTGACGGAAAGCGTCGCATCTTCGATGGGGACATTGAGGTCTCTCGAGATCTCAGATAGCACGGGCAGGATGGCATTGGCAGTGAGAGGCGATAAAAATGCAGCGAGCGTAGCAGCTGCGATGATGATGCTGACAAGAGCGATGATAAAAAGTAAGTCGTCGTTGCCGCGCGATCAGCAACCAGTGACAGGCGCGCGACCTCTACTGACTGTGTTTGCGGAGAGCTGAACGTCGAGTATGGCTCTTCTGCAGTTTGATCCGCTTTCACCTTCCCACCCTTCCTCTCTCTGCTGGATGCTCCATCGTCCTCGTGAGGATCATCTTCGTCTCCAAGGCCTTCCACGGAACATCTTCGCTCCGCTTGAGATCCTAGCCAAGCTGCGCTCGCGCCAGCTGCTCCACTAGGACCTCCGTCGCCGGTCGGCACTGCTAAAGCTGCTTTACCATCCACCATGCCAGACGAGTCGGGGTTTTGCGCAGCGCAAGAAGCTCGATTCTGCGAGCTTTCTTTTGTATTCCGAGCCCTGGCCAATAGATGGAACAACCACGGCGTGCTGAGGTGGATGACAGGGTTTGTTCGTGCCGTCTATGCGGAGCAAGAGCGGGCGAAGAGAGCTTGGGAAGAGCGCTCGCTGCCTTGAGCTGTGTCAGATGTGTATCACGAGGTTGCAGATGAAACGAAGACTCGAGATCTAGGAGACGGATCAGGTCCAATGACTACTCAGGTGTATATATATGTCTCTTTCGGTGCGCACCGTGATGGCGATTTGGATGGAGAGCTGAGCTGATGGCACACATCCCGCGAAGGCTCACGCATAATCACAATCAAGATGGAGCTGCTGCACGGCACGCACGCAAACCCCCGCATCGTGTATGCTGCACCTCTTGCACACACCTCGGCACGTCCGATAATGCCGGACACGCAGCGCGTCTTTGGTTTGGCCGAGCGGTGAGCACGAAGACCGAACAAAGCCGAAGTTTTGGCGCAACCATCACTCGTCGGGACATGCACAACTAAGTTCAGCGGTGCGATCATCGGTGCGGACGGCTTTGCAACACTGTGCGGACTGGATGTCGACGGAAAAGCGCCATGGAGCTTTGATCTCACTGTTGGACGTGTGGCACTCAGCAATGCCATCCAAATCTTGACAGCAAAGAAGATGAAGCTAGTTACCCAGCGGACGTGATGTGTGTGAAGCGAGACAGGAATAGCATGCGAGGTGCGGTGCACGCGAGAGCGAGTTGTGGCATGAAAACTAATGCGTGAAGTATCTCTAAGTGCGATTGATGAAACGGCGATGCTGCATACCGAGGTCAGCATCTCTGGGCAGAAGCTGAATCTTGCTAGGTTGTATTGCTGACCGGGAAAGAGCTAGAGGCGGCCGGCGTTAGAACGGTCTACATCCCACCCCAACCGCTAAGGGCAACAGATCAGTCGGAAATGGCGTCAGCTTGCTTCATCGGGCGGCTGGTTCGCATTGATGTGGTGCACTCACCCGTTGTCCATAGAAGCTTCTAATTTGCGTGCTACAAAATGGCAGACCGAATGATTGAGCCACTGCTTGCGCAGCTCATCGTACCTTTGCATGTGCAACCTTTGAGGCCTGCCTTTCCTGAGTCCTATGTCTAGCTCTCCATGCGTGTCTAGGTAGGGACTATACGTGAAGCTGCCATTTCCAGCGTAGAGCAAAAGCACAATGTTCGTCTTGACCTTGAAAAAGAGGCCCATCGATCCTCCGCACTCGTCGAGATGCCAGTTGCATTCCCCTCTTCCGCTCGCCTCGTCCTCGCAGCAGAAGCTCTGGAAGCAGACTGTAGCACCGCATGTCAGACAGATTGCTGGCTCGGCAGGCGACTCTCCGCAGCGCTTGCAAACGACTCTTTGGGTATCCTGCAGCAGCGCAGCCAGGTCGTGTGGAAGCGTGAGCAGCTCGTAGATTGCCGGATGTTCTAGTTGGACCATAGGATGCGCAGAGGATGAGTGCAAGTGTGCGCTAGCACTAGAAAGAGACAGCGGAGAGGGGTGGATAGGCAGAGGCCTGAATAATGAGGCCATGGCGTTGTACGCATGCTTGATCCATCCCTCGATGATTCCAGTCAATGCGGTTTGTCGCTCTACGCGTGGAGGTATAGCCTCAGCTGGGGTTGGGATGCGCATCGCGCGCATTAGGCGCAAATACTCCATCGAGCCTCCCGGTCCATCAGCGCTACCACTTGTCGATGCGAGCGGAACTTTAAGGGCGGCATGTAGAATGGCGGCTCGGCGCAGGAAAGGCAGCGTGTACGAACACAACATCTTGCCCAAGCTGGCATCATCTAGGCCATCCACGCCCAAGGTGATCTGGCCCCAGGCGTAGCCAACGTAGCCGATGATGTTTGCCAAGGTCCATCTCACATCCGGAAAGATGCTTTTGATGGCGGCAAGTTCGTCAGCAGATACTGTAGATGCCCGCACACCGAATCCAGTTGCTCGACCAAGACCCCCGCCATTCTGAGGCCAGACGCTCGGCTGCGCTATACCAAAGATCGTATGGACCAGAGTGGCGTAGTACATGAGAGTCGTGACGTGACCCAAGCTTGCAGGCGCGAGAATTGCCGTCTCTATCAGGATGGTGAGCGGATCGCGCAAAAGCAGTGGTGAAGCCACGCTGGCATCGTTGCCCCAGTGAGGTAGCAGTCGCTTGAGAAGACCTTGTTGCATGAGTGCAAGAGCTTTGTTCCCAAGCGGTGCCGTGACATCGCTGCCTTTAGCACTGCCAGGCACCGAGCGAGCAATGCTGCTGAGACAATGCAGGAGAGAGCGTATCACCTCCATCGTGTGGGGCAGAATTGCATCGCCAATCGCCGAGCCGCTCGTCTCAGAAGTCGACGATGTCGAGCCGGATGGCGTGCCTCGGTGCGCTACTTCTAGCATACCAATGGTGTAGGCAACGAGCTCCTCGGGCATGTACATCTTCTTGCCAGGAAGTGCGGTGATGCTACGGGCGGACCACGTCTCCCGAGCTGATCTGGTCTGAGCCGACAGAGGTCTGAGCACAACAATGAGCCGATCGAGCATCTTCATCGTGTCCTGGTCCAGATTGCTGTCGGAAGTGGTGTCCACGCGCCAAGTGAAGGCGTTCTCGGCATACCATGGCAAGAATGAACCGGTCCCATTCTCGCCCTCTTGCAGCTCGGCAGACGTGTTGTTGGCAGAAGTCTTCAAGATGTCTATGTTGATCTTTCTCAACCACTCCGAGATAGGGAGTTCGAGCAAGGGCGCAGGCGACAAAGAAGAGGCGTCCGGCAACGGCAACAACACGTTCCCAAGGCTCTTGCACAGTGGGCAAACGAATTCGTGTCTCCCCAGAACCTCGGGGTGATTGCGAGCAATCTGCTGGGTATGGCGCTGCTCAATGCTTTTGCAGTAAGACTCAAAGCACGAGAGATGCATGGAATGGCCGCAAGTAGAGGCGTGGAAGCCAGTACGATGGTCCTCCACGGGGTTGAAGAGCTGAGCCGGCCGGCGAGCCTCGTTCTCTCTGGCGGGGTATGTATCTTGCTGCGACACGCGTCGGCCGCTCGACCCTCCACGATCAAGGCTTAATGGGACGTCCATCACTTCTTGAAGAGCGTGCGCTTGCCTCCTAGGTGTGGTGCGCATGACGCGGCTCGTCTGGATCAATGCGAGACTGCCGAATGCCCTTTGCCTCTTGAGGTCTTCCTGACAAAGAATGCAGGTCCCTAAAGACTGAGGCTCCCTTTCTTCCTCTCGACGTCCAACGGCCTGAGCATAGTCGTCGGCGTCATCCAATTCGTCTTCTTCTTCTTCTTCGTCGTCGTCGTCGTCATCATCCAATGACTCTAGCAGAGACTTTTGAGCTGCAGAAAATTGGTTCAGGATGGCTGCCTGCCGCGCCTTCGCTGCGGCTCGTTTTGGATCCTCGGCCGGTGCCTTCGCCGACGCGGAGACGTTCTGGCGGGCGATGCGGTCATGACTCAAAGCCGTAGACGCAGTCAGACGATCCAAACTAATCGCGTGATCGATAAGCCAAGTGCACTTCGCCTTGATCGGCTTCGATGAGGTGCGCTTCTCGATGTTCTGCAAGGCGCCAAGCACCGTCGAGGCCTGCCGAAAGGCGGGCGCGCGCAGGAGGGTGGCCAGATTCCTGACAAAGTCACCGCCGCGCTCGACGACTCCTTGAAGCAGAAGCTGCAACGCGGCCTCGACGTAAGTGTCGTCGATGGCGCGCTGGTCAGGCTCCGGCTCGTCCGCAGAGCCGTACAAATCGAGAGTGGAGAAGACGGCGCGTGTGAGGACTCTGCTGTTCAGCGCTTCGCGCAAGGCATCGACGACGACGCCTTGGCCAGCGGCAAGCCTACGCGTTGGAAGTGCCACGTAATTGTCCGCAGCTTCTTGCATACCACCGATTTTGCGCTTGTGACGCAGACGGAGCACCTCGTCTGCCTTCTCGCGCTGGTTGCGAGTATAGTGAAAGAAGTAAGGTTGTACCTCGTCAAAGTATTCGTCCTTCAACTCGAAGATTCCCAGGTCGGTAGTGCCACCTGGAGCTCGGAAGTTGGAGACTTGAGCAAGAACGCGATCGAAACTGGAGTGATCACATAAGCGTTCGGAAATGTGCCTCGTGAGGTCGGAGTACTGCCCTTGTCCGAGAGCGAGGAAGTGAACGATCTCGCGTCGCACCTGGTCCTCCATCGAACTCCCGATCGCGATGCCGGTCTCCGAGAACAACGTGATCAGCAGCAGCAGGAGCTCTTCCGCCAAAAACCTCGCCTGGTCGGGATCGATACGACCGTCAAGCGCGTGATCGCCCTGCATCCACTTTAGAAGGCCGAAGCGGTCGATGATGGACACGAGCATGCGATCTGGCGAGACTAGTGCAAGACCGGCTTGGACGAGGAAGAGATCCTGATCATACATCACGTCCCGCATCGAATGATCACGATAATGATGCGCTTGGGATCGGATGGCAAATCCATTGCGCACCCACATCCCGGCTCTAATTTGCGCGAGCTTGACTACCACTCGCAGCGGAAAGTCGATGATGTTGAGAAGAGATTTCTCGTCGATGTCGCTCGGAAATATGTCGGCCAAGCGCAACGCTTGACTCCTCCCATTCGAGAATGCCCGATTAGCGTGCTTGAGAAGCTCGGCAAAGAGTGCGTGCATGGGATGGTGGAACGACACTGGGGTTCGGTCGACTTCGAAGAGGATGACTTCATACTGGTCGTCGTCAAAAATGACTGAGCGGAATACGATGGGCTCGTACGATTCAGGCAAATTTTGATGCAGGGTGAGAAGATTGAGGAGCAGATTCCTCGCCGCTAGTAGCAGCGCATCTTGAAGTTGTCGAGGCGTGGCTTTGTGGAAGGCTTCCCCAAATAGCTTTGCAACTCTGCCAAGCTGCGTCGAGATGTGGAAGATGGGCACCCACGTTTCGTTCTCGAACTCTACATGCTCCCCAATTGCTCTGCGGTCGGGCGTGATCGCGTTGAACAGGCTCAGTAAAGACAGGAGATGCTCCAAGTGAGGAGGTTGCGAGACCAGCAAGTCTTGGACTCCATCGGCCAACAAGACGTATCTCAGGTCCGAAAAGATGTGGTAGCATCGCTGTTGGCGCAGTAGCATCGATGTAGTGTTGGCAACGCCATTCAGCGGCGGAAGCGGAGGCAGCTCGATTGCGCGCGCCGACATGAGATTGCCAGTGAAGATGGACTGCAGCATCTGCAAAAGCTTCTGGAAAAAGTTGACGTCAGAACGGAGAACGAGCTCGCGGGCGACCGAAGGGACGCTGAAGAGCTGTACCGTCATAAGACAGATCGAGTGTTCCGGCTCGCGGTCCTTCAATATGAAGTTCTCGATTGCTTTCGGATATACTCGAGCAAAGCGAAGAGCTGTCGCGACAAGACGGAGTGAACATATCAGAGCAGCTTTATGGCAGATTCCAAAAGATCGTACTTACCAACTTCTCGTCTGACTTCTCGAGCACCGATGATTGCCATAAGCGTCTTCCGAGTCAGGGCTCTTGCCGCCTTCCACAATCTGATATCGAGAAGCAACAGGGCATCAAGCTTGCGCAAGTCACGAGTGTCGAAGTAGTCGTGCGACATCATACCCTGCTCGACTGGCTTGCGGGGCGACCAGCGCTCGAGCAATGCTTTGCATGTGATCGCACGCATGGCAACTGCATTCGGAACAAGCTTGTCGAGAGGGTGGCTGAAATCGAACATCCTGTCAGAGGTTTCCGATGGCACGTATAAGGACGCATTTGCAAGGTCGAAGATCATGCTAAGAACGTGGTGCGCAACCTCTTCTGCAAAGACGTCGTACGTAGCACTGATAGTGGCACCCAAATCGACAGCGGTAAGCTTCCGAGAAATGACGAGAAGTCGTCGAACGTCTGAAGAGCTGTAGATCACGTCACGGCCCTGTGCAGCGAGGACGGCACGTTAAGCCAGCAATGAAGACTGTCTAGGCACAGTGTTTGCGACTCACATGACGATCAATGCGCTCGGCGATCCTCTTTGCTCGGTTTTCGCTGACGTCCACGGCGTCGACCACAGTGTCAATGACCGTCTTGAAGCTGTGCTTCTCATCATTCCAAAGAACGACCGAATACATGCGCTCCGGAGGATTGCCACCTGGAACGCGAGGCTCGGCGTCATTGCGCAGATCTGGCTGTCGTTCGATAGCAGCAATGCTGGGGCGCGGCTTGCATTCAGAGGGCGCATGCTCCACTGTATCGAGGACGTACGTGAGGAGAGTTGTGAGGTGACTGGTCAGGCCCTCGAGGACGTCGCGTGGTACCTTGGCGATCAGCGAGTCCACTAAAGAAGCGCCTGTGCTACCACGCATGGGCGACTTGGCCGACGCGCTAGTGCCAAGCCTTGTCCCACCATCCTCGACAGCAGAGTGATAGGTGGAATGGTCATCCTCTTCATTGTCGGCAAACTCATCGTCCACTGCCATTCGTCCGGAGCCAGCAGGGCCCGCTTCATCCATCGAGACATCGCCAGCATAGCCCTCAGCTTGTGACTTCCGACTTTCGTGATACTTGCAGCCAAGATGATTTTTCCACGCCTCGTCGTCGCCACAGTCGCAGCAGCCGCCACTGGAAGCGCTGACGCTAAAGACGATGTCATGGCCCTCATGGCTGGAAGCGTTGAAGCAGGGTGCACACTGAACGCAGGTGTCGTCCAAGCCGCAGTCACTGAGGCTCAGAAAAGCACAAAGAGTCAAGTCGTATAAGTTGCACATCAAACTACGAGCACGACTCCCCAACGCACTCACCGACATCGATAGATTGCTTCACCCTTCTTGAAGACGTGGCCACATGGCATCCCACGACGCTCCACGGAGTACTCTGGACCGAGATCGAATTCGGCTTGACCGCTAAGCGGAGACGACATCCTGCCCTCCACTCCTTTGCCTTTGCCATCGCGAGCGGCTTCCGCCATAGCCTTGACAGCTCTACGCTGTGTTTCGCACAGATTCCAGTCGCTTTCTTCCAGCAGCCGGAGAGCATGTTCGCCCGTTGGTGCCAGTTGGCGAGGGAGCAGGTATGCAGCAGGCACGAGTGCAAACATTGTTGACCATAGCGATCGATGTAGAGCCCTGACGCACATAGGAGTCAGCTCGTACTCTGGGCCTTCTGCCAGACCGCCTATGTGCGCATCGATGAACCAAGCACTGGAGCCTTGAGAGGTGCGGGGAGCCGAGGCGTAGGTATCGAAAGATCCGCTAGCTTGGCCACTCTGAGCTCGAGATCCGCCTGACGGAGGGATGAAGAGGAAGTCGTCGTCCATCTCAGCAACTCTAAGCGGGCTGGGATCGTTGCGAGAAGCACCGAAGCTAAAACCTTGACCGCGAGGCCCATCTTCCTCGCTGAAGTCTTCGTAGCTCATTGTTAGAGTGAGGCGTCAACAAGATTGTGAGGCGACAAGATCAGTAGCGGATACGCTTGAAGCAGTGGAGCTGAAGCTGGTCGAGTAGGCAGAGCCTACCCTACACTAGAAGCCTCCTGCTGGCGTACTTCTCCTGGTGCTGGGCACGCCACAACCACGGCGGCGAAAGGGTCCGGTTGTGAGAGGGGAGGCAGCCAATTTGAAGCGCCTGTGTAGCTTTGAGTGGACGGAGCAAGCGATGGCAGGGTCGTAATGTGCTTGACGTAGTCAGAATCGAGTTGTGAGTGGTGAGTCAAGAGTCAGTGGGTGTGCTGCGTGCAATCGCATATCACAAATGAAGCTACCGCACTCTGCTGCTGCTGCCGGTCGTGAGTCATGAGTGTACTAGGCCTTGCTGCATGCATGGGCTGATGGGCACATGATGATATCAATCAAGAATCACGAGTCGTGAATCACGAATCACGTGAATGTAGGTGGCGGTAATCAAATCCCTGCCGCAAGAATATCCGCGCAGTCCAACGCGCGCCAAGTCACCGCCTCACGCAATTCGGTGGGATCGATCTCGTCTCTCTTGCGTGCTCGTGCAAACACATCAGCTAACAGCTCAAGACTTTAAACGGCTCAAGTCTTGAGTGAGTCGCTAGTCGAGTGTGATTCTTCAGGCAAACTTTACGTGTTTGACCTAGCGCGCAGGTGGTGAATCGGTCCTTTGGGCCACTCAAGACTTTGTTGTCTCTTCTACTCCGGCTAGCGACTCATCCTCAGAAAGCATCAGAAAATCCAGAGGGAAGCATGCAAAATGACCCTAGCAAGCTGGTACAGTCGCCAGTCAAGAGTGTTCTCTCGCGCTCACGACGCGGACTGGAGGCAGTGCTAACTGGGAACGCTTGCGGACCTCCAACAAGACTGAGGGGCTCTATGTGCTTATTATGGATGAAGGACTCTATGATGGGATATTGGATGTACAACAGGCGCGCACGGCGGCGCCGAGGGAAGTTGACAATGTCGGACGTGGAGCGATGGCCGTGGCGAGGCACAATGTGCAGGGCTTGTCAGCAGCACTTCGAGCGCTCCTGATCAGGCTGCACTGAACGTGGGGAAGCACGTCTTGATGTCCTTGCCTGGATGCTGCGAGGGTCGAATAGGGAATGAACGTTCAGCTGCGAGCCAAGATGGGCCGTTCGGCGCCGAAGATTCTCTATTCTCCTCACCTTTCCGTTGATGTGCTCCATCAGCTGAGCGGCATGGGAAGGGGTGAGAGATGGGTCGTGGATATTAAAGGTCAGCGCGGGTAAAGTGCGCGGCGAGAGGGTTCCAAGGCTCATCAAAGGAGCGAAAAGGTGACACGACCCTCCGTGCCCGGCGCCCTTGTCCATCCCCGCGTCATTCATGACAACAGAGGCTTTGAGAGCGCCGTTACGCCCGGCTCGAGCCTTCCTTCATGGGGACCACCTAAAGACACTGCTCATGAAGGCGTCTGGCTAGACCAAATGCCATATCATAGGACGGCTCGTGCCCTGCGCCATGCCTTCCTTATATTCAAGCATCCGAAAGGGGGCCCTCTCCACCAGTGTTTGCCTAGCAGCTCGAAGAGATGCTCACAGCAGGCGCTCGGACAGTCTGTGACAGCAGAAAGGAAGGCGACACTCTAGATCAGTTCGGCAGCTCACACACAGCTCTTACATCGGCGGGATTCAACAACTCTTGATCACAACTCACGCTCATGAAAGGATGTTTGCAGATGCCGCACTGCACAGTCAGGGATGCCTCTGTGTGTGTGTGTGCGTGTGCGAGCGCAGGTGAAGAGTGCGAGAACGCTAGCTGAGTCATATGCACCCACAATCGCACGGTGTGGAAAGCCTAGCAGAGCGGCATGCCTGTCCAAGCCAACCACTCCGAAGGCAGACCCTCATTGCACCCTTGACGGCACTCACGATTAGCCTTGAGCTGAGAAGTGGGTCCCTTTTTCGCCTCTTTAGCATTGCGTTCCCGCTTCTGTTGGGCACGATTTCCGTTTCCCATTTTGGCGCGTTGCCGCTCAAAATCGTGTCTCTCTCGCGCGACTTTAATACGAGCCGGTACAAGTACGGCTTTCCTCTTCAGCGCACAAAGGCGGGTCGTTTTGCAGCGCTGTCACAAGGCCTCGTGGGGCTAGAGGAGACGAAGTGTGCGCCGGACGTGTATGGTGGTGGACGTTGCTGGTGGAGGAGCTCTCGGATTTCGATTCGAAGGTCCATGCAGGACTTAATCCTCACTCATGGCTATGCAGGACTTCCTCACTCATGACTTTACATTCGCTCCCATCGCAATCACAATCGCGAAATCTTGAATCACCTTGGTCACTGCAGGGGCTCAGGGCACACCCACCCAACCACCTGACTCACACTCTCTTGACTCACACTACAAAGGCACTCGGGCGGTCTCCATGCATGCAGCTTCGGCGTTGCCCGAGCGACCGCTTAAGCACGCAGCTTCACGATTTGAATTTGCACCATCTGCACGGCGCAAAGCTTTTTTAGAACAAAAGGAAAAAAAAAAGGGCGAGGCGTGCGACACACCGCCTCTCCGTCTCCAACAAATTCAATTGATTGAAACGTGTGCATGAAAGCGAGGGCAAGCGCAACAAGCGTCACGTGACTCAGAGAACCCAACTATCAAGCATCCTTGATCTCGAATTCGAGCCGGCTCGACGGCGGTGTCCATTCAACACTCAAAATTATGGAGCACGACCAAGATGCGGATGGACGGACAGCTTCATATCCGCTTTTGGCTGGGCTTGAAAGGCATTGCGACAATCAAAAGATTAGCAGCCAGGCAGCCAAGGCGTGGGAGCAAGGAGGTATCTGGTTGGGATTTGATTCCATGCTCAGCACTCAAGTCAGCAATGATGCGGCGGCGGGGTCTGCCAAGTGCGACACTTCCATGCGATTGGAGAATAATACACGATGTGACGTCTACTGATGACGAGGAGATGGAGCGAGTCGATGCGATAGGAAGCGGAAAGGTGGGTATTGAGCGCGTCTACGGCGTATCGAGTAGCGGCTCTGAGGTCTACGCCGACGGAGGTGCTTGGATCAATGTTGCCGGATCCGCACCAGCAGCTACGCGCTCCAAGATTTCGCACTGCTGCTCTAAGCCCAATTTCCTTCCATCAAGCCACCTGACCAGATCGACCGTCTGGAACAGCACGGCACTCTTGGAGCCAGCTCCACCTCCAGCGCTTCCTCCTCTTCCTCTTCCCTTGCCCCTTCCACCTCCAGGCATCGCTCGCTTGTTCCTCGCTTTCCTCCGCTTTGCTCGAGACACATCGTCGTCCTCCGACGAGTGCACATCGTCCGACTCTCGATCGTCCAAACCTTCATCTTCTATACCAGTACCCGCTCCAGAAGACATTCCCAGTCCCCTCGCTCCAAATGCCCTGCCTGCTTCCAACAGCTCCACCAGTTCCTTGAAAGCTTCTCGAATATGATTCCGTCTCCGTTGCTCCGACAAGATGTGGTTTTGCCGCTTCTCACCATCCGTCAATAATTCCTTCCGCGCGGCTTGCGCATCCGCTGAAGCTCCTCCTCCCGGCGTGCCATCATCAGATTCTTGAGCCTCGTCCTCCGCATCAGCAGCTTCCGCTTTCATCTTCTTTCCCGAGGTCATCGGATGTGCCGAAGACTGGTCCACATCCATGCCATCTGCCCCATAAGGTTGATGTAAGAAGCCTTGGGGTAGATTGAAAGGCAGAGCGGATCCCGGGATGGAGCCTGCTGGAGGATACATGTAGGGCTGGGTAGCATGTTGCGGGAGGTGGGGCAGATGCGCAGCGCTCCGTTTCCTTCCTGGGCCACGACCTCGCTCATCGTCACCTTGCATCTCTTCGTTAGCCCAGCCATCCAACGCGCGGCCAAAAGCGGCGCCGGCTGTCGCTTCTGGCCCCTCTCCGGTAGGACTAGTGGTGTCGCTGACGGCGTCTCCGCCACGCGGGGTGGAGCCACTGTTCGATACGGCAGGCCTCAGTCGCCTCGGGCGATTCTGCCCACCTGCCATGTACTTGCCCGCATTGGCAGCGTCGTAAGAATTGGCGAAGCTTGCGCCCGCCGTTGCAGCCAATCTTTGCGCATCGGCAAAGGATGGCATATTGTCGGGCAAAGAAGGATTGAAATCCCAGCTGGAGTCGAATCCGCCCAAAAAATTGTCCAAGAAGCTCGACTCGCTCGCATCGAACAAAGAAGAGGTGAGGTTCCCTTGCTTGTTCTCGTGCTGCTCAGCTGCTCGGCTTGTCAAATCGTCAAAGGAGAACATTGAATGTCCGGACGGTGGCACAGATGCGCTCCCTGCCCCCGCCGTCCCGTCTTGGTACGGCGCGCTAGCAAGGTGAAGTCCGCCAACACCATTTCGGCCTCCTTCATCTCCAGCATGGGGAGTCATGCTCGCCCTAGCTCCCAAGCTGGAGAAGAGCGCGCTCGTGCTGGGTATTGGAGAGAATGCTGAGGGTCCAGATAGATTTGGCAGCATGTCTGCAAAGCCTGGTGAAGCCAATAGTGAAAAGTCGGCAGCGTCTAGACTTGAGGGCAAATCCAGTGAGACTTGAAAGTCTAGATGGGCAAGTGGATATGTTGTTGAGCTTGGGGGTGGGGCCGCGTGGAGCAGCCCTCCTGACCAAGACGGTTCGCGTGGCTGACTCACCTTCATAGGGTACTGGCATGCTCGGCAGCTCGAAAGCTGCAGCGGCGCCGGGCTGTGTGGTGGTCTTGCTGCTCTGCCAACTGCCGCTTCCGCTGGAGTGCGCAGCACCAGAGGCTCCACCTTCAGCATGATGCTCCATCCGATCCATGGTGCGCGCTGCTCTCTCCGGTGCACAGGAGCACCAATGTGCGTCTGCGAAAGCAGAGTGTCGAGGGAGCTCGTTGCCTTGCGATGAGATCAGGCAGATTCTCTGGGGCTAACGATATCGCTCTAGAAACCCAGAAAGGTGGTGGAATATAACGCAGTCAAGCAGCTCAAAGAAGTTGTCGAGGCGCACACTGAGCTTCGTCGTTAGCCGCCGGCGAAAGTGAAGGCAGCCAACGGCGTTGCACGGAATGAGAGAGAGCTGTGCGCAATGCAAGAGGTGCGAGGAGCAGGCGGGACGCGTGTGTGCAAATCAGAGAAACGTCTGCTTCGTGGGTGGAGACAAGAGCGTCGAGCGTCGAATGCTGCCGCGAGCGGAGAAGCTTGGTGTGCGATGAGGGAGGGATGGTGCAGGATGTCGTACGCTTGATTGGTCGGGCTCAGCTTGAGGATTGATGGAGAGGAGGGAGAATGCGGAGAAGCCGGCCAAAATTGCGGTGCGCATGAGCGTGCAGCAGGCGCGGGCTGCTGCAGATTTGCCTCACGGTCGAGAGGTGCATGGATGCTGGGTGGATGGGCCCACACGCGGCCTCGCCCCGCACTCACAACTCTGCCGCGCATTCGCCTGCTGGACGCACACAAACACACACACACACACACACACACACACAGCACATGCGATGTTCTTCGATCGATCGATCGATCCCGCTTCAACATTCGATTCTGATGGAACCTTAATTTGAATGAATGGATTTCGATTCCCTTGCTTTTCGCTCTAGTGAAGCTCTTTGACCCCTTGAATTGGTGAGTGTGACACACGATCCTCCAGTGCGACCGAATACTCGACCGATGCTCGAGGCACGCTCTTCACCCACGAGGATAGCCGATGGCGATGGGACACACACCGTCAGCCATTCAGTCAGTCGCGGACTTCACTCACACTCGTGACTCTGATATCAACAGCCTCACGCCGTCGCGAGATAAGAAGGGAAGAGCGGGTCATGTTCATACCTTCGTACTTCAATCATCGAATTGTTCAGGATTCAACATTGCTTGTGCGGGCATCCTTGCATACCTACCGCCTCGTGATCCATCACGGATTCACAATCTGTGATTGGGATCGCGGTCTACAGCCGCAATCGTGAATCTTTGCCGGGTAACATGCCCGCGGCGAGCAAGCAAAGGGACGCATATCCCCCCGCCTGCCATATATCTTGCAAGTCCATCGATCCCTCCGCGATGTCGAACCGCACCCAAAGTGCACGACGGCGCGACAAGAGCGTGAGCAAGTATTGTGAGGCGCTTGTGGTGAGTGTCGTGAGCATAGAGCGACACGAGGCTCTGCCCGCAAGTCTGCCAGCTCCACTTACTTCAATGCGGTCGGTCGCTCGCTCCGCTGCTTGATCGCTGCACGATCGAGCGCGTCTGTCTCCATTTCAAAGTCAGTCAGTCAGTCAGTCAGTCAGTCAGTCAGTCAGTCAGCTCCAGCGGCAGCGCGTTCAGCCCCAGCCGCACACAGACGAACATCACCGCCAGCAGCTAAGAAAGCCACACGCGAGCGGACTTAGTTTGGTCTCAAAGAGATGTCCAGTCGTGAGTGTCGAGTCAGGATTGTGCTGACCGACGTACGTGGAGGTGCGTTCTATTGCATCCCACCGCACGCAGCCAGCCGCAAAGGGGGGCCTGGCCTGCCTGCCTGCCTGCCTGCCTGCCTGCCTGCCTGCCTGCTGGATTCACGATTTTGATTTTGATCCTTGTGCATGTGTTCGGGACTCTTCAAGCAGGAAAGACGCTTTCTTCACCAACAAAGCGAGCGCACTTTTGTTATCTCATTCACCAATGACGTCGTTGACATGCCAAGCGCTGCCCGCTGCGTGTGCTCGCATTCGTGGTGCAGAGTGTCGTGAGCCAATCAATCCTCACGACTCGTGACTGTGTGAGTCTGAGTCCGAGTCCGAGTGCGAGTGCGAGTCCGAGTCGTGAGTGTAGCTGTTGGCGTGCAATCAACTCCTTTCATGCGGATCCGATTCGACGATGGAGATCGCGGTCAAGCCCAGCCAGCCTGTAGGCATGGTCGCTCGCTGCAGCATGGGCAGCTAGCTATCCACATGTGTACCGGTACCGTACAGCTGCTGAACGTGTGCGCATCGATCGTTGGCGATTGTGATTGCTCTCAACGCGCACCGCTTTGTTCCTCTTGACTGCGGTGACCCAGCTCCCTGCACAACATGGCCTATCGTGTATCACAATCGCGCTAAAGATTCACGATTGCTTGGCAACCTTGAATTGCGGATGTGGATGACAATTGAATGATGTGAATAGCAGCACAACTCGACCGTGCCCGACCCATGGATATCGCTGCGACGATTCAGATTGACCCATCGCGATCAAGCAACAGCAGCTATAGGCGGGAGGGCGTAAGCACGCGTTGTTCACGATTCACGATTCACGATTCACGATTGTCGCGCCCCCGCTCGGTGACGGGCGCGTGCGTGCCGTGCGTGCGTGCGTGTGCATGCATGCATGGTGGTGCGTGCGCCTCAACGTCCCGCCTCTTGGCAATGTAACAATTTGAATCACTACGTTCGCTCCATTTGCATCCAAATGATGATGGCTATTCGACATTCGCGATTGCATGCTATCCATTCCTCCTGGCTTGACGATCGGAAACAACTCTACAGCCACGACGCTCGTCACTGCCCGCGGACTGCGCTCGTCGGTCGTTGCGTTGCGAAGATAGAGCGGACTTCGGTGCTCGCGCGAGTCGCACTGGCGATCGACGACGATCTCCTTTAACGATTTCCGCAACGATTTCCGCAGCGGGAGGCAGGGACACCCGCAGGCAAACGCTTTCTCGTAGCGCTGGACTCTAGCAAACGGCATAGAATGTCACGCGATGCTGCCGTCCCATTATCTCAGTCGTCTGCGCAAGAAGCCAAGAGCTCGCAAGTCGGTGTAAATGAAAGCGCACACGAAGCGCTTGCTGAGGCTGCATCGACGCAACTCGACTTGCACACCTTGGTCAAGCATGAAGCTCCCTCCCAGCAGCTCTTGCGCTTATCGATAACTCGAGTGACCCATGCCGTGCCCCCACCCCATCATGTCGTAGTGCCAACACCCCCTCCATCGCAATCTTGGACTGGATGGTTATCCGGTTGGTCAGGTCGACCCACTCCAGCCCCAGCCTCAGGAGCCGCCCTGGAGTCTTCGCACGGACCGGTGCCACAGTATCATAGCCGAGTCAGCACTTCAAGTTTGACCAAAGAGCCCTCTAAGAACGACCAAAATGCTGCTGCTGCGAACGCAACCTCTCCGAAAAAGGAGGCTCCTCGCACCATAGGCTTCCGGAATCCCTGGCCTTCGTGGCACAAACCGACGCTACCGGAGCTCTGGGCAGGTCTGGACTGGGGCAGTCCAAGTCAATCGGAGACTAGGGAATCATCTTCAAGCACTAGTCTGCAAGGTGGAAGAGGGGCAAGTGGCGGAGGAGAGCTGCCCGAGTCTCACACGGCTGACCACGTGCCCTTACGAGTGGTGCAGCCAACCTTCGCCCAACCGGCCGCTGAGACGGGCATTGCAGCTCCAAGCGACGCAAAGCAGAGCAAACAGCGCGTTGGGGCTACCTGGCTCGGCCATGCCGGGGTTCTGCTGCAGATGCCAAGCTTGAGCAAAAGGGAGGAACTTAGCGAGGGAGCGACAGCACGCGTCGAGCAGGATTCTGTCAGATTGCTCTTTGATCCGATTTTCTCTGAGAGGTGAGTAGGCGCAACTTCTATGGCCAAGGGGCGGTCCCAAGTGGAGTCGACGCTCAGAAAGACCAGATGCAGTAAATGCATGGAAGGATGCAGCAGCAGCCTCAGGTGACCTAATACGTGGATGCCAGCTGACAGGCTTCCCACTTTGCAGGTGTTCTCCCACGCAGTACTTTGGCCCCGCTCGAGCTTATGCGTCTCCCTGTGAAGTCAAAGACCTCCCTAGTATAGACGCGGTGCTGATTTCTCATTCTCACTACGATCATCTCGACTTGGCGACCATCACTGAGCTGTGGCATCACAACAAGAGACGCATGAGATTCTTCGTGCCCCTCGGTCTTAAAGAGTGGTTTGTTGGCACGGCTTCGAAGGACGGAGGCGATCAACATGCTGGAGCTCTGGGCATCCCGCCTGATCGCATAGAAGAGCTGGATTGGTGGGACTCCATCACCCTCACAGCTGGACCCAGCTCAAATACTTCTTTTAGAACAGATGACTCGAGCGTGAACGAGAATCACGTCAAGATTACTTGTACGCCGGCCCAACACGGGTCGGGCAGGTATGGGCTGGACGCGGGGACCAGCTTGTGGGCGAGCTGGTTCGTTGAGCACGCGCAGCACGACGAGTCAGTGCAGGCCAAGCGAGGCTCTGGCGATGCGGAGGGGCACCAATCCTACAAAGTGTTCTTTGGAGGTGATACAGGATTGCAATTTCATGGCGCGGAGGGCCCAAAAGAAAGCTTCTTGAGGCGCAAACGCGCTGTCAAAGCGCGCAGAAGAGATCAAACGGCGGTTGGTGGAGCGCAGAAGATGTCTGAAGCGGTACTGCAAGAGCTCGAAACTGAGCCTCTGTCGGAGGCGTCCGCCAGTTCATCAAGCCCGTCTTTGTCAGCATCCACACTCGACACGAACGGAGCATCACCAACAGAAGTGCAGTATCCTCCTTGTCCGACATTCACCGAGATTGCTCTGCGGCTGGGCTCTCCCGATCTACTCTTTCTGCCAATCAGCGTAGGCGCCACGCTTTCCTTCCTCAAGTCGTACGATCCATTAGCTTCCTGGACGTCACCCAAAGCATCTTCGACTCGTGGTGACGATTCTCAGACAGAGGCACAAGGCTGGAGCTTGTTTCCCAACATCAGTCCAGGGCTCACGAGCGCAAATCACATGGGCCCCTGGGATGCTTGTAGAGTGCTCAAGAGGATGCAACATCCAAATGTGCCGGACGCAGAATTCCTTGATGGCGACGTTCATGCGCACGGGTACAGCTGCATCGATGCCAACAGCTCTGGACATAGCGCTGCTGCAAACTCGGCTAGGCGAGCAGCTCCGCTGGCAATGGCCATCCACTGGGGCACTTTCGTTTCGGGCGAGGCAGAGGCTCACTCTACAATGCAAGATCTGAAGGAAGCCTGCTCAGAGCAAAGCATCGTCTTTTCAAGGAATGCCGACGGCGCCGCGCTGCCGGCGTCAAGCTTCGCCCAGGATGCAACGTCTAATGGCAGGTCTGCGGCACCGGAATTTACCGTCGTCGATCACGGCCACACTGTGTGGCTTGACAGATGAACCACTACGCTTGTTGTTTTTCGTTTGTACGATAGTATTCTCTGCTGCTCTTCGCAATATACCCTATCCTCGATCTCACACTTTGTGCTTTCGTCGGACTGAAATGGCGCGGCGACTTTCGGTCCCGCGTGCACCGCCACTGCAATCACGAATGCTTTCGACTTTCAAAGTGCTTGGTCGTTCCAAACGTTGCGTACGTGCGTCCTTGGGCTTCTACACCATCGACACCTCCATCAAGCCCATCGATCACACTCACAGTGATGAAGCATTTGCACAAGCTTTTTTTTGCCCGCGGTGCAAGGGCTCACGTCCCCCGGTGCTCGGCGCTCCTCAGTTGCGCGCATCACACTCCTGAGTACTTTACGATGGAGGCCCAACCTTGCGCATCGTTCTTGAATGTGCTCTGAGCCCATCAGTAGCCGTGGCCAAGTTGCGGGTCGTGAGTGTATACATGAACGGACAGGCTCGGATACTTATGAAAGGTTCAACGACAGGCCCTCGGAGTCCGAGAGCGCACGCTTCGACTACTATATGTACGACGCGTTTCTGATGCCAAATATGCCCGGGCCGGCTAGTACAGTGGGATCAGCCTCCTGCCTGGAATTTCGACTCTTGAGCATAGGACTTTCGCTTCCGGTTGCATGACACCTCGCAAGTGGGCTTGGTGCATCCCGGAGGGCTAGTCTTTTGATTTTTTTTTTTTTTTGATTTTTTTTTTTTTTGGGATCCTTGAAAAGCTGGAGCTTACGTTGGTTGGCCACTTTTCAGCAGACCTGATTGTCTTTTCGTGGTTGCACGAGTGTATTGACATGCGCTTGCATCGGAAGTCTTGCCTCTTGGCTGCACTCGGAGTCGAAAGCGAATCTCGAATTAAATTTAGCGGAGCGGGATCGATCACCGGTGACGATTGAATGTGACAGAAGATGAGGGAAGTGGTAAACACAACAGCTAGTGGCTTGTTCGGTTGGATGGAGCTCAAATTTGCAAGGGGATAGGCACTCGAGCAGCTAGACAGGAAGGGACGGGGAACGGATCAGGGCTAGGCTTCAACGCTCCTCGTCGCTGTCTTCGAAGAAGCCTTGGCCGGTCTTCCAAACTCCTCCGCCATCCATGTCGGCTTCTTCCTCCCTTTTCCTTCTCCTGTCCAGCTCGGCCTCGCTCAAAGCAGCTCCATCCTCCCTCTCAGACATGGCCAGAGATTCCTCGTCTTCAGCGAGATTCTGATCTGCCCACTCGTCTTCATGCTCTTCTCGATCAGGCAATGGCGACCTGATCCGACCATTGCGAAGAGGGTTAGGAACGGCTTCGTAGCCTGCGTCCCGCGTCCCGTGCGAAGATGCTTCATGACTAGCGCCTCCGGATACGAGCAACCTGTACTTGAGCCAATTGTACAGTCCGATGCCGACCAGGGCAATGCATAGACCCGTCACGTTGATGGGAGTCAATTCGTCCCCGAATACCGTGGAGCTTATAAAGATAGTTGAGACCTCCTTGAAGATCCCAGCGACTGAGAGCGTCACGACCGATGTCCTTTGGATAAGTCTGCGCAATGCGCCATAGCACGAGGAGTGCGTTAGTCAACTTGGGCTGATTTGCATCATGCTGCTGCCGCACCTCGCACTCACGCAAATTCGCTCAGATTCATGCAGAATGCGAAGGCACCTGGAACAATGGCGAGCGCAAGCGTCCTAACAGTGTTCCCAAGTCCTTCAAAGAATTTGCTGCTAAACATTTCGCCCCAATTCTCGACCGCAGCGCTGACGCTGATCATGGCGACGAACATGACGGGAGCCAGCCAAAAAACGGTGGCGACCGGATTGTTCATGCCCATACCTTCTCTATCCAGCAAGATTTGCGTCAAGGCCCACCGAAGACCTCCCATCGCCGACGCTGTGAGCACCTCTATCGCACCTTCCAACACGAACTGCGTCTCGGCTGCTACCATCATGACGACCTGCAGGCGCGGGTGATAGCATCAGTCGGGCTATTGCACGGTAAGCTCACGGAAGCTCGATACTCTGTCCACTCACGCCGATCGTGATCAAAGTGATGATGCCTATCAAGCTGAGCCTGACCACTTCCAGACGGAAGAGGAAGGCGAAGATGAGCACAAAGGCGAGGTTCGAGGATTTGCACATGGCTGATCGAGATGCGTGGCCAAAGAGACGGGAAAGGTCAGGATCAAGGCCGAATGCAGACGCGGTAAAGAAAGCTCGCGACTCACTGTAAAACGTCAAGGTGATCGTCTTGAGACTCAGATTCGAAAGCCCTATGTCCAGCGCTGTGGCGCAAGCGCACGGCACCACCTTCGAACTGAGGAAGCGAGTGAGGAGATCCTTAGCACATCAGCTCCGGGATCCTTTCTGAAAGGGCCGAGTCTGTCAAAGCTCTTGCTGTGTCATACTCACGCCCAGTCCCTCGCAGCTGGGCGCGCCCGCTTTCCAGATCGTGTGCGGGGCACCCAGCTGCTGCACAAGCTCAAGAGCAGGCTGGAGAGTGCGAACTGCACGAGCATGTGCATGGAGGTGACGAAGAGGGGATATGAGAAGCCGTAGCGCTTCTTGGAAAAGAGCCAAGAATTGTACAGGCTCATGATCGTCGAAAACAAATCTATCAGGCGGGCGTTGACAGCATCAGCCATTCGGCATGTGATTTTGGCGCAAAAAGGCATCAGCTGAGACCCGCGCCTCTCGGTTCTGAGATGCACTCACACCAGCTGCCGATGAGCGAGATGTTGATGACCGCCGCTCTCCAAAAAGCTCTTCTCCTCGCGACCGCCTCTGCGCTGTTGCCAATCGTCAGATCCACCACGCTTTGACCGGCGCTCCTCAAGCCTTGCACATCCACCCCGCCCATACCGAGCGCGTTCAGCGCCCTACTACCGCTCCGTCCAAGGCCGCTCATACTGCTGCTAGCGCTATGCGCCCCCTTGCGATGAGAGCGGGGCATCGCTGCGTCCGCGTCGTCACCAGCAGCCTCATCTACTACGCTGGAGTATCGCGGAGGTCTCTTGGCGCGAATCGTACCCCAGGGCCCGCGATCAGAGTCATCCAATAGCGCCTTATCGCCTTCCTGGCCCATGCCTTCGGCCGACGATCGAGCGTATCTGTCCGAACTGGCCCTCTTGCCCGCAATCGCAGTCTCTTCCGAGAAGCGTCCTTCCGCATCCGCGCCGCCGTCCGCTTCGCTGAAGGTGCTTCCGCTCGCCTCTCCTCTGTTTGTTCGCGTATTGAAAAAGATGGCATCTTCCCCTGTCGTATTCGAGCTGCACGCACTGTTGCTGCCATCTGTCCTACCCGTATTGGTACTGCTTCGACTGCGCGAAGGCCCCGATGTGTCCGCAAGACCAGACATGGTTGGTTTGCAGATCAGCTGGTATTTGAGGATTATACAGCAGAATCGAGCGTGCTCGCCGTGATGGCTGTATGCGTCGGCTCTCTAGTGCGCAATGAGTCACGAGCAGAGCCGCGGAGCTGATGATCTAAGGACTCGAGCAGCTGAAGGCCGTGTCCATGGAGTTGGGAAGCCGCGTGACTCCTTGTCTGTAAGTCTTTGCGTGTATGCTGGTACTGAGGTAGCGAGTTGGGTCACAAGTTGTCATGATCCTGTTGGGCCCTAGCAGCATGCCCCTGTGTCCGCCCTATAAATATAGCTGCTAATGCCAACAGATGCAGATACGTTGCGACTCGGGTTTGAGCCAGGGATGGTCGGATGGATAACGCTGCAGCTGCTGTGGTCGAGTGCTGGTTGCTCTATGCATTCCACGATCGCTGCTTTGTGATGTGTGTCAGCCCATCAACGTCAATCGTGAATCAGGAACGCGGCCTAGATGAGTGAAGGACAGCAGCTGGCGTCAGCATCATACATCAAGATCAACATCATATGTGTCTGTCGATCTCGTCGTCATCAGCCGAGACCAGTTCGCAGGTAGGTGATCTGAATAACCTGTCATGTGCAGCATCAGCTATATAATACAGCGCGCGAGTCTGCGCGCGTCGCGGTTGATCTTGCATCTGCAATTTCAATCACGAATACAAGTACCGTACCCATCTGACATTCAGATTAGACGCTTCTGGCCAGCGCGTGCAAGAGGTCTTCATCCTCAATTTGAGTTCAAGTTGAAGGTTCAAGGTTCTGCATTTCCTTTGAAGGATTCAAATTGGAGCTTGGCTTACAGCACTTTTGACTCAAGTTTCTATTCTAGATTCAATGTCGGCCCCAAGTCAAGAGATCCAGTCAAAATTCGTGGTTCAGGTTCCTCATTCTTGATTTCACGCTCGGTTCCTATAATCTTGAATTAATGTCGAATTTTATGTGTAGCTGTACCGCACGGGCCACGCTCCCCCAACCGTTGGGAAGTTTCCCGCAATTTACTGATACTTGACTCGCAGACGAAGTGTGAACCCAAATCTTCCTGCTTCCTTCATTCGCAGCACCGAGGATCTTCATCCAACTCTGCATGAGCGACACTCGACGTTCGCATTTCAGTCGATGTCCTCACTCAGCATCTAGCCAAGATGACATTCTCGCACTGGGATCCACCCGTACCTCTGTGGTCCGCCACGGACAAGTCGTCTTTCGCCTACGAGTCCACCTCCAAGCGATGGCCCGAGATCTTGGCTGGGACAATCAGCGGCCTCGTGAATGCCTCGCATGCCCTCTCCTACCAGAACGATGGTGAAAATGTGACGGGCAAGATGGAAGAGAGCAAAATCATCATCGAGAAGCTGAGCAAGCTGAAACATGACATGGGAAGAGATAGGCCGCTCGAAGCGATTGGTTTGAGCGAAAGCGATGAGTTGGGCACCGCGGAATTCGACGAGGTGGTCAAGCAGAAGGGCTGGACCTGGTTCAATGCGCCGTGTAAGCGCTGCCTTGATCTTCTAGCGTGATCGATGACATTGGCTGAAGCTCGCTGTTGCGTTGATCAGGGCTGTTTGCCGAGTGCTACCTGTACCGCCTCATTCGATCCTTTTTCGCTACGAGTCAACACTGGAAGTAGTAAGTACTGCTGTGGGTGCGGAGACTCACGCCTCCAACTTCTCGCATCTCTAATTGCGGCTGATCTGACATGCGCTCCCCGCCTTGCCCGCTGGTTTCCTCCCTCAGCTACGACCCATTTGCCGCACAAAAGATCTCGGCTTTTAGAAGCAGCGGCAAAGCGATCAATGAGCTGGCAAAGACGGTGGAGGAACTTGTACGCAAAGCAGAGAGCGCTCAGACGTCCGACTCGAGCAAGGCTGCTGCTGAAGGTGGCGAAGGGCAAAAGGTGAGTTGGTACTGTCAAGATGATGACCATCCTACTTCACGACTGACGTGCAATGCGGCTGACAAATCTGCACCAAAGCTCATCTTCTACTTGCTGGCGCAATCTTCGCTGTGGGGCAATGCTGTAAGTGTGTCCTCTCGACAACAGGCTGCACATGGTCCGCGCAGTGCTCACGACCTTTCCCACCTTCTCAATCGCTAGACCGACCTTTCCTTGCTCACGTCTCTCTCACACGCCGACATTCAAGATCTGCAAGCAGGTGGACTGAGCACCTCGGCCCAAGCCGAGCGAGCCAAGTACATCCTGACCGGTCTCGGCGGCTTGGACCAAGCGTGGGCAAAGGTCAGCGCGGCGAAGGACGGAAGGGTGGACTTTGTGTTGGACAATGCTGGCTTCGAGGTCACTACGGATCTGCTCTTTGCCGACTGGCTGCTTGCAACAGGGCACGTCAAGGAAGTCGTCTTTCATCCCAAGGTGAGATGAGAGAAGGGACATGTACTGGTTGTTGGCATGTGTCCTCACCCTTTTAAGCGCTCTTCATTTTCGACCTGCAGGTGCTCCCTTGGTTCGTAAGCGATGTGACGCCGGCCGACTTCCATTACACCCTCGCAGCGCTCCAATCTTCCGACTTCTTTACGGATGTCTCAGCCGGACAGAGCGACGGCGGCAAGAAAGCAGCAGAGAGCGCGGCTGCGAAAGCAGAACTCGACCCGAGCTACTTTCTCAAGTGAGCGGCGAGCACCTCCAACATGCCAGGGTACCACGAGCCGAACGCTGACTTGCTCTGCAATATGTAGCGCTCAAGGCGCATCCGTTCAGCCCTCGCAGTCGTACGTCATCGATACATCCGCGGTCACCAAACACGTTTCCGCTGCGCAAAATACAAGTGGTTCCACGGCCATTCAGAGACTTGCGGCTCGATGGAGCAAGCACTTATCCGAAGGACGCTTCCGACTTGCTTTCGATGGCAAGCTGGGGCAAGCAGCAGGCCCGCTGGGTGATTTCTGGACATCTTTCCACGTGAGTGCAAGGAACTCCAAGCACGTCAGGTATTCTATTCACCAGGCTTCTGATCCGCGCGCTCGCCTAGTTCTATGCCGACTTGCCAACTGCGGCTCTAGAACTCAACGCCGACCTTCGGAAGTCGAGTCTCGTCATCTTCAAAGTGAGAGCACCGCCGATCCCTTCCTTAAACATTCCTTGCTCGGTCGCTTACCTTCTGGTTTGTCTTTGCCGTCTATCAGGGAGACTTGAATACTCGTAAACTGCTCTCGGACGCTCGATGGCCCGACACTACGCCGTTTGACCAAGCAATGGGACCCCTGGCCGGACAATTCGATACGCTTGTCTTGCGCACGTGCAAAGCGGACGTCTGTGCAGGCTTGAGCCAGGAGAGATTCGAAGCTGTGCAAAGGGAGGATCGTGAGTGTCACGCGCAGCTGAATTCTCCCTGCGCGTAGAGCTGACAAGAACGTCTTCTCTCCATCCTGATGACTCACACCGCTGCTCTGGCCGATCGTCCTTCCTTGACGGCATGAATGCGCAGCGAAATGGCGCGTCAATGGCAAGTGGGCCATCATTGTGTATGTCGCCCGCAAATAGAGCGCCTGGGACATCCGGCGGCTGGTCGCTTCGCTCGCCTGACAGCTCATCGGTGGACCAGGATGCAATGCACATCGATGTCGAATCGACACTCGGAGACTGAGCGCTTGCAACTCATGCCAAATACGCCCGTCTCCGTCTCTCGGCACGAAATTCCACACGCGAACTCATCGTCTAGCTTGAAATCTTTCGAATTTACGCCCTGACCCATTTGCTTTCAACTTCCATGATGCTGGTCTCATTGTTCGTCTTCTCATCGTAATCTGTCCACTCCCCATCCTCCAGAGCGATGTCGTCAAACTTGGTGCCGCTCTCTTCGCCCGCGCATCTCCAGGTCATCTGATCCGCTTGGAAGCCGACGGGCTCCAATCCTCTGAACTCTAGAGTTGTCAAACGCGCATAGTCTGGACCGGTGTAGGACTGCCAGAGGGGCACCTTGGAAGTGGGCGTGTCAAACTCTGGCAGGCGAGAGACGAAGCGGATGGTCGGCATGAGCGGAAGTTGACAGGTGCATCTTGCTCTGACGAGGTACGTAAGTGCTCACTAGCTGATCCTTGATTCTTGCAAAACTGCGTGTGGGACGATGCGAGGGAAGGAGAAAGAGAGAGGAGGGTGTGAGCGCGGCGCGATGTAGCTTGCTGGGCAGTTGTTCCATTACTGTGACTAGCACACAATCGCGCCGAAAGAGTCGATCTGACTCACGCCGCAATGCATCACAAAGTTGGCGACGCCTCTACCTCCCTGCACTTCCACCTCATCCGTCACGTTGAAAGAGACGGGCTTAGCATGTTCCTCTTGACAGCTCGTGCATTTCACCGTTGTCACGAGCTGAGCATCATCCGTCGAAGGCCGCAGCTCCTTTACGCCGCTGAGCTGGGCTCGGATTTGCAAAGCGAGCTTCTGCGTGACAATATGGACGTGGCAAGACGTGCGAAAGTTGAGTGTTGGAAACATGGGCGGACGCTTTGATGTATGCGAGCAGCATGACTACTTACAGGCATGACGTGAGTCAAGGTTGGACCCAAGTCGAAATGTTAGTGAGCTGTCGTGGATGCGGAGGTGATTGTCACCGAGATCAGGATCCAGGGGAAGGTGGCTGGAGAACAAGGTGGGTGGAAGAAGGTGGGCACACGACATCCAGGATCACGCATTGACCAACACCCATGATGCTGCAAGAGTCATGAGTCGAGCCTCAACCTGTTGTGATCAACTCGTGATCGAGTCACGTGCGTTCATGTGCCTTCTGCACGCCACATCTCATATCACGTGCTGAATCACCCTGAAACTCGACTCCACACTCGCGTGCCCTAGAAGGTGGGCTTGTTCACGCGCACATGCATGTCGCCGCTGCACCCTCGGCATAATAATACCTTCGATCGTCATCTGTGACAGCTCTGCGGCCACGCCCTCGAGACGCGCGGCGAATCCATATTTCTCCGGCCCCCGGCACGGAAGTCCTTGCGGCCGGAAGTACGGGTGGGTGGCTTACCAACATTCGATCACGATTCGATCGTAGCTGCAAGTATATGGCTATGGGCTGTGCATCAGCTGGTCTCTCCACGCTTGCTTCTTATTCTCCGAGTAGATCTGGCCCCCAATCTGCAACTCACCACCATCATTGAGGACATTGACAGACGCTCTCACTGTACAGACGATCGTGATACAAACACTCTTCGCTTTCACAATGTCTCTCAATCTAGCCAGCACCATCAAGCTTTCCGATGGCAGAGCCATCCCACAGCTAGGACTTGGTGTCTATCTGTCCAAGGGCAAAGAGGGAGAAGTGGCAATGCAGCATGCTTTCAAGAATGGATACAGGCATCTAGATGGGGCACAATGGTACCGAAATGAGGCGGAGATGGGCAGAGCCTTCCATGCCAGCGGGCTCAAGCGGGAGGATGTTTGGATCACCACAAAGGTCAGTGGGGTTGGGGGAGCAGAGCTGTGGGCACATCATTGTCATTCGTGCCTTCCAAAGCTCACCGCGAGCGATTTTTGCACTCTTCACCTCCCCGTGGTCGCTGCACACACACACAGGTATGGGATGGTGAGTAGCAGACTTGGGCTGTCATGTCGATTTCGCAGCATTCAGTCTGAAAACACCGTGTGCTTCGCCTCTTCACAGCTAATCACGGCTACGAGAAGACTCTGCGATCGGTCGACGAATCTCTGGCCGTGGCAAAGCTGGACTACTACGACTTGTTCTTGCTGCACTCTCCCAATCCTGGCCGAGAACTGAGGTTGGAGGCTTGGAGAGGTCTGATTGACGCTCAAAAGGCGGGCAAAGTGAAGAGCATCGGGGTGTCCAACTATGGCGTGCATCATATTCAAGAGTTGCTGGAAAAGTATCCCAACAACCTGCCAGTCGTCAACCAGGTGAGCATGCCGCTGCCACAGCATGGCAATCGATGCCGCGAAGAGCTTGTTCCTGACGCATCGGCTGCCTCCTATCCCTATCCTGGCGTACAGATCGAGTATTCCCCCTTCTTCCAAGTGAGCCCTTCCAATGACCTCTTTCGTAGGCAGACATTCCGCTGCTGATGACCTAAGTTATCTTTGTCCTCAGCGAAATGAGATTGTCCGGGAATGTCTGAAGCACGACATCAAGATCCAATCTTACTCTCCCCTCGGCAAGGGCGCGTTCGTCGATCTTCCTGAGCTCAAGCAGATCGCAGATGTGAGTCGTTCAGCTCCCAGCCTCGGGCGCAGATCGACCTTGCCTTTGTCGCACGTGAGCGGCCCCGTCGTCTTCTGCTGACGCGACTCTGTCTCGTCTTGCGCAGGTGCATAAGAAGACGCCTTCTCAGCTCCTCATTCGATACGTCTTGCAAAAGGGCCACATTGTCATCCCGAAGTCTGTCACCCCTTCGCGCATCGAGGAGAACGCGGACGTGTACGACTTTGAGCTGTCGGGACAGGAAATTGCTAAATTGGACGCTCTGGAGACTGGCAGTGGAGTCACCTGGGATCCTACCAAAGCGCCTTGATCTGCATACAATGCCGCAAAGCGCATCGACAATGCAATGCGTTAGTCGGAGCATACCAGCTGTTGTTGCAATTGCCTATGATCGCGATGTTTGGCAATGATCCATTTGCCACGACCCTTGGTCACATTGAGACTGTTCAGAGGTCGACAACGACGGGAGCATCCTCCGCGCCCATCTCGATGCCTCTCTCAAACAGTTCCTGCTCTTGCAGCAGAATCTCCTCATCGTTCCTCTCATCCAAATCCACTCCTGATTTTTCCCTGAAAACGCGCGCTAGAACCCTCCAGCACGATATGAGTTTCTCGGACGGATCAGATCGATCCGCATTCGATGGAGTAGTAGCAATGGAAGATGGAGATGCGCTGACCGCTAGAGCGTCGGTGATGGCTGCCCGTAGCGAGTGAAGCTCCTGACTGAGCCAGTAAGCCAGATTGTCATTTGGACCCTGATCGCCCAGAAGCGTCTCTGCGTCCAAAAGATTGAGCTGGGCACATAGCGTCTGCATGAATGCAGCGTGTAGCTCCGGTACCATGTAATCGGTAGCGCTCGACTTGCTGCCATTGCTTGCAGCGGCACTGCCATTGACTGCTGATGCGGCTACTGCAGTAGAGCTAGCCCCATGTAAGATGGCTTCTAGTCCATGACCGGAGACTTGGTGGATGAATTGAGCGCCCATCGCAGCTCTGGATCTGCAAAATAGCTCGACGAAGCATTGCCAGTGGCTCAGCGCTGCGGGGCTGGACAGCGAGACAAAGAGCACGAAGCTGAGTTCGAATTCTGCAAGTAGCGCTGTAGGATCTGTGAACGCAGAGAAGCGAGGTTTGCAGTGGCAGTATCAGCAACGTCAGCGACGCCTTTGTGCGCGCTCAAGATGACACCACTCGACTCACCGCCAGCCAGGGTTTCCACGGCCTTTCTGAGAGCCAAACTTTTGTCCAGACTCCACCTCGTCCTCTCCTCTCCCACCGTGTCTACCCAGCTCTTTCTGAGCAGTACAGGTGTGAAGCGCAGCCTCTTGTCCAGCTCTTCCTCCTTCGCAGCCAGGTCATCGCCGCTCACATCCCTCCGCCTGGCAGTCCGAAGAGACTCTTCCAGCTTTTGCTCGGCCGAGCTGATCTTGCCCGCACAGAGTGGTCGTTCGGGATGCGCAAGTTCATCGGATGTACAACAACTCAGCTGATCCCCCAGCACGCGTTGCAAAGTATCGGGTCGCTTATCCAGCAACGCAGTCGCACGCTGCCAGCTCTGCCAAGAGGAGGTAGGCAAGGGAAAGCTGAGCTGAGTGCTGCGGTTACTTCCTGTGGGCTCTTGCCGAGCTGCGGATCTCGACAACACCGCTCCTTTCGATCCACTGCGATGTCCGCTGCTCAAATCTCGCCGCACGACTTGCCCATCGTATGTCAGGTGGGCAAAGAAGCCGACGCGATTGGTGAAGCCAGGTGGGAGAGAGGACTGGCTTGAAGCGCTCAAGGGCGGATCCCATGCAAAGAAGTGCACACCGGTGGGGACGTTGGTCAAGCCTTGCAGAGATATCTGATTGACCTCAGGGGAAGCGTCCGACAGCGGATAGTCCAGACCTGAAATGTGGATCGTGCTGCCGCCCATCAAGGGCAGCGCGGGATCGAGGTCGAGCGTGCAGGACGATGAGGTGGCGTGTGAAGATGCCATCTTGACTGTGAAGGTGAATGTGAGCAGGCAGTCGCTGCATCTGCTCCTGATGCAGGCTTCCCGAGGGCGTCCAATCAATATATGAATGAAGGTGAAGGTCGAGCTTGCCTGTCGTGGAAATGATGCAACTCTGACCTCGTCACCGACGAGCAGCTTAGCAAACCTGTCCTGCTTCAATTTCGAGTGGGCTGAGGGCCGTGGAGGTGAGCAGGAAGTTTGTGTCACGTGACCCGAAGACTCACGGTAAGCCGGGAATCGCGAAATCATGAACACTCTTGACTCACAATCACGTATCACGAATCACGAATCGAGAATCGAGTTCAGCATCGTGCTGGTAGTAGCCTACAGTCAAGTGTGTACCTTCGCACCTCGATCTGCTGCCGCCCATAACCTTCGCCTTACGAGGTCAAGCTTGACCATCGCACCCACCTGCGAGAAAGCGCTCTACACTTTACTGCTCTAGGTCAGGTACGCCGTTGTTGTTGGCTTCGCTCACCCATACACCCAGCAAAGACTCGAGACCCTTGACACAACCCAAGCTACTCTTGCCGTTCTTTGGCTTGACAGAAAGAGCGCATCGAAGTTGAGGTGCTGTCCGCGCATTCCAGTGTTCTGTGACAGCCACATATAACGTCGCCCGGCGCAACAGCGATCGTCATCATGGATTACCAAAACCGCGCGGGCAACAAGGGAGCCGGTGTGGCGGGGGCGAGCGAGGCCAATGTGGACCGAAGAGAGCGATTGCGAAAGCTTGCGCTGGAGACGATCGACATCAACAAGGATCCCTACATCTTGCGGAACCACTTGGGATCTTTGGAATGCCGACTTTGTCTCACGCTGCACACCAACGAAGGCTCTTACTTGGCCCACACGCAGGGAAAAAAGCATCAGACCAACCTGGCACGAAGAGCAGCGAGGGAAGCTGCTCAGCAACAAACATTTGCCGATGCTCAAAGACTCATCACTGGACCTAATGCGAATGCGGTAGAGAAGAAGAGGTTCATCAAGATCGGCAGGCCAGGTTATAAGATCACCAAGGTCAGGGAACCGGTGCTGAGCGGAAGTAATGAGGAAGAAGGTGAAGAGGAGGTAGGAGGAAGGTTGGGTCTACTTTTTCAGATCCATCTCCCAGAGATCAAGGGAGATGTGAAACCTCTGTACCGATTCATGAGCTCCTTCGAGCAACGAGTGGAACCTCAAAATCGCGCGTGGCAGTACCTCGTCGTGGCCGCAGAGCCGTACGAGACCATCTCTTTCAAATTGCAGGCCAGGGAAGTCGATAATTCGTACGGAGTGGTCTACTCGTCCATGGCAGGTGCGAAACCGAAAGATGAACCTGCTACATGGAGTCATTGGGATCCCGATGTCAAGACGTACACCATTCAGGTACTCTTTCGCTGAACATGTGAGACGCTATGCCAGATTGTCGACCCGAGCTCTGCTGCTGCTCACACTGCGCCAATCGCTTGCACTCAACAAGGCCATAGCTAAACGTCTCTAGTCCCTGTTGGCTTGTTCAAGCACCGCTATACTCTATCGACTTTCATGTATTTTTGTCACCACGACGTCCCGCAGCCTGGCATGAGGGCCACCCGAAACGGTTCACATTTCAAACAGCATCTGCTCGCACAATGGCGCAGCGTCAAATCAATGCGAGCTCAGCAACGCCAAATGTGTATTGAAAGGGCCTATGTCGAACAAGAGTATCCGCTAATGATAATGATGGTAATGGTAATGATGGATTGGTAGGATGGCATGAACCAAGCGCGAGAACGTGATGCTACCGGTAGGGAAAGCAGCATTGGCAAAGAGTTGATTGGTGCATGCGAGTATAAAAACAAGACGCGATGTTGGCAAGGATGGGTTGGTATTATCTCGTGAAGAGTTCGGAGCATGGCGAGACTACTCGACGCAAGTGTAGATTTGAGCGCAGATTTGGCAATTGGCTCACAAGACCGAATAGGAAAAGTTGATGGCATCAGGCTGAGCATCGACATCGCGAGGTGGAGAGATATGGAGGAGTGCTTGCGGGGCCCTCCCCCCATCTGCATCATCACCAGCGACAAGCTTTGTTGTTGCAGAGCTAATTCTCTCCATCACTGGCCGTGGCGCCACATCTCGAGTGCGAGATCGGAATCAAACGGTGTAGGACATTCGCCGCATGCCGCGAGGTCGTTCCAATACAATGTTTCTCCGCGCTTGATGCGGCGTAGGGGCTTGGACGTGGCCTCCTTGCTTGGGTTCAAGCTGGTCTGAGGCAAATAACGAGACTGAGGGCGACGAGGCATGAACTCGTCCACTAGCTGGTCAGCCTGGGCTCGCGCTTGGCTCAATGCCTCTTCTGCCTTTGCAGCTTCCGCTGAAGCATCGTCGATCATCTCTTCGTCCTGAGAGTCGTACTCTTCATCGTCCGTGCATTCGTCTTCATCCATGGGTATATCGTCCTCAATCGGAGCGACTCCACGGTCCGCGTAGTACAGAGGACCATCGCGGGCAGGTCTACGGCTGCGAGAGCCAATGATCGCAACGGCAGGCGGACACGCATAGACGCCCGCCTCTCCTGGGACGTAACGACGCTCACGAACGGTGATTTCGGTGCAATGCAGTACTGTGCGGTGACCATTCGAGCCTCTCTGGGCTTTCGAAACGCTGCTGGTGCAGCGTGAGCAGGGCGACATGATCATGTAGCCGATCGGTTGGTGGCATCCCTTGCACGCCAGGCTCTGCGTCATGCAGTCGCAAGTCCTTTGCGGCCCTGCCTCGCCCGTTCCGAGACCAGATGGTGCATGGTGAGGCTCAGTATTGTCAGGGAAAGCGTCAGTGCTGTATAGCGTGATGTTTGGACGCAAGAGCAGCACAGCCTGATCAAGAGCAGTAAGTCGGGAATCAGTTCACATGCCTCCGGTCGTGGCAAGCTGATGTTCAAAGAGATACTTACCTTCATTCCTCTATTCGTGAACATCACCCCACAGTGGCGGCAGTTGATCAAGTAGACCTTGTGCTGAGCTTCGACACGTCGAGTTTCGCGTTGCCTTTGCGCGGCGGCGTGAGCTGCTTGTTCTTGAGCGCGTACATTCGCCTGATACTGAGCGCGGGCAAAGGCCTGCTGTTGCTGTTGCTCGGCGATGGACATTCCAGCGCGCTGAGCGAGCGAAGATACGTCTAGCAGTGAAGGCGTTGTGACGTTGGAGGGCTGATCTCCGGTGGCTTGACCGGTCGAAGTCGTCGCTTCTGTGCGTGGCCCAGAACCTTCGGAGCTCGGGGAAGCCCCTGCAGTATAGGTGCCCATAGCCAATGCGTCGGTTGAGCCTGCCATTTGCGTCCACTGATGATAGTACTGCTGGTACTGCCCAGTGAGGGCGGTAAATGCTGCCGCATACTGATCCTGAAGACCATTCTCGACGAGATATCTTAGAGCTGCGCCAGCTTGCATGTGAGCGCGATGTATTTCCTCTCGCATAATCCTGTGTCGCCGAGCTTCAGTGGCTTCCGCCTGCGCTGCTTGGTTTCGAGCGCTGGCATTACGACCACGCTGACGCTCGCGAACATCCATGCCGCGTGTGGTAGTGGACGTTGGGACGGAATCCGGCGCGATGCGGTACTCCCGCCTGGCGATGCCCAAGGAATTGACAGCGACCGTGTAGTCTGGGCCATCCGCGGGCGCACGACGTGCAGCTGCGGCGGCCAACCGGGCGTTCATGTCACTGAGCATGGTCTCAGCCATGGCGCGAGTGGCGGAGGTGCCAACAGGGCTTGGTTCGCTGAGACTCGCCGAGGTGAGGGGAGGGGCAGCTGAAGTAGCTACGGAAACAGAGGGTTGGCCAGGCATGGTGACTGTGATGGTGGGCCCGGGCCGGGTTCCAACAATTTCAGCAGAGTCTCCCAGAGTGGATGGCGCGGGAAGTGGCGCAAAGAATGGCGTAGACACACTTGTGAGCGAAGGAAGCTCAAGATGCGACACCATTTGGGGATTGAGTGGACCGCCGGATGAACTGCCTGTGAGACTGGGTCCTGTTGCAGCATGGCGCGCAGCTCTACTAAGGCTGGTACGACGGGTTGTCTGAGGCGAGCTCGAGTTGCGTACTATCGAATCTCGACTTGCGTGAGGCATGGTGGCTAAGCGGCCTCCGTGTTGAAGTTCAAATTGGCGGGCTAGCAGGAATATTGTGGATGGCACTAGGGAGCAGCGGAAATGAGGTGTTAGTAATTAGGTCGGCAAATGTCTGATGTGCTAGGTGGATGGAATGTGCCGTCGGGGGTGGTAGCGAGTGAAAGAGGTTGCGGCACAGAGGAGCACGAGCTTTTGAAGGCATCCATGGTGAGGCAAGCCTTCAGCTTCGCTGCTTGCTCGACAGGCTGCCCCAGGCTGCACTAATGTGCAAGCAAGCGTTGCGCACGAAACGGCGCAGCAAGCAAGGAAGCAAGCTGCTGGATATGGATGGATCTGCGACCGCATCGCGGCGGCGGCTGCTAAATTTGCAAATGAAACATCCCACGGGCCTCATCGAGGTGGACTTGATGCCGTCTTTGCCTCGAAGCGCCGGTGACGGCCTGAGCTCGGACGACTTTCTGGCCAGCAAAGAGGTTGTCGGCCGGTCGGTGAAGCAGGCTCCAGCCTGCACATGATGCGGTGCGGTGAAAGCGGTTGCCCATCGCCGATCCATTCCACAAGCGGCCGCCGCGGACAGAAGATCGGGCCCGCGCTGCTCCTTGAAGCTCGATTGCGCAAGTAGCCTCTCATCGTTGAACAGGAGACTGTTTCAATAGCACCTGTAGGCTTGAGACATGCCACACAAAGCTATCCCTGAGATCAGGCCAGTGTCGTGCGGTTTGACGCCGCCGGGAAGTATATGCTGCTTGGCAGTTGCAACGATTCCCAACTCCTGCTCGCGACGACGCATCTGGCAAGTACAGGCACTTCGCTAGCCATGCAGCCATGCGCGCGACCTCATTGCTGCGACGCGTGATTCACGAACAGTGGTGAGTGGACCGCACGAGTCGGTAGGGATCATGCTACGCGTGGCGGTGGTTACAGCTCCAAGAATGCATTCACGGTGTGCGCCAGCATGGCCATGTTCCGGCCATCCTACGCGAAGATCGAGCCGGAAGCAGCGAAGCGATGCTATACGCACACCAGCAGTGAACCCTTCCCTCAGCTGACCGAGCCACTGTACTCGGTGACTGCACAGCGATTTGCGAGTTGCGTCCGTGGGAACTCCACACCAAGCCTGCATGCGGCTCCGCTCTCGTCGCTGCTGCATGCATGCAGAGGCCGACTGCTGCCATCCTGCGGCGGAAGACCAGTGTCTGCAGCAAGCATCGTAGAGTAGCGGCGGCGAACGGGCGCATGCATGCGTGCATGCATGCATGCTGAGCGATCTCCTCAACGCGCCGACGCCGCGCGCCCACCAAGCATGCGCATCTCAGCCACATCTTGCTGAGCGTCCTACAGCTAGCCATTCAAGCAGGCAAGCCGCTTGCATTAACGGCGCGCGGATGCACACAAGCGGGACTTGTTGACCCCTTGGCTGCGCGTTGCGCTTGCTACACATTCGTTGTTCGGTCGGAGGACAGAGATGCCTTCCACTCACGACTGTGACTTGAGGTTGTCTCATATCCCCCTTACTGACGCGCATGTCCGCAAACATGAAATGTCTCGGAGACACAGGTGTGGCGGTGCCGGCTGCTAGGAAAGTCATGCTGTAAACGCGATGTTCCAGCTGCTGATGCCGCTGCGCGCGCACCCAGTCGCAAATCCCAGCCGAGACAAAAGCCTGGATCATCTAGCTTGGCTACTTGACTCGTGATTGCTCTCGGCGCCATGCAGCGATGACTCCACCGTCAACAAGTAAGAAGCCGTCAGGCATAGACGTCGACCATAGTCTTCTAACGCCAATGACTGCAGCCTCTGTGACTTAATTTGGCCGCCGTGTGAGTGCCGTGACACATCGCAAGGACGCTTCTCTCTACGGAGCCAGATGGAGCAAGAGCTCGCTGTGGAGTCGCCGTGGATCTTGCGAACGAGAGATGACCGCAGCGCGTAACGAACCAGCCTAGCATGAAGAGACTCGGGCGCCAACTATTTGCTCTTCGCGATCCTCAGCAGACTCACCTAGATGGCTACGGACAGTCCCACCTGATGAGAGCCAAGGTACCACTTCTTGCGAGGGTCGAGGCGTCGCTTGATGCTGGAGGCTGCGAGAAGAGTGGATACTATGGGAGGATACAAGGAGCAGGACGTCAGAACATGTTAGTTTTCTTTTCTGTACAACGTATTGCCAAAAGATCCACAACGAGAAAGATGGCCCGAGTCGCGCGCCTCCTCTACCTCCTGAGACGAGCTTTTGTCCAGCTAGTCAGACCACGCCTGTTGGTGGTTCGTAAAGTCGAGACCGACCTCAGCTCCAGCTTCCTCACCATGACAGGTATCGAAGGCAGGTCGCGCGCCAGGATTCCGGTCAATGCTTGCGGCTCGAGGGAGAGGATGGACGCACGCGAAAAGCCCCCCACCTCCTCTTTCGGGTGGGTGTGTCAATTTGCTTCGGCTACTGCAGGGGCCAAGCAGCAGGATACAATGACAAAATCTGCTCTAAGTGTGACTCACCTCCAAAAGTCGAGACCACAAGCAATGAAGCTGCACAGGAGCAATTGACGTTTGACCCGCCGAATCCAAATGAGAAGCTTCTCCTCAATTGCTGCAGGGGTGGGGCGGAATTGTTCGGACTGTGGTGACACGCTTCGAAGGGTCCAGTCCCCCTTCAAATTTCAAGGATTTCCCAAGATCTAGCGTTGATGACGAAGCTCCTCGGCAGCTTGCGGCTTGACCTGTTGCTACAAATGTTGCACGCGTGGCCAAGGGCTGAGAACGAGGCCAGTGCGAGATTGACAAGGTCCGTGCTTCAAAGGAATGCAGGCTGCTCAGAGTCTGCTTCGAATAAATGCGATACTGTTGAGTGGTGACAGAGAAGACGGGGAGTGCTTCCAGATGCTGCAGGGCGTGGGCCTTGAAGAGCAGTCAAGAAGATGCCTCGATTGAAGACTGATCGGGCGAGTGTGGCTGATGGTGTCCTGAATACAGCAGCTTGTCAGTTCAACCCGGAAGGTCGGCAGCTCAGCCTCCAAATGAGCACAGCTTGGTTGAACACAAATAGGGCGTAGATGATCGCGCTGGTCGAGGACGAAGAAGAAAGTCGGGCCAGTGGGAGAGAGAAGTTGGGTGTGGGTCTGCCACGAAGTGTGAACCTATGTTTAAATCTCTTTTCAGTACGAGATTTGCCATCCGGTCTGCGACACCTGCATGCACCCCGTGGGATTGCCGACCATGCATGCAGTCGAGTATCAAGTCTCCACGAATCGCGAGGGGGTCAGACCTCGTTGATTGCTCGCAACTCTTATTGCGTGACTCACCATGACGGGGATGAGACACCGCCGGCACGATCAATCGCAAGAAAAATGTTGCAGCAGGGCGTGGTTTCTGCGAGTAGTAGTGCCGCCAAGAGAGAAACTTTGTGCTCGATCGTCTTGATGATGAGACACGGAAGTGGAGAGTGGCCCATCAGCGGCTGATCGAGCAAACACCACTCCATCGATCACGAATCCTACTCTTTCGTGCAGCACGGTCGTCACATAGTGTGGGGTCGCGCAGGCCACTCATTCATTGCTGGCGCACGCCAGTGCGTCTGCATATTGCAGACCTGATTGCGATCTAAGGGAGAGACCGCTACAGAAGCTGGCCGCCGGGGATGGCAACCTGATTGATTAGCCTACGCGATTCTTGCTGAGACACGAGAAACCCCGCGCAAGCCTGGCCCATGAGCGTGCCCTTGCTATAGCGTGCCGGTGTTTTGCAGCAGCTGAATCAATATGCTGAACAGGGAAGCGGATGGCCTTGGCATTCAAAGCGAGTCGATGATGATCGAGCGAGATGCCCAAGCGAGCTGCGAAATACGCCCTTCGCGGCCTCTCTCTTGTGGACGGCCATGTACGAGCCTTGGCAAGCTCATAGCGAAACAAGACTCCGCCAAGGCACTGCGACAGTCTTTCACTCAAGACCCAGACTAGCGCGACGCGAGGAAATGCTTCAACGACTCCCTGAATCACTTCATGCAGGGCAAGTCCGCTTAAATTGGTGCGCGCTCTGCAGCAGAAAGATTGAAGTTTCGGAGCCGAGAGCCCAAGCCTTGATCTAAATAGATACACACAGCGGCATTTCCAGACCTCGGCGCTTCTTCTCGCCCGCAGGATCAATCGTGAATCTTGCAAACAGCCAGGACGTACCTCAGGTCGCGCAAGACACAAGAGTCTCTTTGCATCAATCTTCCAGCAGATGATGGAGACACCAGCGTCGGGTGAGGCGCGGTGCGAAAGAAACGTCCGAGACGAAGATTCAGGCCCGAGGACGCTCCACAGGAATGTGGCTGGTGCGTGATAGGGGAAGGTGACAGCAGCGCTGTGCAGGCTGCATGTCAATGGGCACTCATAGGTCTCATCGCAATTAATTGCAAGCAGCAGCAGGGTACAACAGAAGTTGGATTGCTGCTGCTGCTGCTGGAGCAAAGCTTCGTAAGATGGCGTGGGAGACGGCTGCAGCGGCTGGATGGATCGAGCAGCGTCTTGCCTTGCTCCTCGGAGGCCGAAGCAACTCGCTTCAATTGTGAGACTTGTGAATGACTCGGTCCAATTCATTCGCGATTGGCCGAGCGCTTTGTACAGACCTGCCACAGCAGAGTCGAAGTTTGAGCGCGCGTGTATACAGCGCGTCTCCATGCTCGAAACTGCACTTGTACGACTCATCACGACGCACAAGACTCGAGACTCTAGCCATGATAGTTTTCATGCGACGTCTCGGCGCTACAAAAAAGGAAAAGTCAGCTATAGCTTGCTGCTGAGTGCGATCTGCATTGGTGATTATAGCGCTGAACTGCTGCCTCCGAGCGCGGGTCGAGGGGATCGCTCCACGCGGACGCGCAACGCCGCGCGCGTCACAAAATCAAAAGAATGTGAGACACGCTTGCATGACCAGAAGCTTGCAAAAATGACCACACCGCTTTTTAGCCCTTGACTCCTTTCTTACCATCTTGTGCGCCTGTCTGCCTATATCCCCAAGCTCGGCTTCTTTTTTTTTTTGCACAGCCATCACTCACGTACGCGAGACGCGGGCGGAATCAGCCGGTCGGACTGTGTGGCCGTCTTCCGAAAGGGGTAGCTCACCATCACTACTCCTTACGTGCCGGTCCCTGTCCCTATACCCTGCACGTCGCGTGGCGTAAAGCCAAAGCTGCACAGCAACACCACTACTACGTACTTCCACTTTACTCGTGTGGGTAGCTATATCAGGGCCGTCGCTAAGGCCACTAGGGAACCAGTGAGACTCTGAGATATCTAGACGAGTGCGCGTTCGTGCGATTTGACGAGGTTGGAATCAGCCAAAAAGTCATCGTTGCCCAGCAGTCGTAGTGCTGCCAAGCTGCTGTGCGAAAACGACGCTACGGTAGCCTCATGAATTAAGTGAAGGCATTTTCGAACGATGGCAGCGCTGTGCAGAGCAGAGCAGGACAGGGACTGAGCTGGGCGCGATCGCGCGCGGCGTGTGCGGGTCAAGGGAGATCGATTTCACAGTCCGACACGTTGTGTGAGCCGAATATGTGCTTCGGAGCCGTGTTCGGAGCTTCAAGCTGACGCGCCCAGTCGGCTTGGCGGTTCCACGCGGCAGATAAGTCCAGATCTTCTCGGCACATGTCTCACTTTGCCTTTCAGACGCGCACAAATGGTTTGATCGCTGCTGTGAGGAGCATCGATTCCGCGGACTTGACGAAGGCTTAGCAGGTGTCACGCCATCTATGCTCCTGGCACTACCCAGCGGTCGTGGATGAGGCGGGTCCGTCTAGCGATAGTCTGAGCTATCTGCGTTGATGTCGTCATGATCAGTTAAATCGTGGGAATCTGCGGATGCGCGCGGATCATTGTACTGAAGCTACAGAAGAGGCAATCGTGAATAGGAAAGCCGCGTACGCTTGCAGCTTGACAGGGAAAGGGCAGTGGCAGTTTGTAAATACAGGAGCCCCACGGAAGAAATCTGACTCGGCTGCAGAGGACAGTCCACGCGCTGTGGAAACGTGTGATTCAGGCGACGTAGCGATATAGTCCTCGTTCGCCTTCCACTCGCTGTTCGCGCAAAGGGAGCGGAGTCAGCGAAAACCCGATATGCGGTTGGCGGAGGTGCGAATTGACCCACCTCGAGGTATTCTCGGTCAATGAGTGTCTCAATTCTATTCTTGATCTCACGGATGTCGGGCGCGAATCGGCTGTGATGCGGTTGAAGTCGAAGACAATCAGCTCTCCTGCTCGAGCGAATGTCCACGGCAGTCACTCACGATTTTGTGGCATCTACGACTTCTGTAATGAGCTCCGCATGTCGAATCTGCTTTTTGGCTTTCAAAATTCGCACAACAGCTGCATCTACGATCATGTTGCGGTCGAACATGACGCGGTCGCGGGTCGAGCTCTGCTCCTCGACCTGAGGTGTCGGAATTGGGGGTCAAGAAACGAGCGAGACAAATGTCAAAGTGCTGATGCGTGCAAGGGTGAGGAAGACCTTCCACTCACGGTATCGGCCATTTGAATTTGGTTGATGCGAACGCGTTGACGCTCGTTCTTCAGGGCCGGATTGACGACAAAGCAGTCGCCATCATTGACATCTTTGCCTTGCGGATCTTTGCGCAAGACTCGTGTGGGGATCTGACCACAGGCCAGCGACTGCGCAGACGTGGCAAGGAATGGGCATTTAGGGAATGCAGGCTACGTCGAGGAGCAGGGGCGGCAGTCTCGTCGTACTCACTTGCAAGGTCCTTCTCAGCTCCTTGTCATCCAGACCGACGCGCTCTTTGATCTGCTCGTAGCGTAAGCGCTCCTCATCATTGAAAAGAAGCATGACGAGACTCTGGTAAGTAGAGACGTGCAATTCCTTTTCTCCAGCTCGTGGAAGGTTCGCTTTGAGGGCGCAGGTGCCGAGGGAGTGAGCCCAAGTCAGCCGGCGACCTGAGTTACGTGACTGATAGTAAGCTTTGAAGCGCTCGAGTACCGCAGCCATCTGCAGCGGCTCGAGTCGTTGATCTGGTCAGCAGTGGGAAAAGGGACAGAAGCTACATCGAGCGTAACAGTACTTACGTCACTTGGAATGATCAGCTCGCTTTGCGGGTACGTAGGCCAGTGTGCCTGGGTCAGGACATGGGCTGAGAAGTCAAAGCTGACTTCTCGGCCGTCCGCCTTCGCTCGCGCCTCTCCCATCTCATAGCCTTTCATGATGTCCTCTGACAAGGTGATGTCCTGGTTCGTTGAGCAAGAACAGTGAGCACCTTGTCTGCGCTTCGGTCTTCAGGCAATGACGCACCTTGAGCATGGTCTCCAACTTGTTGGTGAACGCTGCGCCACACTCGTCTTTGAGCTTGAGAAGCATGCTCTGCTCTGCGTCGCTGGAGGCTGATCTGTTCAGGAGGAGTCGTTTGGCGAACGCGCGCTTGTAAAATTCCTCGAACATATCTTTGTCGTGAGTGTACCTAAACAAGACCAGAGCATCGTCAAGCGCTTCTTCCAGCTCTGCATCTGTCATGGTCTTATTGCCTTGTTTGAGCTTGACGTCAAGGAATTTGGCTGCAGAAAATTGGGACGCAAGGGTAGCCGGGAACTTTGCATCAGCAGTCTGAGAATCAAGAGCAATACGCTTCTTGGAGCCGCACCTATCAGCTCGGCTACGCGGTTACCGCGTGCGTTAATGAAGCTTTCGAACGCTTCCTGCTGCCTGTGAGTAAACTCGGAGTCCGCGCCGAAAGCTTCTTTCACGATGTTGTCCGTCCTTGCTTTGTACTGAAGGATGCGCTCGATGAGTGTATCATCGATGCTGCTGTCGAGCACCATGGATTGGCCGCTCGCGCGCAGCTCTGTTGCCCACGCAGTCTTGAGGTCTGCAAGACCGGAAACGCGAGACAGCAAAGCGTAGAGGCGTGCAAGGGAAGCGACGTCGTTGGCTTGCAATAATGCCGGAAAGCCAGCAACTAGCAAGAGGCTGTGATCACTGACGAGACGCGCAAGGACAACGGAGACGTTCTTTACTTGTCCTGCTGAGCCGTGCAGCAACGTATTGGCCCGCTCTTCCTCCTGTGAGAGCCGTTGTGAAACGTAGCCCAGGTACTTTGCGACATCGAGTGATTCGGTCAGAGCAGAGGCTTCCTTCTGGTAGAACTCGCTGGTCGACTCGTGAATCGCAGCCTCGAGAGGTGAGTAGGAGTCCAGGCGCAGAAGCATTTCGAGAACAGCAGCGTGACGATTACGGTGATTCGCGGTATCCGTTTCCCTGCCAGGAGTCGTCGCTCACAAATGAATCAGGTGCTGAGCAGCAAGCCAGGAGTAACACCCGTCCTCACCTTTCCGTATTGATCGCTAGTGTGACCGCGGTCAAAAGCCTCTGCTGGAGCTCAGCATCCTCGACAATGCTCTCCTTGAAGGTTCTCATGGCGAGATCACTGTCGGAGAAAGCAACCATAACGCGAAGAAGTCAGCTCTGCTCGCTCTCCACCGCACGCAGCACAACACGTGGCCACCAACCGGATGGGCTCGACACCGTTTGGCTTGCGTGGCAAAAGGTAAATCTGGTCCAGCGGTGACAGCACGCTCCTGACGAGCTCCTGGGCAGAGCATGAGAATCGTGAGCAGCGAAGTCAGGTCCAAGGACTTTAGATATGGTTCAAGGTCGTTCTTACCAAACTCACGATCCTGTCGCACCAATCCTGCCAAGTTGCTGCGAGGCTGTCGAGCCAAGCGAAAGCAGCTTCAGGCTTGGGATCGGAGCTCGCTGCTCTGAGCGAGGATGCCCTTGCTCCCACAGCACGCTGTAGAGCGCCCTTCAGCCCATCGAAGATATCCTGGCCCGCATCAGCGTGCACGATGAGAGTGCGGCATGCGTCGTACAGACTGCCAAACGACCGCGCGTTCACGTCTTGCTTGTCATTGTCTGGTCCTAAAAGTTGACGGATGCTACGTAACAGGGCCGGACGCTCGACTGGCGCCCAATCTTTGGGAAGTGGTGGAGCAGAAGAGTGGAAAGGCAGGGAGCGTGTACCCGCACTTGCTGACTTGTCGGTCCGGGTGGCGCTGCTCGCTGAGGCAGCGAGTAGAGCAGCAAGCCCTGTGGAGGGCCGATCCTCCCTTTCCGCCCTGCTCCCACCTCCTGAATGCGCTCCAGCAGGCGCTTTCGGTGCAAAAAGGGCCGTCAGAGGCCCCGCATATTGGCTTGGAGAGAGCATGATGAGCGGCAAGGCCGCAAAGGCGATGGATGATAACAGACCGTTGTCGCGGCTTCCGAAGGCGAGAGGGAGAGCCGCCGCTGCGCCGCGTGTCTCTAACGGTGCTGCTGACGAAAGCTGATGTTGAGAATTCTGCGGTACAACACACGCAAGGACAGCTCAGCGGACGGCGACCTTCTTCGAGAATGATGCTCGTCCTGTATGCCGTTGCGAAGCTTGGGTTAGGCAAGAGAGAGGGAAGGACCCTTGCTGACGCTGCACCAGGCTGCTGCTGCTGCTCTCAAGGTGAACCGTGCAGGCGCGGGCGCGCGTGACTCTCCACGCGCGCAGCACAGCCGTGTGCTTCATCGCAGCATTCGTGATTCCTAGCAAAGAGTCACGGGTACCGGCCCTTTTTGTTGCTAATCCCCAATCATTATTCACACACCACAGCCATCACCAAGGCGCTGAAGGGTTCGTAGGCGTTTTTTTAAATCGCGTATCATCTGCTCACCTACCAGTCGACTTGAATCACCCCGAGCTTCGCCACACTCGACAGATCGATACGATGTCTCTACCACGAAGATCGTACGATCCAAGGCGGGTCTGCCTGTTGCCCTTGCCTCCTCTTCCCAGCTTTGTTCGCGCAAACAAGCGCACATTTGGCATCTACGCGTCGGGTGCCCTCTTCAGCATTGGCTGGTGGGTGTTCTTGGATGCCGTCATCTTGAGCTCCATTAGCATGAAACGGCCAGCGGAGGATGTGCCTTGGTCAGAACCAGCAACCTACATGAGCTTCGCGGACTGGATTCCAGGCCTCTGCGGGACTTTAGGAATGATCGTTGTCAACTTGATAGACAAGCAGGTCTTGGGAGAAGCCGGAGGAGCGTTCGCGTTTGGTGGCGGAAGCGGCGGGGGATGGGGAGATGGAGGTACTCAAGTCAGAGCCAGGATGTTTCTCTTTGTCGGATTCGCACTCATGGCTGGCGGACTGGCTGGAAGCCTCACAGTCCTCACGATCAAATATTTGGTGGCAGCGCTGCCTCCTGGCTACGAGCACTATGGCATAGCAAATGTGGTGAGTGCTAGTGGTGCTCATTTGCATACTGCGACCTCTGCTAGCCAGCCCTTCGAGCGGTGCAAGCAGCAGTGCACATCAGGGAGAGCATTACGCTGATGCGCTGATATGCTCTTGCAGATTCAAAACGCTTGCCTGATGCTGAGCACCATCTTTCTATGGATGAGTCAAAATGCGGACGACGAATATCGGTACGAATTAACAATCTGAGTCAAGCGCCACCAACCAGCTGTGACGCGCTTGGTCCCCGTTCGACGCGCTCGACCCCTTGAGGAGCATTCACTCGCACCAGCTGTCCAGTCGCCAATGTCACACATCTGCTCTGATTCTGCGCGCGATGACTTGATGAGTAATGCACTTGCGATTGTCTTACAAATGAGCAAGCAGAGGAGCCTTTGGCTCTCGTTTGTGGTCTAAAGTGTACACGCCTCTTCTTGAACGAACGACAGCGTTTGGGCTAGCGGTGGAAGCTGCCATACGCCTGCCTTGTCAGAGTCCGAGCAAGGGTGGGGCGTCAAATACTGCAAGCACGGCACCCGCCTCTAGTGATCCAGTCTATTGCATGAGCAACGCGCCTCAATCCTCCGATGGCGGTCCGTCGTCATCATCATCATCATCCTCGTCTAAGATAAGGTAAATGTGACACGTTAGCAAACGATCGATGCAGCAGCACAGCGCTTTTGCCGCAAGAGTCACTCACCTGCGATGTCGTCATTGCTGATGTTGACTTTGCCCTCTGCTTCGCGAAGGAGCGCTTTGATGCTCTGACCCTCCTCGCTGTTTCCTTCTGCAACAATCTCGGCGGGCTTGTCACCATCTTTGTTGACTTCACGCGGATCTGCACCGCACTCGAGTAGCTGTTCGACTACCACAGTGGCGTAAAGCGAATGCGACGTTCAGCTCGGCTGCTCAGCGCGCATGAATTGTGGGCTGTTGATTCACTCACCTATCCACACCCTCGCTTCACCAGGTTCGCCAGCGACTGCCAAGTGAAGAGGAGTGTCGCCTTTCCTGTTTGGCAGGTCCACATCAACCTCCTCCTCCAACAATCTTTCCAACACTTGCGTGCTCTGGTTCGTCACCGCAAGGTGCAAAGCTGTGTTACCGAGACCATCGGCGGAGGAAAAGTCGACGCCCGACTCTGTAGCCAAGGCTTGATCGTAAAGCTCTACCGAGTCAGTCCGAGCTGCGTGCCGCAGCTGCTCGTCTGTGCAGAAGATGACGGAAAGCTGCTGAGTGTCGACAGGAACAACTACTCAGGATTGAGTTGGGCATCGGCTCACCTGCGTTAGCTCCGGCTTCGTCCGCCATGTTGGGCACGGTCGGATGGTGGTGATTGCGGTCGGAATGTTGTGGTGTTGGCTCGTCGCTGTCCAGCAGCCTCTGGTTGCGCGAGAGAGCGATGCCCGATGAACCCTGGGAGAGCGTGTGACGGTAGGGTGAAAGGTTTGTTCTATGAGTCAGAAGTGTGCTTACGCTGGCTCTCAGTAACGGGAGCAAGACTTGGCAGCGTTCGCAGACACGATGTCGAGTATGTCAATCGTGAATTGCATTCACGCGAGTGAGGGAGGCGGCGAGGCTGTGGTGGTGGTGGACAGCATGCATGCGCAACTCGGCCGATATATGCGCGCCGATCACTCTAACCAGCCGCTGCTTACTCCCCGCATTCGTGATTTGACGCATTCACGCGAGCGTGTGCATTGGCTGTGTGAATTCCACTCACGACTCCAGCAGCCACCTTTGTATCTCACGGCCAAAGAGCCACGTCCAAGCTCCTCACCTCGACAAATTTTGGCGATCTTGTTCGCTTTACGCAGACCGATGTCCTGGTCGCAATCGCAGAGGACGTCGCCGCACTGCCATGTCAAGCCCATCCACGTCGCCGGCGGGAGCTGGTCGGCCTCCACCGACGCCTTCTTCGTCGTCCGTGCCGCCCCTTGTCAGCGAGCCGGATGCGACCTACCGATCACTCCTATCTCTGCTGCTGGCGGGATCTGCTTCCAGTCGACATTTGCTTCTACTACCCGAGCCGACGTTGACTGCCAGCATAGCGCACTACCTTTCGTCTCTGCCTTCTGATGCCTTGCCTGGTTTCGTGCGAGCACTTTGCGAAAGTGCCTGCCTTTGGGCATGCCGCAACACGAATGGCGACGGTGACATTGCGCAAGATGCCACCACTCAGGTGCAAGGACCCCAGCTCCCAACGTTGGATGAGCGCTCGATGCTCGTGTACAATGCAGCAGTGCAGGCGGTGCTCCGAAGACACTCCGCCCTTCTGCATTCCAGAGCAGGGTCTCTCAGCTACGGAACCGAGCGACAATTGTCAAGCTGGGTCAGGAAGGTCATGCAAGCGCTTTCAATCCCGCTTGATCTCGCGAACACATCTTCCAATCTTCCGAAGATATCTCAGCCTGAAGTGGAGGGTGAGGCCGATCCGGCCAGCAAGATTTCGGCGCTCAGCTTGCCTGCGATTTCTATAGCTTCTGGCCTGCTCACTGCGTTATACAGCATTCGGCAGCAGCTCAAAGAACGTAAGACGGGACTCAATCCCAAGGGGTCGATGCGTGAAGCTGCAAAGTACTGGGGTCCACTACTGGATGCTGCTCTCCAGAAGTACTCTGGCCAATTGCACCAACGAAAGGGGACAATCGGCTTAGGCGCAGACTCAAGCGCGTGGGAGAAGGAATTCGAAAGGCATGCTGCTGGCCAAGCCGAGGTCGCGGACAGCGCGATCGCTCTGCCTCCACCAGCCTCACCATCTCGCAGCAGCCCGCTTGATGTAGAAGCTCAAGCTGTCTGCTGCGTGTTGTCCGCCCTGGGCCCCAATTTGTCCGAGACAGCGATTGAGCTCAGAGACAGCGTCGCACTCATCAATCTCTGCACACCGTTCGTCCGAAGCGTTTTTGACGCCCAGCTACTCACCTCGGTCAAGAATGACGTGGTGTCTGGCCCGGATGGACTCGAAATCAAAGTGAGCACGAGCTGATGTATAGTGGAGCCGCAGAATGTACGTCTTGTTGCTGCTAATCTTGACGTCCCGCCTTATGATCGCCAGGCAGATTCGGAGCTTGCGCGTCGAATCAAGGGCTCAGCGACATCGCACAATCTACCTCGCCTGGGTCCAATCACACGAATCGCGGGACTAGCGCTGGGCGAAGCAGCGCGCAGTCAGACACCAGAGGTCCTGGAGGAGGCAGTCCATCAACTCGAAGAAGGCCTTTACGAATTGTCGCGTCGATGGGAAGCTGGCTTCGTATCCGCCGATCTGAGCACGGTGGCGCCTGCGAGCGAAGGTCTTACGACGCAACTTTGGACGCTTTTCAAGTCTCTCTTGTTTGGGAGCGTCATGCTGTACGATGGCCTGCTTGATGGGCTGCTGGAGGCCATCCCATCCCAGCCCCTCGTCGTAATCTTGTCTCCCGAAAGCCCAGGCTACGTGGAAGGTCTGACTAGCTCGAATATTCCCCCAATCTATCTGGCTCTCTGCCACTCGGCCCTTCAAACCCTATCGAACCTGAGCTTTGTCTCACATCCAATGGGCGACTCTTTTGAGGCCCTGCGCAGAACAACGTACGCTGCGCTTGACATTCTGGCTCGAGATGCACGAGCTGCTGTAAGCCTTATCACCGACCTGAGAAGATCCCTAGCGGGAGGCGAGATCGAGTCAAGCCACAAGTCGTGGAGGAGAGAAAAGGTCACGTTCTTTCTAGACGCGTGTGAGCAGCTCGTTCCATCAGTCCCCGATGCGGTGCACCGAGTGGTGCTGGACGTGGCCAAGTAGTGAGTCGTTCGGAGATGGATGCTTTTGGAGTCGATCCGCTTTGCTAACATATCATGCTGCGCACTACAGCTATCTGGAGGACAACACGTGGCCTGACACGTTCGAGTCGGCGCACTCGGTCGTTCTAGCGCTTCTGTCAGCGCACGCACCATGCTCATCTTCACTCGCGCCATATTATTCTTCATCTTTACTAAAGGTGCGTTGCTCGCGGATATGGCTCCCGCACTCATCACACCTTGACTGACTACAAAGATCACAATCAGCTCTTTCCGGGAAAGATCAACGCCGAGCAATTAGAGCATGCGTATTGCACACTGGTAGATTCAGCTTCCTCCATGGACGACGCCTTGGCTCTTTGGTGCGCGGAACAATTGCGAGACGAGATAGAATCAGAGCGAAGCGTATCACTAGCCGCTTCGCCGCAGTCTGCCGAGCCCAGTCTCGAATCTGACCCAAGATCAGGGTCTCAAATACCTGCAACAAGGCTGGAGACGCTGCAAGCTGTTCATGTCGCTCTTCTTCCCTCGCTGCATCTCGTGCTGCTTCAGACACATCTCAGCTATGTCAAGCGACACTTGCTCTCGCTCCCTGCAGATTCTACGCAGCGAGAAGCTCTGGCGGAGAAGACGTTCGACGCTCTCGCTGGACTTGACGCTGCTACGCGGGAGGAAGGACTTGCTTGGTGGGCACGCGAGAGGGAAGCGTTTGGAGTCTGAGGAATTGCATCGCCTTCCACCCAGAACAAAGATGTGTGCTGTCCTCCCATGCCCTTTCGAGCCTGATGTCTTTTATTGAGTTTGACCCCGCATATATTCCTGCTTGAGTTTGCCTCGGCGCTGGACGGAGCGCTTGCACTGCAACAGGACCCCTGTCGACCTTCTTATAGTTCGATGACAGCACAAGGAACAGCCTATCAAGCCGAAGGTCCTGCGCCACTGTCCTGTGCTTGCGACTGCAAATGTTGTTGCGCAGCCCGGTGATACGCTTCAGCCTCAGCTCTGGCCCTCTCGAATAGTCGCTTTTTCTCGTCGTCATGTGGTGCCTCTGAGGTTTGTGCTGGAGGCTGAGGTAGCGGCGACTGAGTTGGAGGTTGCGGTGCCGAGGAGCCTCCTGCGACTTGCTGAGGCTGAGGTTGTGGTGACGTGACCGGCTGCGACTGAGGCGCATTCACTGGTGCAGAACCTTGCGTTTCCGTCGTGGATGCGGCAATGTGCGCGTGCGGCTGGTGCTGCCCTGTTTGAGCCGAAACGCCGTGTTGAATGTGGGCGTATTGCTGCCAGATTTTCATCGCAAAGATGTCAGCCGCTGGCATTGCGCTTGGAGGTAGGCGGACAAAAAGGAGCTCACCTGCTGCTGTTGCTGGGCATAGTACCAGGCGGCGTAATTTGGATCGCTGGGGTGCGGCTGCTGTTGCTGCTGCGCCTGCGTATAGCCATTAGCAGCGTACCACTGAGCCCATTGTTGGCTGTAATCCTGTTGCTGTTGCTGCTGTTGACGCTGGACCTGCTGAGAGTACTCTGGTCTGACTTCGGTGTATGTGCTTGTGGGAGCGCCTGGGTTGTACTTGGCTAAGCTTTGCTCCATGGCAGTGTCGAATGTCCCACGAGCTCTGGTAAACTTTTCGTTCATGGCTCGAAGCTCAGCAAGCTTTACGCTGTATCTATCGATGAGCTTCACGATTTTTGGCCTCAGTGAGAGCGCAGTCTGGTACAACTCCTATGGAAAAGCGAACGCGTTTTGAGGACGGAGCAAATATGGTCGACGTACTGCAACAATTTGACTCACCTGCAGCTCCTCGTTCTCAGCCAGGTTGTCGTGGTCAGGGTCCAGCTCGCTGAGCTTTGTGATGAGATTGTCGATGCTGCCGGACTGCGCAAAGAGTCGCGCTTCGAGCTCCGCTTCACGCTGAAGCTCAGCTGGTGTGGGGTTCGGCAGGACCTCCTACGGACACCGCTCAAGAGGGTGTCAGCATTGTGGTGACCAATCTCGAGAATCCGGTCGCGTTGCACTCACAACATAGTTCACAGGGAAGATACCTGCATTGCCTCTGAGCTCACCGCGCCACCAGTGCTCGTAGACGGAGTCCAGCACTCGGATGATGTCACCTTTGGAGAACGCCAACTCGCCTGCCTCGGTAGGTGCAAAGTCGTAGAGGGCTCTGACTCGGGACGGTGCGCTCGGTGTAGCTGCTGCGTCCTTAGCTACTGGCGACGCTACTGCTACTGGTGCAGCTGGAGCGGTGGTGTTCGCTGCTGGAACGGCGTTCTGCACTTGAGGTGCTGCTGGGACAGCAGTGGCCACATGAGACGTCGCAATGTTCGGGCGCGAAGCGGCCTGCTGCGTTGCAGCCTGACTTTGCGCCGCCACACTCGTCGCAGGCGGAATGATGGTGGACTGTCGGGAAGCGTAAGGCGGTGCAGATGTCGTGGCGGCTGTCGTAGGCTGGATCATCGGTCGAACATCATTCTGAGCTGCCGCTGCGCTCGGTCTCGCAATGTATCCAGTGGCATCAGGTCGGGAGATCTCTGCAGTAGTCGCCGGAATTCTTGAAGGCTCATTTGGTCTGCTGCTCAGAGTGCTCGCGGCAGTACTAGAGACGGCACCTCCAGCGGCTGCAGCAGTAACGCTCTGGTCTGCTCTGCTGCTACCCGCTCTATTGGTGCTTCCACTTCCGCTGGCGCCAGACGTCTCACCCGGCATCTCGAACCAGCCATTGGCCCCGTAGCGGCCGCCCACATCGCTTTTGGAGAGCTCGAGTACTCTGCGAAGTTCTTCATCTTCTTGACGCAGCTGCTCGGACGACTGTGGTGGGCCAAGAAACATTGCGGGTCAGCCAGACGTATCTCGGTGCAGCAATCATGCCGAGGGCAGCAGACTCACAGGCTCTGGAACTGCTTCCGGCTCCACATCATAATTGATGTCTGCCGGACAGCATGAGCACGCATGTCAGCTCGTCAGCAGCGGCGTCGTACAGCAGGCGACTGCTACTCACTCTGCGCGCTGAGACCGTCAAGCGTCTCCTTCAAGACTCTGCCTGTGTCAGCGTTGCTTTCGGCAACCCACTCCTTCATGAGCGCCCAGGATTTCTTCTTGACCTCGATGCTTGCATTTCGATCGACAATGAGCCTTCGCAGCGCTTCTGCAAACGTCCTAGAATCCAGTTCCTTCTGAGCGACGGGACCGCAATTCTTAGAAAGAGCATCGCACAGTATCAGAGCGTAGATTTGAACGTGGGCAGACCTATGCTGAAGTCGTTTGGAGATGCTTTGGACACAAGATCGAGCTCCTACTTCGCCTTCACCCGAGACCTTGTCGCATACATCCAGATTCAACTCCCAGTTCTCCGACGTGAGGTTCTCGTTGGTGGCTTTGGTGACGATTTCGTCGTAAGGGTTAGTCACACTCATGGTGGATATGCCGAGTGGAGGGGCGGGTTTCTGTTGGGTGACTGTGAAATATGGTCTGACGCGCTTGCTTGGTGAGGAATGAGTAAATGTAACTCAATCGAAGAGTCGAGAGGAGAGGAGTGATGGGCAGAGATTTGGTCGCGTGAGAGAAGAAGCCGCCAGCAGCGCGCCTCTGCCTGATGAGGCTGTGCGTTGCAGCCATCATGCACGCGGGCGAGCTCGTCCTTCAGCACAGCTATATACGGCGGCTGCGCCGCTTTGCTGCGCGCGTGTATGCTGTGAGAGTCGATGCTGGATCATTCGCAGCCGTGCATTCACGATGTGTACCGGTATTCACGGTACAGTATTGTTCACGCAAGAGTGATTCAGAATTACCAAGGAAGGATCATCACAATCTGAATCTGATGAATCGAAATTCTTGAATTGTGGGGCGCAGGAGGAGGAGGCGCTATGGCGGCGGACCTCACAAGCGCGATCACGTGGTCGATCTGAATTTGCGCGTTCTCGTGCGAGTGGCGCGCCCACCGCTAGCGGAGCTCATCAGCAACAACTTTTTCTCGCGTGCGTTGGGGATCGATGCGCATTTCGCCATAAGTCACAAGTCTCCAAAGTGCTGCGTCGAGCACACCATTCACCTCCTTGCCACACCAACTGTCTCACCTTCATTCGTACTCCGCTCGCCCTCGCTGATCCACCAGTCTCTATAGTCTGGCCCAGCTCTGCAAAGTCAGCGACGAGTTCTCTTTCTTTCGTCTTCCCACGTCCTCAGCAACGCGGATCGAGCCCCTTCACGCCAGGACAGAAAGCGGAGCTTCGAACGTCTGGTGAGTAGGCAGCGAGTACGAGGTTCCAAAATGATGACAAATCCAAAACTTAGATGACGAGTATGAAGGTCTTGCCCGATGTAATGCAAGAGGCAAGCGGAATCCCCTGTCGCTTTCAGCGCGGGGAGGATGTTCTTGTGGGCGGACCCAATGCTTCCAAAATCGGCTACCATCCTGACACCTCGGCGTGCACCCTGTGCTGCTATCGCACTGCACTGCCTCACTCTTTCTACGTATGGACACCATGCTGATGCATGCTCTGTCTCATCTTTCAGGCACATAGACACATGCCACCCCATCAAGAGTACGACCCCGAGTCGGACAGCGATAGCGATGCCGGCTCAGTAGAGAGCAGCACTGATGTGCTTCTAGGGTTGTCCGATGGACCAGTCGAGGGCGATGACGGCAGCAACCCCCTGGTTAGCAGGATAGGCGGCTCGCCGGTAAGTGTCAGACCTGTGTCCCCATCCAATCCGGGGGCGAGCGCTCAGCAGAGACCACACACCGTCATCGCACTCAGGCCTGGCTTCCTGCTCGTGCCAGACCACCTGTCAGCGTGGCCACATGCGAATTATGCTCTCGAGCGATGGAGCTGCTAGTGCAGATATTCGCACCACTCGATGGCTCAGCATACGACCGGGTTCTCTATGTCTGGGGATGTGCACGAGGCGCTTGCCAACGCCAACCAAAGCCAAGGTAAGTCGATCATTTCGCGCGCAGGTGTCCTGGTGCGCAGAGCGCCTTGCAGGCTGGACAAAGGATTAGAACCGAATCTCTTCACTTGACGGGTGCCGTTTCGCGCTTCGGCAAGGAGCGCCCCAAGGAAAAGAAAGCATATTCACAAACCGAGCTTTTTAACCATGATGTCTCAGCTGTCAGCTCACTCTCAATTTGAGTAAGCCTCCACAAAATTTACTGACACCAAAATCCCGTGTTGGTGCCCTAGCGTTCGCGCAGTGCGCTTGTTGCAGTTCAACGCGCGATGGGCGGCCAAGCTGGCCAAAAGACAAGCGAGGGAAGAAGCAGCTGCAGAACGGCGGAAGGCTCGGGAGGCGGCGAAGAAAGCGCGGGCTGAACAGGACGAGAAAGCCAGGCAGACCAACCCTTTCTCAGCAGCAGCTTCATTGAGCGGCACAAATGCACCAGGTGGCCTCGGCGACGCGCTTTTTGGCGCCCCTGCCACAGCAAAGCCAGCGGTCTTAAAGAGCGATGCTACAGCCCCTGCAGACGATGTCGGTGCTGAGAGTGCAGACGAAACTTTCGATTCAGATTCGGAAGACGATGAAGGCTCACGCCTTGCGGAAGAACTTGCCGTCAAAGCCTCGCTCGATGAACTTCCTAGAGAGAACGACTGGGCCAGTACATCGTCACATTACAATCCGCCACTCTACCTCAACACCATTCCCGAACCATCGGCGTCAGCTCGGAGCGCTGCACTGTTGAAAATGACTCCTGGTGCCAAGGCTGCACTGGAAAGTGGGAAAGAGACTGTCCCAAACGGTGACGACAAGGAAATCCAAGAGTGGGAGGGAGAGACGTATTCTCGAATGGAGGTAAACGGCGTCGACGAAGCTTTCGAGCGTTTCGTGGCCCGCGTCAGTCCAGAAGGCAGGCAGGTGGTGCGATACGAGAAAGGAGGCATTCCGATTCCCTTTGCGGCTGCTGGGTCCGCGTACGACAAGTTGTGGCCCCGAGCGAAGTCGAAGATCGGCGCGGATAGGAGCGTCGCTGCAGCTGCGAGACCTTTCAACCCTTCTTCTGTACCTCCGTGTGAAGCCTGCGGCGGTGCGCGCGATTTTGAGCTGCAGCTGATGCCGAATCTCATCAATCTCCTGCGGCCTGAAAATGTGGTCGACAGCGCATCAGCAACTAGCGACGGTGAGGCGAAGGCCGCGCAGAAGCTGACAGTCGACCAAGCGCGAAGAAGAGATATCGAACAAGCGCTGGGTCGCAAGTTGCAACTCCCACCAGATGCAGATGGAATCACCAGGACGGCGCCTCAACTCTCTGATGCGGAGCTGGAAGCGGAGAAGCTGGCCATGCAGGCTAGAACTGGTCTGGGTTTCGCTACCGCATTCATCTTTACCTGTCAGAAAGACTGCTGTCTGCCGAGATCTGATGAGGCTGCCGCACAAGAAGAGACTTGGCGGGAAGAATGGGTAGCCATGCAGTGGGAGCAATGAATGTCTGTTTTTTTTTTTGTTTTTTTTTTTTTTTTTTTTTTTTTTTTTTTTTTTTTTCGAAGTCTCTCCACCTCTGCTTGACTGGGCGTGCGCGGTAGTTCAGACAGATACATCACAGCAATTCATGGGTGAGGCTCATCTACGATTACGATTTGCTACGACTCTTAGGCTGAGGGTTCCTGAAGATCGCATCGGCGGTCTTTGCAACGTCTACCATTTCTTTGACGTCGTGCACGCGGATAATGTCAGCTCCTGCTGCGATAGCAGCTGTGCAGACAGCCGCCGTTGCAAATGCTCGATCCTTTGGGTCTGTCTGACCCGTGATCGTGCCTAAGAAGCGTTTGCGAGAAGCTCCAACGAGTACTGGCAAATCTGCGAGCGAAGCGTTCGGTGAGAAAAGATCTTCACTCGCGGCATCTTGACGTCCTTGCAACGTCCGCGCTCGATTTGACGGCTGGTCTCGCTTCGGAACCACTTGTTGATCGTGGGCCGTGAGCCGATGAAGCTCCCTCAGCAGCGCCACATTACCGTCCTTGTCCTTGGCAAAGCCGATGCCAGGATCAGCGATGATGTTCCATCGAGGTACGCCAGCCCTCAGAGCTGCATCAACACGCTGTGAAAGCTCCTTGATGACACCTTGCGTGACATTTTCGTTCTCGTACTTCGTGTTCTGGTGCATCGTTTTGCTGTCTCCTCTCATATGCATCAGTATGATGGGAACGCCTCGATCAGCGGCCAGTTTGAGCATCGCCGGATCCCGCATGCCGCCCGAAACGTCGTTGATGATTTGTGCACCATTATCAAGCGCAGCGGATGCTACGTCAGCTCTGAAAGTGTCGATTGAGATTGGCTGTGCTATGCCATCTCGCCTGATTGCCGAAATGATAGGTAGAACCCTATCCTTCTCTTCTTGTGCGCTGATTTCGGCAGCTTGCGGAGCAGTGCTCTGACCGCCAATGTCCAAAATGTCTGCTCCGTGCTCAACCATCTTTTGCGCTGCAGCGAGGGCTGACTGAACAGCAAGGTGAGAGCCGCCGTCGGAGAATGAGTCTGGAGTGGCGTTCAGGATTCCCATGACATACGTCTTGGCTTCCCACTCAAGCTGTGAAGGTGCGCCTGAAGACGACTTGCCGGAGGGTGGTGGCAAAGGCAGCACTCTGACCACATCGCCGTGCCCGCCGTAATCGACCGCCTTGAGCAACAGATTCAGGGTCTGCCTGATCGTGCGAGAGGTAGTCGGTAGCCTGTACTCTGGCAAGATATCCGCAAGGGGTCGCAAAACGAATTCCCGCTCCTCTACGCCAGGGTGTGGTAATTTGAGGTTGGCGCTGTCAAGGATCAGCTCGTCGTAGCAGACCAAATCGAGGTCAACGACCCGGGGGCCCTTCAGAGGCACCCCGGTCTTGTCTCTGCCCAAATTTGTCTCAATACTTTGAGTAAATTGCAGAAGTTGGTGGGGACCAAAGCGCGTGGCGACGCGGCAAGCTGCGTTCAGGAAGCGCGGTTGTTCCGCAAAGTACAAGGGTTTCGTCTCGTAGAGAAAGCTGGTGTCAATGACTTTGCAGTCTGGCGACGTTTTCGCCAGCTCCATGATCGCCTTGTGAATGTTCAGAGCTCGATTGCCGAGATTAGAGCCCAAAGAAATTGCGACCATGTGCCATCTTTCATCAGAAGCAACAGATTCTGCTCCTCTGGGCGTAATGGGCACAGAATTGTCGACCAGCTCCAATTTGCTAGGCCCCGCGCCGCCTGCATTCTCGGTGGAAGCTGCCACTGACATCCGCGTGTGATGTGACGCCGAGAGGAGTGTCTCGGCAGGAGAAGGCTCCGAGCCTGCGACATCATTAGCACTACCCTGTGCAGTGTTGGATTCTACGTTGCTGCTAGATGCTTCAGCCCGAGGCCCTGCAAGCTTTGCTTCATGTGCAAAAAACTCCTGATCTCGATCCACCTCTATCCCCGCGGCTTCAGCAAAAGTGATTGCGCTCGGCTTGCCGACTCTCACACGAGCTCGGCGATAGCCGAGCTGCACGACGACGACGCGAGCCACTTCCGTCGCCAAGCTTTCCACAGTCTGAAAGTCGCTCTTTTCCACGTATTTACTGACAGCGTCCACTAGAGTGCGATGGTCCACTGGCGCCATTGTTTGATGGCGCGTCAATCTATCAGCCCTGGTCGCGAGCTTGACGTCCAGGTCAAAGGTGACAACCTGCCTGTCCACTCTCTCCCATGCATTGACGCCTAGGATGGTTGAGATGTTTAGTCTCCTTATGACGATGCTGTCTTGCCAGCCTGATGTGTCTCGACAATCTAAGAGCGTCATCGAGTGACGTAAGCGAGAAGATGCCTGCTGATCCTTATCAGCTGGCCAAGTGAAAAGCTCCGCAGCGGAGACTTGCGAGGCGTTAGGACTTGATTTGGGAGCTGCATAGTCTGCCGCAGTGCGAGATATCGTCAGTCCCGCAGCCGCGGCATGTAGCAAAGCTCTAGGCTTTTCCAGGGTCAGTGTCACTCTTGGAGCCTTGCAGATGAAGATGCACACCTTCGCAAGCTCTTCCTGCATAGGTAGATCGCGGGGTTAGTCTGAGAGCGCTAGGTATATGCGAGTCATTAGCTGCTCACAATTAGTGAATCGACGCTCGCGAAAGCTTTGCCATCAGTAAAAGTCTCCAGCTCCTTGACCAGAATGCCATAGTGGATGGAGAAAGGCAGATGATCTGTCCTACCCGCCGAGCTCACGTCCGTGTGCACGCTCACATCTAACAAGAGCGGCTGAAACTTGCGTCGTCCCCACGCATCTACGCCGACTTGTGCGCGCAGAGACAGCTGCTCAATTATGATCCTGTCTGGATAGCTGGACGACGTATCTGCTGAGCTTGAAGCTGCAGCCACGGCTTGGGAAGACATCGCGCGAACCTTTCCAGCTCTCGACTTCGCAGCTGCTCGCGTGACACCACTGCGCAGCGGCGTCCAAGACTTTCGAGGACTTGAGCGTGTCTTCGTGGCCAGCAGACGAGTTGAGGACGATGCGAGAGCGCAGTAGGAGTGGGTCAAAGCAGCGCAAGAGCTGCTTGCGTTTGGGAGAAAGAAGCCGTATCGACGGAGTGCGTTCATGGAACAGACATCACGCAGACCACATGGCTCGGAGGGCAATTGTGCGTAGGATTGGCGATCATGCGACCTGCAGACCGCCTGTCGGTGAGGTGACTGGAGAAGCGGATTATGTTGGCAGAAGATGAGCAAGGGATAGGCGCTGATCCGGGGGATGCTGGCAAAATCACCATCTTGCGAGGCGAGAGTTCCAGAAGAGCTTAGCAGAAAGGCACGACTCCACCTAATCACGAATTGCTGATGTGTTGCCATGATGCTCAGCCGACCTCTCGTGCGAAACATCCTCTATTGGCTTAGCGCGCGGCCGCGGCCTTTTGACCGCGAGCGCAGTCATCATCAGCAGCATAGCAGCCGCGACTCACGCACGCTTTCCAGAACGTTCAAGAATATGATAAGTAATCGTCGCGGGTTCATCTGAATGCCGACTGCATATGGTGACTGTGTGACTTTTGCTTTACTCACGACTGCTGCTGCGCGAACAGCGAATCGGACCATCCTACGAGTATATTGCCAATCACACAGGCTACTTTCTGAGGGTTTGAATGAGAGACTGTCAAAGCTAGCATCTGCCAATGCGTAATTTCCCGGGCCGTGCGCCAGTGCGTGCATGCCCCACTAGTATCACGTGATGCGCTCAAGGCACGCCGTCTTGAGCGATTCGCGTGCGAGCTCGTCCTGCTCGTCTTTGTACGCGGCTCATGCAAGCGATTCAAATTGAGCAGCAGCCTATTGCCGATCGTGAATAGATCCCTCCCAAGGGACCCCCTCTCACCTCAATAACACCCTTTACTCGACTTGCGACCAGCTCGGACCGCCGGATCCTTCACTCTTGATTGCACAACTTAATTCGGGCGCTCGCTGTTCGATCAGCCGCCTTTTCCGCCCCTGTCGCAAGCAGTGCCCCGCACATCTACGTGCGCATTCAGAGCAGGTGTGTTTTCATCGGCGATGTGATCCTTTGCTGAACATCTGCTGGCCTTGCTGATGCTCTCCTCACTACTCGGTCCGCCTATTGCTGATCTGCAGATTGCAGCGCTTCATTGCACACAGCTGCTTCCACCTGCCGCCGTGCTTGCAGATTCGAAGCTATTGTTCTACAATGCGTCCCACGTGAGCATCTCGCTTCCATCCTATCCGCCTGTGCTGTCAACGGTCACACGTCTACAAGCAAGCTTAAGCATACTGGAACCCTGACTCTCTCTTTCTCTCTTTATGTTCCCCAGCATCGCACGACTCGCCTCGCAATACAGGGACCCTTGGGCCGCTCGAGAGGCGTGGCGCAAGCATCCCATCTTCTCTCACAGCTACTACATAAGGAACGCGTGGCCCGGTTTCGGATTGGGAGCTGGAGCTTTCCTGATTTATTGGGCGGTGGATGAGCTGACGCACCCTAGCAATATTGAGAAGCTCAAGGAGGATGCAAAGAAGCAGAAGGGAGAGCTTTGAGCAGACGTCTGAAGGGGTAACGCTGTAGTGCGACAGGTCGCTCACCTAGCCTTCGTATGGCGCAATGGACAGGAGGGACGATCGGGTTCTCCGCTGGTAATCACATGCTGCTTTGCAAATACATGTTAGGTGAGCGATGCGCTGAGACGAAAGTGAGAAGCATCCTCATTGCCGGGTAGAGACGAGTTAGCCACGGCAAGGACTGGATATATGTTGCGGTGGGCATGCTCGATCTTCCAAGCATTCAATCTCCGGACCCCGAAGGACAGCTAATGGCGAATGAAGACCCACGCTCTACGGCGTGACCAGAAAGGCAGAGACTTGCATACCGCATCTTCGTGAGCGGTACAGCCAGATCTCTCTTTCTGATTTGTCTTCACTCGCAAAGGCGCTTGTCCAAGATCAACATCTCCATCTCCTTTTCCTCTTGCACCTCTTCGCCGCTCAGCGGCCGATGCCGCATCTCTGTAGCCGAGCCGATGGAAAGGTTTTGAAAGTTCTGAGTGTCGCCGCCTTACGACCTTTGCGGGACGTTTTGAGTCCGGCTTTGCTTGTTCGTGCGAGAACCCTTGGATTGCGCTCGCGCAGTGATTGGCTTGGCCGATGTGAGGGTCGAGTGCTGGAGCGAATGGAGAGAGGCAATCTGCCCGGCCAGGTACGGTAGCGCGAGGTTCAATGCTATTGCCGTCCAAAGGTGGGCAGACTGACAGGCAAGCAGGTGGACGAGGACGTGGACGTGGACATTATCCGAGCAGAAGGAGGGCGTGGCCTCTCGCGAGTTCGGTATGTTATTGGAAAGCGGAGCGACGCGGTGCTTTGGGAAGGACGAAATCATCAACCAAGCTCTCACACCAGCACTTCCCTAGCATCTGTCAATCTTCTTTGCCTTGAACTTTGAACTTCCGAAATGTCATTTTCCTCTCCTCGGCTTTGCCCGGTCAACACAAGTCAAAGCATGCACGTGTATCCTTTGCAAGAATGCTTCGCTGCTCTGATCGGCTTGACGGGGCCTGCGCGCGGATTGCGCGGGGGCAATCGATGACTCCTGCAGACTTACGACTTGGGATGCTCAACGTTGCGTGTAGTCTCGCGACTGTCGTGTGCAGAGCTCGTGCAGCCTCTGCCCCGGTCTTTGAGCGGATGCGTTCGAACGTCGAGCGCACCACTCAAGACTCCCACTGCGCTTCCCGTCACTCGACGCCGGACGCAGAGGCGGCATTGTGTGAGCGCACCGCGCATGAGCATGAGCATACCCGATCCAACACAGTGATCTGGCACCCAAGACGAGGGTCGACGAGACTTCATCGGAAGCGCAGTCGAGCACGAAAAGTGCGTCTGTCACAAGGAGAAGAATGGTTGACTTGCTTAGTAATCGGTCCATTACAAGAGTGCGAACGAAGGAGAAAGGAAGGATGTGGATGGGGATCGACAGGGCGTGTGTTTTGTTCGCCTTGATCAGGTCGCACGGTGCCTTTTTTCGGTATGTCAAGGCTCACAACGAGTCGACTGTACTTTGGCATCTACAGCTTCCACTCTGTGCGCGTGTACTTTGTCTCCGCAGCGCTGTCGTCGGTGCATAGGAAGTACACATCACCGGGTGGCTGTGGGTGTGAGAAAGGTTTTCATCAGACAATCAATTGTAACAGTCAAGCTTTTTCCTTGAACAACGACACGATGTCCGCGCGCATCGTCAACTGGGCACACTTACAGTGGGTCGAACGCGAGAAGCCGGCAAACTCTTCGTCTCATCCTCGAGCACTTTTGCGAGTGTAGGAGCCTTTTCCTTGCCAGACAGGACAAAGACGACCCTATGAGCCTTCTCCAGTACGGGCAGAGTGAGCGTGATTCTCCTGAGTGGAGGTTTGGGGCTATCCTCGATGGGAGCGACCCATCGGGTGCGTTCAGCCAACAACTCGTGGCCGGGGAAAAGGCTGCAAGTGTGTCCATCCGGTCCCATGCCCAAAAGGATCAAGTCAAAAACTGGGTGTCTGACAGATTCTTTCCCAGCAAAAGCATCCCTCAATTGTTTCTCGTACTCGTCCGACAATTCCTCCGCATCGTCTAGCTGAGAAACATCAATCGTGTGGATCTGCGATCGCTTCAACTCTGGCACTTTGCTAAAGAGCTCGTCGTTGCACAGACGAAAGTTGGAGTCTTCGTGATCGAGGGGAACCAAGCGCTCGTCTGCGAAGAAGACTTGCCTGCGATATCGGTGGAGGCGATGATGAAGGAGAGCATCAGCTTCAGTCAGAACGTGTCACTGGTGCTTCATCCTTTGAGCGACTCGGCCTGCTCTATCCTACCTTGCTGCCTTTTCGATGGATGCCTGCACTGCGAACACCACTCACCACTTGTCCCAACGAACTTCAGGACGACCAATGATATTCTTGCCCAGGATCTTTGGAAGACTGCCACCAGAAGTGGCAAGCGTGAACTTGTTGCGGCGCTCAATTGCCTCGTTTTGCGCCTAGAGTCAAAGGAGCATACAGGCATGGGTTAGATGAGCCTTTTGAGCAACGATCGTACTCGTACGGAGCTCTCCGCAACTATCCATCCTCTTGACTGCAGCATCTGCGCTCAGCATCGCCCATCACCCCTTCTGCTCTGCCCCTCGAGCCTTTTCCTGACGCACGGCTCGTCGCTCTACTCACCTTGATGACGAAATCGGCCAGATGCTTGCTCAGCTCATCCTGGTCCGGAAAGGACACAAGGATGGGGTCCGCAGGCTGGGTGGATGGGGCGTTGGGTGCGATGGGCGCCATATCGACTGCGATGCAGGGCAGATGAGGATGACCTTTAGTGTTTCCGAAATGCTCGACGTCGGTGGACCTTGTAAACAACCTTCTTAGCAGATACAGTACGTGTATCGAGCGTTTGAGCTGCGCTTGCCCAGTCGATTGGCTGATGCGCGTACACTGCGGTTGATGTGTTCAGCTATGAGTGGATGTTGAGGAAGCTGAAACAGTAGTCACAGTGTGAGGCTTGCAGCAGAAAGTCACGAGAGTGATGAGCGACCGTCTATAGCTGTCTGTGCGTTGGGAGCAGTGGAGGTTGTGACGCCGCAAGACTCGCGCGATAAGGCCATCGATCGATCGAGTGTACGGTGCGGTGCGGTGCGGTGCGGTGCGCTACCTGCTGTATCCTCCCTCACTCGTGACTGACTGTCGTGACTGTGACGATACCAGCATACTCACGCCTCCCTCGCTCCACAGCCCGTGCGCCTAGCTGCTGCTGCATGCATATGCCTATATTCACGATTAGCCACGCACGGACGGTGCGCGCGTGCAGCAAGCATCAACCATATGACATCCTTCTTGAGCCATGCATGCGCATTCAAATCACTCATGTGACTGTACCGTATATCATATGCAACTGGATGTCCCATCGCGGCGGTGACTTTCGGCCTTGGATGTGATTTGAAAAGAGAGAGAGAAAAAATCCTAGAAAATAACTGACTGACTGAACGCTGAGTGAGTTCACACGCTCATCATCAATCTCTCGATCGTGCTGCTCACTCAGACTGCAGCTGCTCGCTGCTGCTGCTGCTGAGACGGACGCGACACTCGTGACTGCGCTAGAGTTCACACAGGCGCGCGATGATGCCATCAGCGCGCGCTCTAGCTGTGTAGGCTGTTGTGCGTAATATATACATGCTGCGACATCGCCCGTGCGCGCGCGTGCACGAGCACGGCCAGAGGGCTCCGCGCCAAATTACTGGCCCTTGTGGGCGTAGACACGTGATCAGGTGCACGCTAGCAGAAAAATCGACCGCGGGGTCTTGCTTGATACACGATCATATATATGGCCGGGCGTATAGCTGGGGATGTGCGCGTCTGCTGATGATTCGGCGCGGTGGCCTTGACAAGAAGATTCCATCCACGACCTTGGCTTCCTTCCCTTCCACTCAAACTCGTGCCGTATCCTTGCTTGGTTCAAGCTTGCGAGAAGAGAGTCACAGGGCTTGTGAGAAGGTAGCGAAGGAACAAGCTGCAGGTCCTCGAACTTAATTTGGGAAAGTGCACGAGAAGACAAAGAACGGTCTTGACGCGATCCACACTGGCCTTCCACGATCACACGGACATCAAGTGAAGATGTCCCTGCAAGGTGCAATGTCAAAGGCGCAAAGGGATCTGTCATGCAGATCGAACGAACTGGGCACAACCAGCTCTTCATCCACGTCTGCTGCTTCAAGCTCAAGCGTATCTCCTCGGCCTACTGAGGATGTAGAAGCTCCTTTCCGGCCGGAGTACATTGGCTACTTGTCAGCCGGAGCTTTTGGCCTAGGTGTAGGTGTCGCACTCGTCTTGACTCTGAGAAGGGGTCGTCGACTTGAGGCGCAAGAAGCTGCGAATGCTCTTGCTGCTGGCACGACCTCTTCTCTCGACCACTCTGCCGGTCGCACCGTCCACAGCACAGCGTCTGCTGCTTTGCGCAACGATGTCAAAGGCAAAGCTAAGCAAGTCGACGTGCTCGATGCTCGCAATTCGACCAACATGCCGAACAGATCAAGCTCCAACGATTTGCCTGAAGGAAAGGGCGTGCTGGCCCTCTTTAGCGCTTTTAACAAGGCAGCCTTTATCCCTTCGGCTCGTAAAAATCTGATCGGCACATCACCGGCCAAAGATGCGAGCGTTCCAAGCTCAGTGTTCGATACGCCAGCAGGTGCTCCGCCGCCTGGCGCGTTGACACGTCGCAAAGCCCCACCGAACAGATCACCAGCAGGGCCCAGGGTCGCATCGAGATCCGTCGTACTGGATGCGGAGCCTGTCCCACCCAAGGCTCAGCAGCAGCAAGCTCGAGATGATGGCGCTTCCCCCGTACTCTTGGCCATCAAGGCTTTCGCTTCTGCCACGGCTCTGGTCGGTGCGGCTGCTTGGTTGACCGTAGAGATAGGTCGACGTGCTCTAGGCGTCAAGAATGTGAGTGTACCGACTCGCTCACATGCTTCGACAGCTCCCATTCGCTCGAATTTCACCTTTTGTTACATCTTGTGGCCCTCTTCGTCAATTGACTAGATGGACGACCTCGTTGTGGTCTTGTCTAGGATATTTCCAAAAGGCAACGCTGCCGTTTTGGCTGGGGTAGGCGAAACAGCGAGAGAGTCTCTTTCCGGCTCTGGTCCGGCAGAAATTTACAAAGCCGGCGACATTTCTGTCGAAGACCTTCCTCAGGAGTTCCTCGGCGAGCATGCAGTGCTGGAGCCATTACCTGTTTCAGAAGCTCTCAGACGTCTAGACGCAGCCGCGAAGGAGGGCAAAGGCGAGGAGTTCTGGAGTCTGCTCTCGCATCAACTCGGAGCTGAGAGAGTCCGCGAAGTGCAAGAACGCAGAGAAAGGCGAGCTCGGGCGGGATAGCGAAACGCCTTCGAATAGCATGGGTCTGCTTATCGCCCCGATCTGCACACCGCTCTGTTCAGCGCGACGCAAGCGCAGTTCCTTGTATCTTTCACAGGTCACATTGAAAGCAGCGTTGTGGGACACCAAGGGTGCAAGTACAGAGGTGGAACGAGGAGTAGCAGATCTCATTTGTCCCCTCGCCTATCGCAGATGGGAGAAGGTATCAGGTAATATGTGTGACGCGCTGCACAACTCTCTTTGACTAACGTCATCGGAATGGCGGAGGACCCAAGCAGGAGGGACCAAGATTGGCCCCCACGAGCGCAAATTTCAGCGCATCTCGTCCGCTTGATCGAATGTTTGCAACTTTTCTTGCAGCCACGCCGTCACGCAAGGAGCCGCCTTGTCGCTCAGCAGCTCGTCGTGGACAAAGGGGACATGCTGGACATCCATGGATGATGTTCCCACTAGTTCTGGCTGCGTCCAACCGTTGCACCTACACAGATGTTGATCCGCTTTGAGTGCTAGCTCAGCGGACGTCGCTTGTCGAGGCGATGCTCCCAGTTCACTAGCTTTGAGCAAGTGCACCGTCACCGAGATATCGTGGTGCTGCGCGAAAGGCGTGGGGTGATGAGAGCGCAAAAGCTGGACCGAAAGGCAGTATTGCTCTACGAGGTGATGCATCGTCTTGCTGTCCTGAAGTGCAGTCGCAGCGCTCTTGTTCACCGCTCTCAGCGCGGATAGGCGCAGTGCAGCAGATACGGGAAGTCTAGCAAGAGACGCTTGGGAGTCCGAAGAAGCAGACGTCATCTCCACATCTCCTCCACCTTGAAGGGGCCGGCCGAGATTTCGGTGAACGGCAGGGCGAAGATCGCAAGGGGTTGACAAGGAGTGTCGCAGCGCAGCTTCTTCTTGAGCAAAGCTGGGATGCTGCGAATCTATCATCATTACCATTGCGCGAGTTTCATCAGGTGCAAGAGCCTCCCCTTGGCTCAAGCGCTCTGCCCACTCGTCGCTGAGCAGAGCTGCCATTTCGCGTGCGCAGACTCCCCCAAAACCCCATCCTCCGACTATCAAGAGCGTAAGGCTAAAGCGTCAGCGCTGGCGGGCTCGCATTCTCTGGTGCAAGACGCGACTTACAGGCATAAGGACCCTTGGGGTACAGCCTGCGAATCTCTCTCAGGTACAACAGAGCAGCCTGCTTGACCGACTTCAGGCGTTTGCCTGCAGACAGCACGACGTTGGAGAATCCGTACACTGGTCGGCCTACAGAGCCGAGGTTCAAATACGCGGTCGCAAAGCCTGCAGCGGGATGGATGAGCCACAACGGTACTGATGATGACTCGCTGTCCGCCGGGCCGGATTGAATTGGGAAGAGCAAGGGAAAATACTGGTTGCGTTGCAAGGCAAGTCGAAGCTTGAGCACACTGCGTGCTAAGAATCACAGTAATAGCACCGCAGTATACTCACCTGAAGCGTTTTGCATATGCCGCTCTCGTCTCTGTCAAAGTCGTTCATTTCGACCTCGACTGCCGATCCACGTTCGAAGGCCGTGTAGACGGGCGCTTCGGGCGTATCTACCACATTCGCTTGCGCTGGATCGAAAAGCTGACTGAGCCCCGTGTCGAGAAGCATGTTGTCGTCGGGGTCGCAATGCTGAGTGATGCTCTGCGTGCTTGCCGGCTCAGGGCTTCCGTCTGTCATATCATTGGTGGGCTCTCGGGAAACTGGATACTCGATGAAGATGTTGAGCTTTCTAGCGCTGCCAGGTTTGGTTCGGCGAGCCAAGATGGACTCGCCGCGATTGCGTCGGCACGGATTGCTCATGCTTTTACTTGTCGTTGTTGGCCTCTCCATCGGTGGTGGGTCAAGGTCTCCAGGTATGACGAGATGACGCAAAGGAGAAGGAGGCAGACTTCGAGGAGTGTAGACGCGCTTTTCAGCCGCCAATCGAGTGTGTGAGTCCCAAGGTGGACTGGGCGGCACGCAATGCACCGCTGCCATGGTGGGCTAGAGGATCGGCAAAAAAAAGGGTCTTCCACCTCTGCTTGTCGACTGAGGTCAGAGAGACCAGCGAGGGCCAGAACAAGAGCGAGGCACGTCGATCGTCGTATCGTAGTGTGTCCAGCACGCTATGACTTGCGAGAGAATCCGCCTTATCAACCTGCCCGTTATACAAGTGCATGAGCCCGTGGAATTGGAGTCGAAGAAGTGCTGGCAGCTCGCTACTTTGAGCGTCCTCAGAGGCATGCGTTGCTTTTGAGCGAGGCGCTATTCAATACATCGTACTCGAGTAGTTGCGTGCGTCAACAAGTGAGCGCCTTTGCAACGGACCGGGTTGCAGCCATGACCTTGTGAACGGCGGTTGGCGCGTGGGGTGTAACTGCGAGGCCGTGCTGTTCAACGGCTCCGCTGCTTGCTGCTTATACGAAGGGGACATGTGGGTCTCATCCCAAATTTGCGTTGCAACGCCTTTGGGCTGCGCCAAATCTGCGCCCAGGCATCTTACCTGGCGCCCATATTTTGGCAAGTGGTGCTGATCAAAAAGAATGGTCAGTCACTTGAGCTTGTAGTGGTCTGGAAAAGCGATCGGTGTCGAAAATAGTGCGCGCGCCGAATGGCAAGCGTGACGGTATCGGTGTGGCGCTGAATTGCTGCGGTGCACTTCTTGCGCAGTCGCAATCGCGAATCACACGCCAAACCCGGAGGCAGAGTCGTGAGCCATTCAGCATGTACATAGCGGCAGCGATCCTATTTGGGGGGCGCCGGATTACGATTGCGCCATATACTGCTGAGACTGCAATAAAAGGTGCACGGCGGTGTGTGCAATTTCAGCCAGGCTATCAGTCGTCATCTACGATTGCTCGTCCAAATCAGGCTTTTGTCACGGCCAGCAACAACAAGCCTTGAGGAAAGACTGTAGCATGACAAAGATCACATCTCGCCTTTCTGCCATCCGCTCCGACAAGCAGCGACGTCGTCCTCTGCCTTCGATCGTAGGCATCGTAGAGAATTGACTGGCAGTGTGACGAGCGAGCTTGGAAGGGAACAGCGCCAAGCCGAGTGTCGCTAAGGCCGAAAGTGCCGTGCGCCCCCCAGACCAATGTCTGCCCCAGCCTGGGAAGAATGAAGAATGAGCGCAGCGATTCGTGACGCCGGGGCGGGACTGAGGCAAACTGTGTTGCGCAACGCCCTATACCAGTTTCTTTGCACCCTTCGCGCATGGTTTCTGAAGGGCCGCACTGAGCAGTGGCAACATAGCTTAGGCTTTGCTGTTTGCCATCAAAAGATAGAAGAGAGCGTAACACAAGCTGCCCACCTTCAAGCCGTAGTATGTTTCTTTTGTGATCTCGGGAGGTCTGGGCGCCTCGTTCACGCCATTTGAAGCAAGAATGGGTGCTGCTTGTTGTTTGGCGCACCCTCTCGGAGGCTTATTGGCTACCATCCCACTTTCGTACTCAGTCGAGATCGGAACCCAAAAATATCCCTTTGGTCCGCGGAGTGGCAAAGCCATAGATCTCTAGCGTTCGTAGCTGCCTGTTCGCGCCGAGTCAGATGCTGTTCAGTGACGTGCTGCACCCCCTGTGCCACGAGTAGGCGTGCCACCGCCTCTGACGAGTGGGTCACCGCAATTTGACTCCGTTTCAGGAGGCACACAAATTTCTTTGAGCTCGAAAAGTGTCGAGTTGCTTACCTTCTCCTACCTCCCCGAATCATCATGACCCTGGAACCAGCGCTGGACGCTGAATGTCTGGGTGCGAAAGAAGGACTTGCTCGGTCCTTGAGGTGTCCGCTCCACTCGGCGCTCTGACGCATTGAACGTGGAATTGAGGCAGACGGAGTCGTAATTTGGGCTCTCTTGGCGCGACTTGGCGTCGACTCTATCCCACGACGATCGTAGCGGCCCGCAACGGCTCAAGTCGCCTTTCGGGCAGTCGACCCTCGGCGGAACAGCAGCGCAGTCCGTCCATTCGTTGCGGGAGCCAAGCCTGCCACAAGTCGCTGGCAGTGCTCAGAAGCGTTATCAGGGGCTGCTCCACTCCAGTCCGTCTTCATGACCCATCACCACTACGACTTCTTCAAGAAGTACTTCCCTCACCGGATGAGGGTTAGCGAGATGGCTGGCCCATCACCACGCTACGTGACCATGAGTCGCAAAGAATTCCTGACCAGTCTCAATCTGCTCGGAGGTCTTCCGTACCCCATCGACAAGCCACCATCCACAATCTTCCTGCTGGTGTACATTGGACTCCTGGTAGCGACCATCTATCGCCTGACTCGACGTCAAAGTCCTGCTAGGTGAGTGCGCTCCTTCAGTGTCTTCACATGTGGTCATGCTTCTCTCACGTGTGCACTTGTGCCCTATAGTATCCATGTACGGGTACTGCTTGCGATAGTATGCCGCGCCATCGCTCTTGGTTGTCGGATCGCTATAGCAGGGGGTCATCGTGGGGCCGATGTCTGGTCAGCTCAAGAAATGATGTGGATATGGAGCCCTTTGCTGTTGGTGAGGCTGGCCGTGAAAATTGAGTGGGCGGAGTGAGACGATGCCCTCGCTCACTTCCAAGTTCGACCTTCCACTCGTAGTTTTCGGCGCTGGCATCCTTGACAGAACGCGCTTTCCGACCGTACAGATCGGTCAGTCCGTTCCTTTTCAAGCACTTTGCAACAGTGATCCACCTATTGGTAGCTGCTATTGGAGTGTGGAGCGTGCTTGGTGTGACTAGTCTCCGAAAGGCTATCAACGGAAATATGAGCAGCTATGATCGGCTGTTGGTAAGTAGCGCTCCTCATCTAGACCTCGCTATAGACAAGACTGATCCTGGTGCGCTATCTGCTGCTACTGCTCTTTCCACAGACGATGAAGAAGGTGAGCGATTGAGGCCAAGGCTGGACAGGCCAGGCTGCGCTGACCGGTGCGGAGCCTTGCACCATACCTCAGATCGGCGCTTGGACACTTTTCGGCGCAGTCTGTCTCAACGGGGTGGTGATCTTTACAGCATTCGTCTGCTTTCAGAGACGCAAGTATAATCTCAGCCTTGTAAGGTCGCGCAAAATCGAGCGCTGCAAGATGGCAGGTGTGGCTTGCATCACTCTTCTGCTGTGTGAGCGGGACCCGTAGCATGATTGTCTGCCGCCTGTCGAATTCTGATCACGAAGGCCTTGGACATTCGCTAGTCATCAAATTCATGTTCAAAGGCGTTCGTCGAAGTGGCGTTCGAGTGTCGAGAGTAAGTGGGTCGCATCGAAGGTTCATTTTGGTGAAGGCTGACCAAGCACTTCGCACACCTAGGCTGGCTTCTACGCGGGATGGTGTAAGACTTGCGCGCCACGTCGTTGCCAGGAATCGAGTCGAACAGCACTCACCAGACGCCTCCACCTCTTCTTGCTCAGTACTGCCCGACATCATTGCTGTCGCCACTTTTGCCCTTCTGCCATGGCATCGCCTTCTGGCGGAACCCACGTACGAGGAACAGCAAGCCAATGGTGCTCCGATCGATCCGGTAAGAGCCGCTATGCACTTTGATAGGCGTCCATCCCACGGTCCATATGCTGCTGAAGAGCTTTACCCAGCAATGTCCGCCGTGCCTGCCACTGGTTGTGTAAGCATTGTTCGGAACACGCATAGCCGAAACCCGAGCGATAGCAGCTTTGCTTCCTCCGGCGCATCTGCACACTATGTCGAAAGCCAAGCGAAGGGCTGGCATACATCTCTCGTGGGCCGCAAGCACAGTCTGGACGCTGGACGCGGTCAGTTGCCTTCTCACTGGCGCCGCGAACCTTCAACGGGTATCTACACCGTGTCGGATGAGGAGCACGCGTCCACACATGCGCAGGCCTGGCTCGATCGACGCTGCGACTCGCCTCACCAAATGGCCGTCTCCGAAGAACTGCCCACCTTACCTCGACGCCCATCCCTTGCACACATCAGCAAGTCGGTGAGAACGGCGCAAGCCCTGAGACCACGCGCAATCACGTCCAATGAAGAGCTCCCCAAACGACTTGATCGTACATCCGCTAGCAGGTGGAGCGTCGATACTGCCAGCGTCGCCGAGGGGAATGAGCTTAGCCAAGATTCCATCTTGAAGACGCGTCGATCTCTGCCCAGACTTAGCTTGCAAATACACAGAACGCCGGCTTCGCCCACAGGACTTGCTGCGAATGAGTTCATCAGCTTCAAGGGCAGGAAGGGTCGCACTCAATGAGCAGCAGCACTATGTTGCGCTGATTCATCCAACCCGCTCCACTGTTTCGCCGCCCCAAAGATCCAGCAAAGATGCCAGGCTCTCAACACAGACCTGGTGAATGTGTTGAATATGCTCGAGAGCAGCACTTCCAAGCATTGCAGCACACGCAAAGCCCACGCTGCAAGATAATAGGTAGACTTGACATGCACCCTTTGAGCCCAAATGGCAAGATTGGAGCGAAAGCCGAATGCGTTGAGTGGTGCCTGACAGCATGCCTCATTCCCTGTCTTCTCCCTCTATCTTGCTCGCCTCGGTGTGCGATCTCTTCACTTTCAATAGAAATGGTGATGGATGTGCGACGAACCTAGAAGCGCGTGCTCACGCATGCAAGGGCTTAATTTCTACTCGACTCAACACTTGCACTCGACACTTTTTGACTCAGCAGGTTGTTGAGTCGACATCCTGACTCTCACACACTACTCGTGACGACTGCATGCACGGCAAGCTGCAACGAGGACGCGTGACGCGCCGCGCCAATGTGATGAGCTCAGCAGCGACGAAGCTGCCTGCCGTCGTTCGAATTAACTTGAAGCTCGTAGTCACACAACCACACAACCGTGAATTATGATTGCCTCGCACAACGATCGAGCTCTGGGACCATTCGGGTTTCAAAGTCAAATTTTGCGTGTCATCGGCTACAGGCTTGAGGGCGCAAAGCTGCTGGTCTTTTGAGCGCTCGAGTCTCTGAGCTTTGTCGCGCAAGCATACTGTGCATAAGCAAGCATGTACATGTAGAGCAAGCCTGCAAGATGAACACCATCATCCCAGTTCATGCTGGTCTGCTGGCAAACGCATCAAGAGAAGGCGCGCAGTGCGGGATTGCATCTGATTGGCAGCATTTGGACGAAGAATGCAAAGATGAGAAATGACGTCAATAAGTTCGCAAGGCGGAATGTGAGATGGAAAGGGGAAAAGGGAGGGGAACTGCGATAGCAGGTAAAGCTAGCTGTTGTGTTTCGCCCTTGGCTCCGCCAGTCCTAGTCCCTCGTCCCCATTCGCTTCAATTCGTCATCCGCTTCCGATTGGGTGTCCGGCACCCACCTGGGAGAGATGGTCTGGATCTGCTCCACCGTGTAGCGATAGCCCTGAGCGCCGTATGCCCGCTTGACGGGGCTCAGAGGTGCTTGCCAGGGTGATCCAGGGACTTCAGATCGTCTACTCTGACTGTGCACCAGCCCTGCCGGGTCTATGCAAGGGGCGCGACGAGTGGGAAAGCGCATGCCTAGTATCATGTTGCATGCCAATGTTGCTTGGACGACCAGGACCAGAGCATTCGGGATGAAGCCATAGTAGCTCGGGATAGCATCGACGCTCTGCAAACCTCCGACCAGGGCCGTTGACGAAGCCAGAACGACAAAGTAGATCAATTGGTGCTGCATGATCCTCGTTATGATAGGCGTCGTGACGGCGCGTTGATGAGCAGCGCTCAAGATGGATACGTCTTCCATCCTTTGCATCTGTCTTCGGACGGCGACGACCGTCAGGCCCGTCATGGCTAAGCAGAAAACAAAGCTCAGGATGTACGGGCAGATGCGCAGGAATCCATACTTGGGCGCAAGTGAATATGGAAGGCGCAATTCGTGTGGACTTTGGAAAGACTGATAGGTGACGCAATTGACCAGACCGAAAAGTGATACGCACAGCCAAGAGACGATGCAGATCTCTCGCACGCGTGCTTGATAGCGTCCTTGGTAGAGCGTGAGAGTGCGAAGCAGCAGGACGGCGAAAATGGCAGCGTGGGCAAAGCTCTCGAAGATGATGTAAAGCTTTGACCAGACCGATGCCTGTACATCGCTCATACCGCCCGTAGTGCACCAGACAACGGCGCTGATGAAGGCCATTAGCGAAAAGAAGCGGATGGCAAAGTAGGTCATCACTGCAGGTCGCTTCCACTCTCCTCGCATCTTGAGCTCGCGATGCGCTTGCGTCGTGATGTCTCCGATGCATATTCCAAGACAAAGCCAGCAGATCCACGTGAGCGGCTGAGAGGAAGTCTCGATCTGCACCTTTTCTTCCAGCCAAGTGACGTAAGCTGCCTCGTTTGAAGGATTAGGTTTGGTGGACATCTTGACGAAGGTGAGAATGGTGAAGCAACTTCGACCTAGGACGATGAATTGTCAAAAGCGGAAGCTCTCCGTACTGGACACGCACACGGTGCAAGTGTGCATGAGGCATTCGCGAGAGGCGAGACTAATGAATCGGTCGCCTTGTAGTCGTTTGGTATTGAAGAGGAAAAGATGGGAGAGAAACTGTCACTGGGGCGTCGCTGCGGAGGGAGGAGGAATGAGAACTGCAATACCTGTATCTTATAACGTGAGGCAAAGCTGCTGACATTGTAGGGCAAGGCCGTGCCAGGTAGTCCGAAAAGCACTTTCTCCATCATCGCAACTTGACACATCAACGGGGTTGCCTGCGAGTGGAGAGCGAGCATGGCTGGAGCATACTTGTCTTGCGATGCTGAAGCCGTAGCAGTAGGGGGCGATATCATCGATGATCCTGGTAATTCATTTTGCAGATATTAAACGAGTCAAGCTGGTCAGCATGACGAGGTTAGGGAGGAAGTATGTGGGCCTTGCTTCCGAAACCCCCGCCCACTCTCCCTCTCTTCCCTTGCGATGCTCCACACGAGACAAGGCGGAAAACAGTTGCTCCTGGTGGAATTCTACGGACCTGAGTTGGATACCTGGACCCGCACTTGGGTCGCATTGTAATCTCAAGCTGCTTGATTGGATAGCTGCTGGACATCCCGCGAGGTCACAGTCAAGGGGCAGTGACGACGCTCGGCATGGCAGAAGCGAAGCAAGGCACGTTTGCCCAGGTCGCATGTGGAGAAAGACAAGCTGGCGTGATGCTGGTGAGTTCTGATACCGCCGCGTATCATGACGGGCCGTGCTCTGGGCCCAATTCCGAGAGTGCAGAGCCGATCTCTGGGATGAGACGCCGAATCACCTGAGGGAAGCCCTGTACAATCAGTTTGCACAGTCTCGTGCGTCATACTTTCCGGCGACTTGACTTCGGCGATTGCCTTCCGACGGTCCACCTCATCGCTAATGGCCCAGGTACCTGACGGATACGGTCTGGGCTTATGATTGCGAATGCTGCGAATGCGCGTGCATCGACCAGACGCCTCGCATGGACCAAAGTCAGGGTAATAGGGATGACGGTCCGCCACACGCAGTCCTTGCGAGTATGCCACCGAGGCCCACAGAGCTGTTACGGCTTTGGTACCTTGAACAGTCTTCGTGATTGTGGAGCGCTCCTGTTCGTATGCGGACTTGCAGAAGATGGTGGTCGAGGGTCATTTGTGATTGCGACTCCACAGCCTGGATGCCTCGCTGACCGCTGCAAGAGTCTTGAGTAGCACCCACAATCGCAAGTTTGCACGCAGTCACGAGTAGCACGAGTCAAAAGTTCGTGGTGCATGTTGACCACGGCCGTCTCGCGCGGGTAGGCAGATGTGAAGCACGTGACGCTCATGGAATCTGGCGCTCTCGTCAGCGTCAGCAGCAGCAACCCGCGCGCTTATGCCCACATTCACTCGCCGCCTGCCACCAAATTACGCTCACCCCTCTCCTCCGCTCCACAAGAATCGCGTTGATCTTTGACAAACTCGCATAGCCGACCATCCTATCAAGAGCATCAGGCCTATAACAACATGGCCGGGATTGTGCAGCGATTAGGAGGATTGGGGGTGCCTTTGGGTGTGGCATTCATTACGCTTCAAGCCAGTCTTTACGATGTGCCGGGAGGCTACCGAGCCGTCATGTTTGACCGTTTCTCTGGGGTTAAGGACGTGGTAAGTCACGAGTACAAACTCAAACAGGTCTTGCTACATCAGGGGTGGGTGGGTAGTCAACTGAAGTCCTTCTTTCTTGCACACTCATGCAGGCTTCGAACGAGGGAACCCATTTCCTGATTCCTGGTCTGCAGCGTGCTATCCTTTATGATGTCCGCGTCAAGCCTAGGGTGCGTCGAGCGACACGAAGGGACAAGTATTGTACTGCTCCCGCTCTCGCGCCTAGCCTTCCGAAAGTCTTTTTCGCGAGTGGAAGACCAGGTGCCAGAGCAGGTTGGGAACTTTGCTGAAGGCAGCGCAATGCCCGGCAGGGCGTGGTGATGTCTTTGCAATCATAGAAGCCAAGCCTGCAACGACCTCAAGTTCAGCATAGAAGCAGAATAGCTGACTTGGATCACTGTTTTCACTTGCAGAACATCTCTACGACGACTGGAAGCAAGGACTTGCAGATGGTGCGCCCTTTGGCTGCTGCATGCTAGCTAAATGAGCTCAGGGCTGATGAACGGCCTGTTGTTGCACCGATCAGGTCTCGTTGACTCTCAGAGTGCTCTCGCGACCAGATGTGCAGCATTTGCCAAAGATCTACCAATCCCTTGGTCAAGATTACGACGAAAGGGTCCTGCCTTCGATTGGCAACGAAGTCTTGAAGGCAATTGTGGCGCAATTCGACGCGGCTGAGCTGATCACTCAGCGGGAGGTGGTGTCTTCGCGCATCAGAGAGGACTTGCTGCGTCGCGCATCAGAGTTCAACATCAAGCTGGAAGACGTTTCCATCACCCACATGACTTTCGGTCAGGACTTCACCAAGGCGGTCGAGCAGAAGCAGATTGCGCAACAAGATGCGGAGAGAGCCAAGTTCGTGGTCGAGAAAGCGGAGCAGGAGAGACAGGCTAGTGTCATCAGAGCGGAGGGTGAAGCCGAAGCTGCGAGAACGATCTCGCAGGCGCTCGACCGCGCGGGCGATGGTGAGTAGATGAGCTTCTCTACGAGACACGCACGCACCGCTGAGCTGACACGACCCCTCTCATTCACGCCCTAGGTCTGCTAACGCTGCGTCGCATTGAAGCCTCCAAGCAGATCGCCTCCACCCTCAGCGGCGCGCGAAACGTTACATATCTGCCTCACGGCAACAACATGCTCTTCAACATGCCAGCACAGTAAGCTGCGCAACCATGTGATTCGAGCCTCCTTGTTCCGATTCATTCATGCCGAATTGAGCGGATTGCTAAGCGTACCAATGCACACCTCTCAACGAATAGCTGTGAGCAAATTGTGACAGAACCATCTTGCTTGAAATTGCGCATTTGCATTGAGTCGAGTTAAAAGTTCAATCTCATGGCGTACGCGTCCTCCCCATCAGCATCTGCGATTGCGGAGGAGCGCACACTGAGCATCCTGAAAAATCGCAATCGCTGTCGTTTCACTCCCATCATACTCACAGTAGCCCTTTTCGACCTCATGGACCTCGAAGCCCAGCGTGTCCCTGTATAGACCAATCGCCGCCCTATTTGTCTCTCTGACGTGTAGTGAGACGTATTTCGCCCCAAAAACATCTCGCATTGCTTCCTCTGTCCAGACGAGAAACAGGGATGCGCTCAGCACTCTGGCAGGTAAGCACAACGACATCCTGCACGCTACTCACGGCTCTGTGTCATGAGCTTCTTGGCCAATCCTAATCTCCTATAAGATCGAAGTACGCTGATGCTCGTCACATGCCCATGCGGTACGCCATCTGCTGGCTCCTCCTCCCTGGGAACAAGCGAATGTATGCGCATCATACATAGGTCAGCGCTAGACGAAGCAGCTCGAAATGCGAGCCGAAGAGCCTGCTCACATCTTGCCAAGAATGTACCCTACTATCCTGCCCTTTGGATCTTGAGCGACGTACGACAGCTGAGGCCAGGTCAAAGCATGGTAGAAATCTACGGGCGGTGGGCAATGCGCAGCTTGAGCGCTCCTCTTGTCGATGGGCGGAAGACAGATCACTCACAGTATCGCATCGTGTAATTTTCGGGCAAGTTGTGCAGGTTGCAATTCTGCATGCCCAGCAAGTCTTCGACCTGGAAAGCGCAATCAAGCGCGATCATCTCGTCAGCCGAAAGTGCGTGACATCTGGCAACCACATGGCGGGCAGACTCACGGTCGCTTCCCGGATGTTCATGTTGGATCCCTTGATATACCTCGGGCAAAGTAGTTGTGGATGCTGACGGCGGCAGTGATGAATGAACCACAGCTGAACAAGCCTCCCGGCGGTTGCTCTTCCGGTCTATAAGCCTGAGGATGCAGGTATGGAAGCGGTGTTACGCGGACGGCGGGACTTCTAGCTGCGATGCGGGAGTTGTTTCTCAAAAGACAATTGAAGTAGACGTTGCGGGTGTGAGTCGAGCGTGAGTTGAAGGAGCAGGTACTTGGACCAGGATTGAACGCCAGATCAAGGAAATGAAAGGGGTGAGGGAAGAGCCACGGACAGGGATTAGACGAGTCATGAGTCCTGTTTCTTGTTTCTTAATTCAATAATTCTGACATGAATGCAAAGAGGTGTGAGCGTGGAATCGGCTGGCTGAGAGGTGAGTAGGTCTATGCCAGAGCGTCACGTGAGCCAGAGCCAAACTTGCGCAAATCCGATTTGATTCAGATTCAAGAATTTAAGATTCATTTTGATTTTGATTCAGATTGGTGTATTCAGCATGACGCGTGACTGATCACTCACACTGTGTGTGACTTGAATAAGGGCGTCCAACGGGCAGCGTGGCGTGCGAACATGACGTATACCGGAATATGTAGCGGCGCGGTATCTTTAGGTGCGCACCGCCGGTCACGACATGGATATATGTGCTGACTATTCAAATTGCATGGCCTCTCCCTTCCTCGGTCGCGACTCACGCACGACTCAGCCTTGCTCTCGAACCCAATCCCTCGCGCACTTCAGCATTCAGCCTCGCCTTGCAATCACGAATCAAGCCCGTCAGATTGCATCCTCTCTTGCTCGTCTGTCGCTGCTGTGTACATAATTCCTCCGTCCAGCACTCGAATCCTTACTTATCGACTTTGCCGCCAACAGCGCAGTGCCCAGCACCCTCTTAATCGTCCCGTCGAGCTCGCATGCTCGCATTCGTATTCCAAGACGCTCATATCCAAGTACCCCGAATCCCTCTTGCGAACTTCCTCGCCTAGCAGGATCACCCACGCGTAAGCCAGGTGGCTTTCTGAGCAGAGCATTGCTCGCTCGGCTCGCGATAATCTACACGGTCTGCAGCCTTGGATGCTCATGTCAGCTTAGCTGCTCCAATTCGCGCGGTCATTGGAATCTACGATGGACATTCCGCTGCCCGTGAGCGGCACTTCGCAGGCTCATGCCCATTCCCGTTTGGCATCAGCATCCGATTGGGGCGCCGGACCAAGTGCCGAAGCTTCAGGCTCAGCTGCTGCGATCACTCCTGGCAAACCGCAGAGAGAGCGGGGATTTTCACGAGGCGGGGCAGTGGAACACGCAGCTGGAAGCGGCGGAGCTGCGCAGACATCGTACGGATTCCAGCCGTCGACCCTCTCCTCATTGAGTCAATCGGGCGCAGGGCTGTCGCGCGCTGGAACCAAGAAGTCACGTTTGAGGAACAAGGATCGCCATACAGCCGCTCTGGACAGCATACGAGACTTTTTGAAAGGCAGAAGCAGCTATGATGTGCTTCCTGTCAGCTTTCGACTCGTTGTGCTGGACACGAGATTGGTGGTTCGCCCAGCGCTCGACATCATGTGGCAGGCCGGTGAGTGGGCCCTACGATCGAACAGCTCTCTTGGGGAGGGTGACTGCTACTGGACCACGGCCATGCTGACTAGGTCGCGTTCGCACCCGAACCTGAAAGGTGTCGTCTCGGCCCCGCTGTGGCAGTCCGCAACGAGCGAGCCGAGCCGACAAGGGCAACAAGCATCTCCAGAGAGCGGTCCGGCATCGAGCTCAGCTGCAAATCAAGCTGGTGTAGAGGATGCTGCAGCACACACTAAAGCGGAAGGGGCAAGCGCCTCATCTATTGCCCTTCCAGAGGTGTCCAGCGAGCCACTCTCCTCTTCGGCACCGGCAGCTGCTCCATCTGCGAGCGAGACTTCAGGTGTCGTGACACAAGCTCTAGCTCGCGACCCGGTGGCGGCAGCAGCAGAGACGCTTCATGCTCTGCGGCCCAGTCCTCAGCCTGTCCAAAGGACGGGCTTCGCCGGCATGCTGACTGTCAACGATATCATACATCTCATTCAGTACTACTATCACCATCTCAGCAGCTACGACCTGGCTAGCCGGGACGTGGAAGGATTCAGGCTGGAGCGCTTGAGAGGTGAGCACACTGCCACGAAGCTGTGATTGAGAGCGTTGCGCATAGACGCGGTGTGTGCTCACGAATCTTCGCCAATTCACAGATATCGAAGCGTCGCTCAACGTTCCTACCCCTCCCCTCACTGCTATCGCACCGCTGCGATCACTTTACGAGGCTTGCCAGCTACTGATCAAGACTCATGCCCGCAGATTGCCACTTCTCGACTATGATGAACAAACGGGCTGCGAGACTCTCATTAGCGTCCTCACGCAATACCGAGTGCTGAAATTCATCGCCATGAATGTTAGTATTGCTGGGGCCCGCGATCCATTGACAGAGATAGTGGCTGACTAGACTAATCAACTGGACACGCCAGTGCCGAGAAATTACAGGGCTTCATCGGTCTGTTCGATCGTTGGGAATCGGAACATACGTCGCAGGCACACCTGGAGTTGGTGCCGCACGACACATTGGTCAGCGCCCGTCCCGTGGCGGAAGTGCGAGTGGTAGCGCCAGCGGAAGTGCGGGTCCAGCATCGCGCATCAATTCTCGGTCAGGCTCCCACTCTGCGGTAATGAGCGCGAGACCAACCGTCGCGGGGACGTCCGCGCCTGTTTCTGCACGGACCAGCGCTAGCGGCGCTGTTGGACTTGACCTTCCCAGCACAGCCGAAGAAGCCAAGTCGCCAGAGGGAGATCCCTCAGCGTCTGCCGCCCAGTCTTGCGAGTCTACGCCGAGCGCTCCTGCCGAAGCTCCTGCAGTCATTCCGGAGGCCTCAGAGGCTTCCCAGTCTGCAATTTCAGAAGAAGCTGGCGCAATTTTTGGCAGTCCTTCCCCGAAGTCGCTTCCAGGCGCTGCCATGAGACCTGCTGCTGCCCCGACATCGGCGAGCGTGCCGTCACAAGCACCCGCGTCGGCCTTTGCGCCGTCCCTAAGCCCTACGCCCTTTGCGCCCCTCTCGACGGCGACGCTGGACACCACCGTGTTCGATGTTGTCCATATGTTCTCCGAGCAAGGCATATCAGCTGTTCCAATCATAGACAACGACGGATTCGTGGTGGACCTCTACGAGAGCGTCGACGTCATTGTAAGTCGAGATCTTGTCCGGCCCTCTAGAGGGCGCCGACTTACACGCCTCTCGACCACCGCAGGACCTCGTTCGCTCCGGTGCCTACCAATCGCTCGATACGACAATGCGTCAGGCTCTGGCCCGGCGCCCTGCAGAATTTCCAGGTATCATGTCATGCGGGCCGGATGACTCGCTAGCTAGCATCTTCTCTCTTTTGAGAACACGGCGAGTCCACAGGCTTCTCATTCTGGAACCCCTGCCCGCTTCGCGGGCAGCATCGATGACCTCGAAACAATCGGAGCACGGCAGGCAGTCACCAGAGGGTGTGGCGCCGCCTCCAAGACCCAGAGGCAAGCTTGTTGGTATCCTATGCCTGTCCGATATCTTGCGGTACGTGACAGGCTCACAAGAAGCCGGAGGCCCAAAAGAACGCCAAAGGACCATGAGTCAAGCAAGTAGCAGCGCGATCGCGGGCGCTGGACCTCCTCAAAGCGGTACCAGCCTCAGCTCCGCTGCGCTTCTCGATGTGCCGGAATCTGAACCCCTGGGAAGCTCGGGACTTGCAGCGCCAGGCGTGCAGTCTCCGACTTCTGCGAGCGAACATGCGATCGAGGGAGCCTCACCGCCACCTTCTGGCGCTGGTAGTGGCCTCTCGACAGTGCCTCTGGCCATACCTGAAGAGTCACCCTCGATCGAAAAGGCGGAATTAGAGAGTGCGGAGACTTTACCATCAGCGGATCAGGCTGACTCCATGTCGCATCAGAACGCCGTTGCGCCATCTAGTAAGGACGGGGACGCTGTCAATGGAGAATAGGAATATTTCCTTCGATCTACCATCTGCTCTATGAGCTCCTGGGTGCACGCGAATTGGGTGGACGACACCCCGCCTGATCTTCCACTATTGGTTCTCAGCCACCTGCGCGATTGATTCGCACGACCGCAATGCGTCTCTGCATACGAAGGCCCAGAGTCACCCTCATCACGAATGTCGAACAAGCTATCGACTTTAGAATACCCCCCTTCAACTAGACTGTGAAATGCCAGCCAGACGCTCAGGCTATACAGCCTTCCTCTGCCTACTCTGTCTGCATTCTGTCCCCCTTCGCTCGTCTCCATTGTAACGCCTTGCATCGGGAAATTGACAGGAGCTACCAATCATATCAATAGATCAGAGGCTTTGCTTTTTTCTTCCCGAGCCGTACTCCACTTGCTGCCGGTCGAGCCGACATTCACGATTACGCTTCGCAGGAAATGCTTCGCTTCTCAAAATTGGCAACGACTGCTCAAGCTTGCTGCTCATTCGTATCGCATAGTCTGTCAGGCTGTGTCTATGGCCTGCCTCACGGTGGCCGATTCAGATCGTTTGAGTTCAGGCACCGCGAGAGCAAGAGATGGGCGTCAATGCATCTAGATGGTCTGAATGATCAGAGAAGGACGTAGGTTGCAGAAAGCAGACGATGAGTAAGTGAATGGGTAGGGGAAAGGGGGATCTACTGTGTGCGCACAATCAAAGTGTCAAGGACTTGTGCGAGTATCGAGCAAAATTGGAGTGTGTCCAAGAGGGCGCAGGCAAGAAGGGAAATGGAGAAGTGCTGCATAGCTCGTTCGTGTCGCCGAGCAGCAGTATTAAGTGCGACATGCTAAAAGCCTTGGGGTGCTGTAGCTAGCTATTGCTCCATCGCCTAGAGGATGAAAGCGGCTCCGGCGACGGCCACGGCTCCGGCAACAGCGACGGCTCCCAGGTTGCGAGGAGCAACGAGGCTTGCTCCGTCGGGCTTGCGGTAGTTCTGGATAGAGCGGTTGATAGCCTCCTCTGTGATGGAAAGATGAAGTGCATCATCTAATCAGCTCATTGAAGGTTGGAGACGGTGGGGGGGGGG